AGCTGCAGTAGAAAACGTGCATCCAAATCTGTGTTTACTTACTTTAACGTCGGACTAGGCTGACTCGTGCTGTCTGTCATCGAATCATGTGTCCTCGGTAGTATAGTGGTAAGTATCCCCGCCTGTCACGCGGGAGACCGGGGTTCGATTCCCCGCCGGGGAGGCACTTCTTTTTTTCTTGCTTTTTTATCATTTTGATTGCGTGACCATCACGTGGCCAGAGTTTTTATTTTGCCGGTGAAATGAGCATGTTGGCATGACCGCGGTCTTACCGGGCTGCTGATTCTTTCCAGAGACGCAAACACGTAAGATGGCACTAGAAAGATGTGCAGCTTCAAGGAAAACACGCTCATTGTCGCACAGCGTTTCACGTAGCATAGTCAGGATGGGCATTGCATTTGAGCTGTCGATTTAGGATGATTTTTGTCTTCAAACAAAAGCGGATCATGCTTTGTTTCCAATGAAAGAAACCAATGTCGCCCCTACCTGCTTGCCTGTCGTGTGTCAATTTCTTTGAAAGGTATAAGACACGAGTGCTGATGCGTTAGTGAGTGGCACCTGAAGCTTAGACTGGGTAGAGTCCGACAGTTTGGTTTTCTTAAAGTGCTTCCCAGTAAAGAAAAATAAACCAAGCAACAACAAAAAATGTTTCCGCTGGGGCTTGAACCCAGGACCTTCCGCGTGTTAGGCGGATGTGATAGCCACTACACTACGGAAACGCATGACTACCGAATAACACGTGTCAGTGATTTTGTAGTTTTGCGTTTTGTCACATCAATAAGATTCACCTTTAAAAACTATCAGTGGCTTTTGGATGCTGGTTTTCCGCTTGTTATTCCCGATTTCAAGGGGGACGAGGAGATGCACGCATGAAAACACTGCATGAGCTGCAGTAGAAAACGTGCATCCAAATCTGTGTTTACTTACTTTAACGTCGGACTAGGCTGACTCGTGCTGTCTGTCATCGAATCATGTGTCCTCGGTAGTATAGTGGTAAGTATCCCCGCCTGTCACGCGGGAGACCGGGGTTCGATTCCCCGCCGGGGAGGCACTTCTTTTTTTCTTGCTTTTTTATCATTTTGATTGCGTGACCATCACGTGGCCAGAGTTTTTATTTTGCCGGTGAAATGAGCATGTTGGCATGACCGCGGTCTTACCGGGCTGCTGATTCTTTCCAGAGACGCAAACACGTAAGATGGCACTAGAAAGATGTGCAGCTTCAAGGAAAACACGCTCATTGTCGCACAGCGTTTCACGTAGCATAGTCAGGATGGGCATTGCATTTGAGCTGTCGATTTAGGATGATTTTTGTCTTCAAACAAAAGCGGATCATGCTTTGTTTCCAATGAAAGAAACCAATGTCGCCCCTACCTGCTTGCCTGTCGTGTGTGAATTTCTTTGAAAGGTATAAGGCACGAGTGCTGATGCGTTAGTGAGTGGCACCTGAAGCTTAGACTGGGTAGAGTCCGACAGTTTGGTTTTCTTAAAGTGCTTCCCAGTAAAGAAAAATAAACCAAGCAACAACAAAAAATGTTTCCGCTGGGGCTTGAACCCAGGACCTTCCGCGTGTTAGGCGGATGTGATAGCCACTACACTACGGAAACGCATGACTAGCGAATAACACGTGTCAGTGATTTTGTAGTTTTGCGTTTTGTCACATCAATAAGATTCACCTTTAAAAACTATCAGTGGCTTTTGGATGCTGGTTTTCCGCTTGTTATTCCCGATTTCAAGGGGGACGAGGAGATGCACGCATGAAAACACTGCATGAGCTGCAGTAGAAAACGTGCATCCAAATCTGTGTTTACTTACTTTAACGTCGGACTAGGCTGACTCGTGCTGTCTGTCATCGAATCATGTGTCCTCGGTAGTATAGTGGTAAGTATCCCCGCCTGTCACGCGGGAGACCGGGGTTCGATTCCCCGCCGGGGAGGCACTTCTTTTTTTCTTGCTTTTTTATCATTTTGATTGCGTGACCATCACGTGGCCAGAGTTTTTATTTTGCCGGTGAAATGAGCATGTTGGCATGACCGCGGTCTTACCGGGCTGCTGATTCTTTCCAGAGACGCAAACACGTAAGATGGCACTAGAAAGATGTGCAGCTTCAAGGAAAACACGCTCATTGTCGCACAGCGTTTCACGTAGCATAGTCAGGATGGGCATTGCATTTGAGCTGTCGATTTAGGATGATTTTTGTCTTCAAACAAAAGCGGATCATGCTTTGTTTCCAATGAAAGAAACCAATGTCGCCCCTACCTGCTTGCCTGTCGTGTGTGAATTTCTTTGAAAGGTATAAGGCACGAGTGCTGATGCGTTAGTGAGTGGCACCTGAAGCTTAGACTGGGTAGAGTCCGACAGTTTGGTTTTCTTAAAGTGCTTCCCAGTAAAGAAAAATAAACCAAGCAACAACAAAAAATGTTTCCGCTGGGGCTTGAACCCAGGACCTTCCGCGTGTTAGGCGGATGTGATAGCCACTACACTACGGAAACGCATGACTACCGAATAACACGTGTCAGTGATTTTGTAGTTTTGCGTTTTGTCACATCAATAAGATTCACCTTTAAAAACTATCAGTGGCTTTTGGATGCTGGTTTTCCGCTTGTTATTCCCGATTTCAAGGGGGACGAGGAGATGCACGCATGAAAACACTGCATGAGCTGCAGTAGAAAACGTGCATCCAAATCTGTGTTTACTTACTTTAACGTCGGACTAGGCTGACTCGTGCTGTCTGTCATCGAATCATGTGTCCTCGGTAGTATAGTGGTAAGTATCCCCGCCTGTCACGCGGGAGACCGGGGTTCGATTCCCCGCCGGGGAGGCACTTCTTTTTTTCTTGCTTTTTTATCATTTTGATTGCGTGACCATCACGTGGCCAGAGTTTTTATTTTGCCGGTGAAATGAGCATGTTGGCATGACCGCGGTCTTACCGGGCTGCTGATTCTTTCCAGAGACGCAAACACGTAAGATGGCACTAGAAAGATGTGCAGCTTCAAGGAAAACACGCTCATTGTCGCACAGCGTTTCACGTAGCATAGTCAGGATGGGCATTGCATTTGAGCTGTCGATTTAGGATGATTTTTGTCTTCAAACAAAAGCGGATCATGCTTTGTTTCCAATGAAAGAAACCAATGTCGCCCCTACCTGCTTGCCTGTCGTGTGTGAATTTCTTTGAAAGGTATAAGGCACGAGTGCTGATGCGTTAGTGAGTGGCACCTGAAGCTTAGACTGGGTAGAGTCCGACAGTTTGGTTTTCTTAAAGTGCTTCCCAGTAAAGAAAAATAAACCAAGCAACAACAAAAAATGTTTCCGCTGGGGCTTGAACCCAGGACCTTCCGCGTGTTAGGCGGATGTGATAGCCACTACACTACGGAAACGCATGACTACCGAATAACACGTGTCAGTGATTTTGTAGTTTTTGCGTTTTGTCACATCAATAAGATTCACCTTTAAAAACTATCAGTGGCTTTTGGATGCTGGTTTTCCGCTTGTTATTCCCGATTTCAAGGGGGACGAGGAGATGCACGCATGAAAACACTGCATGAGCTGCAGTAGAAAACGTGCATCCAAATCTGTGTTTACTTACTTTAACGTCGGACTAGGCTGACTCGTGCTGTCTGTCATCGAATCATGTGTCCTCGGTAGTATAGTGGTAAGTATCCCCGCCTGTCACGCGGGAGACCGGGGTTCGATTCCCCGCCGGGGAGGCACTTCTTTTTTTCTTGCTTTTTTATCATTTTGATTGCGTGACCATCACGTGGCCAGAGTTTTTATTTTGCCGGTGAAATGAGCATGTTGGCATGACCGCGGTCTTACCGGGCTGCTGATTCTTTCCAGAGACGCAAACACGTAAGATGGCACTAGAAAAATGTGCAGCTTCAAGGAAAACACGCTCATTGTCGCACAGCGTTTCACGTAGCATAGTCAGGATGGGCATTGCATTTGAGCTGTCGATTTAGGATAATGTACAGCACAGCGTTTCTTATAGGCTCCTGAAGTTTAATTTGTAAGAGTTCCACGAGGGAAAGTAAATGCAGCTTGGCTTGATATGCTCAGTTAAAACATCAGGTGAATTCTACTGCACCTACCACATGGATAATCAGGAAAAATAGCATAATTTTCTCTTAATATTCATGGAAAAGTGAACAGAGGTTGACAATGCCAAATCTGGTCAACATATTTCATAGTATTTTAAAATTTTTAGTCGTAGCCTATTAATTTAAAAAAAGGACTGATAATTAGAAAAATAAATTTATTTATTTTGTGGAAAATACTGTAATGCATTGGGTCAAGTTGCTGTAGAATCTCAATAAAATGAACTAGAAATATAATAATATTGCATAGAATTAGTAAATAAAAAATGTGTCAACTATGAAATTAATTTCAAGTACATTGATTTTGTTTTTAAACTTTAGTGGAAAATTTATATCAAAACACTATCAAAATTGTTTAAAAAATTTATGTAATTTTTTAAATATCTGGTTTTAGTAGTAAATGCAAAACTTTTTTCAGTACATAAATTTAGAAAAAGGCAGTGATACTCATACTGACATTTCTACATTAAATAAGTATAATAAATAAACAATTTTAAAAATAAATTCTTCTAAACACATTGTTGGTTATTTAAATGCAAAATCTGAATAGCGCTTTATACTCATAATTTAAATGATTATACAAGAACATTTTAAAAATTATAATTTAAAGTATAAATATTTCTAGATCTCAAGCCAATGCCCTAAACTCATGAACAATTAACAATATACATACACACACACAACCATATATATATATATATATATATACATACATATATATACCGGATATATATATATATATATATATATATATATATATATATATACATACATATATATACCGGATATATACATACATACATATATCGGATATCTATATACATACATATATATACCGGATATATATATATATATATATATATATATATATATATATATATATATATATATATATATATATATATATATTGACAAGTTGAGTAGTATACATTTATATACACACACTTTTGTGTATATAAATGCATATTTCTTCATAGCTTGAATATAAATATTTAGCCATTATCAAACATTATTAGTTCTAAAATATCCCTGGGCTATATGTGAGCTTTGAACATCTACAAATGTCAATTCTTCATACATGCTCAACAGTTGGGTTACTGGGGTCTTTGCCAGCCTTGTTAATTTTGAAAGACATGTCCACAGTGCTATAGCCTTGGGTCAGCTTGCCGAGGGAGATGACGTCCACAGAAGGAAGAAAAAAGTCTGATAGTGTTTGCTCAGTTATCCCTCCACTCAGCTCAATAACGATGGATGGAAACATAGACTTGAGTTCTTCAGAGGCTTTTTTTGCTGACTGATTTTAGAAGGAAATTTATTATTGTTAAAACAGAAATCCAATATTTGATAAACTTTGAAAAACATTCATTTAAAAAACTAATGAATTCTAAATAATAACTGGATAGATGAATAGTTCACTGAAATTTACAAATGCTTGGATTAATAAAATATTTTTGATAGAATTTAATAGAAATATAGTTTCCTTTTGAAATTATCAATAACTGTAATAGTGTAGCCTAGGCTAAAATTACTTTACAAGAAAACAATTATAAATTTCAAATGATTAAGAATAATTGTAAATGATTTACAATACATTGATTTAGCATTATTTTCTAAGAAAAAAAAAGTAGAGTAAAAAATATAACTAATATATACTTTTAATATATAAAAGTATGCCAACCTCAGCTAATTAAAAGTTGAATACAAACACAAATAATAACTATTAGGCCTATTATTTAAGATATAATTTTAGTAGTTTGCTTACATTTGGGGTAAAATTATCGAGCATAATGATATCTGCCCCAGCTCTAGCAGCCTCTGTGGCTTCCTCTAGACTGCGACACTCAACTTCAATTTTAGTGGAAAAACCTCCGACTACTTTAGCGTCCTTTACTGCCTGCAGAATCAAGTTTAAAAAAAATGTTTATATTATTATTTAATCTCAGAATTTTTCACAAATGATAAATATAATTGATATTTTTATTTTACGGCCTAATTTTATTACAAGAAAAATATTCTAATAATATATTATAGTTCCTTCTATTAACTACTTTATATAAATTAAATATACTTTATAATTATGTTGGTATAGATTCTAATTGTTTTACTAAATTTCAAATAATATCACAAAACATTTTTAAAAATTTTTATGCACTAGATATTTTTATTGAATAATTTTATTGTTAGGCCTACAGAATAGAGCAAAAAATAAAGTATATCTACCTGAGTTATACTCCCAGCTGTCCAGATATGATTATCCTTGAGCATGATCATAGATGAAAGGTCGTGACGATGTCCTGAGGCACCCCCGACAAGAAGAGCATATTTCTCCACCAACCGGAAGCCTGGAGTTGTCTTTCTTGTGCCAGCTATCTGACCCTTCCAGCCTGAGCACACAGCTAATTTTGACAAGTTTCTGGCCATTGTTGCTATTCCACTGCACCTAGTCAAGCAGTTCAATGCCACACGTTCCCCTAGCAAAAGGTTTCGGACTTTACCTTTAACTGTTGCTAGTTTGGTGATTGGCTGCATGTAATCACCTTCCTCGACATGCCACTCAATGCTACAATCTAATTCTTTAAACACAGCATCTACAAATGGACGACCCGCAATTACTCCTTCTTGCTTTAAAAGAAGGACAGCTGTTTCTTCTTTCTCTCCCACTACAAATCCAGCAAAATCAAAGCTAGGTACGTCTTCTTTCAGCCATTCTCGAGCTAAATGTTTTAGGCTGAATGGTGTCAAAATATGCATAGTTTTTGGATTGTAAATTCTCTCCAGTTCCTTATCAATATCCCTGGATATTTCAAGAGAATTAAAACTCATGATGTCTGTTAGTACTCTCAATCATACGCAAGCCTGTCTGTACTTTTGCTATCACAGTTGTGTTGAGCCTGTCGATTAATAAATATACTAATAATATTAATACCCAAAAATATTGAAGATAAATATTTTAAAATTCTAAATTAGGCTCATGCTTTTTGTTATTTAATTTTCTATGTAAAACATAAAAGTTCATGTAAATTCTACATTAGCTCATCTGATTTAGAATCTATGTTTGTTTTATTTTCCATTAATTTAAGTAATTTGTTCTGCTAAATAATGCTGATTAAAAAAAAATTGTGTTTTTTTAATCAACCTCAACAGTGCCTATGTTCTGACCGGGATTCAAAGGGACGACTCGAAATATCATCTGATAATTTGAATCATAATCAATCAATATCATTAAAAATCTATGATAGTGAAGTAATATTCCCATCATTCACATATTAATGATATTATTAATAAATTATAAATAATTTATTAGTATTGGATTCTAGGGTAATCTATCGTTTTGGGTACGTAAAATCGCCCGCGGCTATTAATGTACGAAAACGTTACCTCATTGTCAAGGCTTTAATAGAAGTATATTGTGATATGTTTGTGTCAAATATTATAGATAAATGAATAATAAACCTAAATTAATGGCTAAATATATCAATATAGGCCAGAAATTAACTTAAAACAGCACTGTCTGCGAGCAGATTTGCTATATAAACAGCAGCCATTTGTAACTCATTTATAACTGAAAAGTTTAAATTCAATTGTTTAAAAACAGGTACATAAATGAAACAAGGAAACAAGATCGTATTTTAAAAAACATAAATCCTCCTCAAAATGTGAAATAATTATTAAAATTTAAGGAGTCACCCGTTTTTCACATTACAAGTCGCGGGCGATTTTACGTACCCAAAACGATAGATTACCGATTCTAGATTCTCTAGAATCTAGACTTCTAGATCTATTCTAGATTCTCTTCTTAAACTATTCTAGATCTAGAGTAGATCTAGATCTAGGACAAAATCTAGGTCTAGATCTAGTACTTTAGATAATCATAGAGATCTAGATCTAGTAGGCTATATCATATATATTATCTAAGTACTAAGTAGGCTACCTACTTTATTTATTAATATTTATAACTAGATTTCAGATCTAAAGATCAAATTGAGGAAACCAATGGAGCTCTCTGGCGTTAAAATTAACTTTAATGTAGGCCTAAGCTTTTTTAAAACTTGAAATGAGGAGACTGGGAGTAGGCCTTAGGCCTAACGTATATTATATTTTTAATTTTATCAAATGACAGCCCAGAGCCGGCGTTAGGGGGTGGCGAACGGGGCGGTCGCCATAGGCCCCGCGCTTGAAGGGGCCCCGCGCTTCAGCAATGTTATTGTTATCTGAATTAGTTCGTAAACTTAAAAAAAATTGTTGCTGAATTCAATTGGGAAAAACTAAATGGTGGAATGCCGACGTTGTTGATTGTTATAACTGAGGCCACGGTTGATGTTGGTGAGTCCCACCTGAACTGGGGACTGGGACAGGCCGTAATTCGATACAAAAATAGTGTCACACCTACCCTTTGTGTAGGGTACGGTCGCCTGGCATTTGACCTGAGCTGACTGGAGATGGCGGTCGAGAATTAGCCCACGACGTAAAGAGATACCCTATTGTATGCAGACCGATGATGAAGACGTCCTTTTAGTGAGCAGACGGGATGTCTATAGTAAACAGTTAGTGACCTGATGAACTCTAGTCCTGGCTTTCTTGTTGTAGATGTCGTATAATGTCGTATATGTACAGTGTTTCTTCCAGACTTTTTTCTCCGGGGGGGGGGGGGTGGGGGGGTGGGGGGGCACTTGAAATTTTCGGGGGGGGGGGCGGTAGACTTTCTTCGGGGGGTGGGGGCGCGGACACTGTTAAAAGTATATATTTTCTCTATAAATTATATAAATTTCATTTCGTTTCCGGGGGGGGGGGGGGGGGGCTACTTTATATGTAGGCCCACTTGTCTTGGTATAACAAAATTAACATTCAGTTGCGTGCGGAGGGGTGGGAGGAGGGCGACGAGGAGGGGGGGGGGGCCTTAGGATCTATATCAGGCGGCATTAAACAGAGTGATTTATTATTATTTTTTGGAAGAAAGTTAAAACTGTTGTTATGTTGTGTCACCTTAAGGATTCACCCCTTCAATAATTAAGACAATAATGATTTTGGTTCTAAAATATTGTATGAATTCTAAACAAATTTTGAAGTCTATACTGTTTTGATACATCAGGCCGAGTTCGCTGTATTGTAAACTTTATTTTCCTAATTATTCGGCACGTGATTAAATTTTCTTAAGTGATTTGGTATGAATTACATAACTGTTAAAAGTGATTTAATATCTTAGTAAAGGAAAAAAAAACTACAAACATTGGGTTAATACATGGAAGAGATAAAAATCTGTTATTATAGTGTAAAGTTTGACATTAGCTTATAAACTCCAAAAACATTTGTGTTATTATGTGTACATCACATTATATAGGCCTTTATATATATATATATATATATATATATATATATATATATATATATATATATATATATATATATATATATATATATATATATATATATATATATATATATATATATATATATATATATATATATATAATGGAAAGGCCCCGTGCGGATGGTTGGCCCTAGGCCCCGCGTATTCCTAACGCCGGCTCTGTGACAGCCTACCTAAATATTTCGTTTAAACTCTAGGCCTACATTAAATAATTATTTACTAGATCAAGCATTAATCAGTGGGGATGTATTATTTTAGAAATTTACCAATAGAAGCAAGACAATTGTGTATATTCCTTAGGAGGGAGGCATGTTTAAACTTTAATACTTTGATGATAATGATAGATGAAGGCTTTCGGCGTCAATACAGCCCGTGACAAAACGGCCCCATGAAATCGACCCCGTATAAATATTAAAAATAGGCTTCCCACAAAACTGCTCCTATCATTATGACTCAAGTCGTTTATCGAAATAGCATACCGTTGTTTCTATACTAAAAGGGGCCATAAGATTGAACCACTATGTCGGGAGCACATTGATTGGGAGCCAAAATGTCGTTAGCCCATTTTCAGGAGCCAATATGCCAGGAACCCATTTGTCTGGAGTTGTCCTTTTGTTCGGGTGTTTTTATTGGGGCTCGTTTGACTATGGTCGTTTTGGCAGATGCCGTTTTATCTGAGAAGTAGGAAGGGGGGGGGGGGTTGAGGATAATCGTCCTTTACGAGCTACTGATGATGTTTTTAGGCAAAATATTTTCAGTCGCAACATTGGTAGTGTCGAATTCACAAATTATGAATTACTGAAAAGAAGAAATTAAAACTAGGCCTAAATAGCGGCGTATGCTGCGCCGCGGGTGGGCTCGTACTAAACAAGCGGCCTTTTGTCTAAGTAGGTTTTGGATCGACCTTGTTCGGCGTTTATAGTCAATGTCGACCTGTTTATTGTTATTATTTAAATTATCAGTTATTTGTTCTTATCTTTTAAAATAAAAATAAAATATTTAAAAGTGCTAAACTTTTTTTTTTAAAATACGCCAGCCATCATACTTGTACTGTAGTGTTATCGTGGCCTATCAACTATAAATCTAGATAGAAGGATCTAGTCTGAGCAGTTTGCTTAGACAGTATTTTTAAACAATGATAAATGGTTGCTGCATAGGCCTAGGCTAGGCCTATAGAATCTACTTCGTGGGCGTAGACGTAGTCGTTTAGTTTAGGGCTAGACTGAAGAGCACGCCTAGGCAATTAGATTTTAAATATTTTTTTTCACATTGTTCAAATTTAAATATTGATTTTTTAAAGTCAATAGTATGCTACACGTTAAAAATGAATTAGATCTAGATATAGGTCAATTCTTATTCTAACTGCTTGCCAATCGGCCAACTATTTGTATTGGCAACAGTTTGTAATCATCATTTCCAAGGAGTCACGTGACTTTACGCTTCCGCATCGAGTTATGGACTAAGTAAGTGAATGAAAACGAAACTTGTTTAACTTATCGTTCGAAAATGAACAACGGTGACGAACCTGATTACACTCGTATGCGTGAAGCTATAGAACTAACCCATGGACATATATTTATTCTCGGGACCATCGTATTTTTTAGCATTATTAACTGGATAATCAAAACAAAAGGGCCCCCAAAGTCACTCAGTGACGAGGAGTGGAAATGGAGAAATCTTTACGTTTCTTGGGTCCATGCATTTTGCAGCTCGGTCTGGGTTCTTTCAAGGTAAGTCTTTGTTGTTAGGCCTACTCTTTAAAAATTAATAAATGTTGTCATAGGCTGAATATTGGGGAGAAAGAACATCAATTATTCGTAGCCCTGTATCATAATTAATAATTATTAATTAGGCCTAGGCTAGGGGGCTTTAATACCACACGGCTCTTAACGCCCTCCTTTACCCTAACTATAAGTAATTAATAGTAATTTAGGTAATAGTAATTATTTTGAGCTACCTACTAGATCTACTACCTAGGCCTAATCTAACTTAATAGGCCTACTAATTAAATTATTAATTAAATAATTAGGCCTAGTAATTATACTAATTAGGCTACTAGGCCTAATTAAAATTGAATTGATTTTTACTAGGAGGTTATTAAAATAAATCAACTAGGCCTACTTATAAATTTATCCTATTAATTAAAATATTGGGATGATTATAGATACTGGTCTCCGATAATGGAATCTTCTTTTAAAAAGGGGTGTTTGTTGGGTTGCTAGTACTTGCTAGTAGTAGTAGTATTGTAATCTCGACTAATTTTATGGTTAGAAATTAAATTAGGGTTAGGCGTATGAGTATGGTAGGACCAGGGGCAGGGTTGGGGTTACGGTTAGGGACATGGTTAGCATTGACATTAGCCAGCCATGCGTGTATTTAGTTAACTACCAGTAACTTGAGTAACCTAACACCTCTTTTTTTAAAGAAAATTCCATTATCGGACACTGGTATATAAACATTCTCCCCTGTTGGTTTTTATTAGGTTGTTAAACTAGATTCTACATTTTAAATAAAAATGTTTTTTATTGTAGAATTTCATAGCAAAATATATTTTTCTTACCACTGCATGACAGTGGATTCTTTGAAATAAAATTATAGTTTAAACATGGGGTTTGGGAAAACTTCATATTATATTTTCATTGCAACCCAAGTAGCAATTTTAGAGATGTGTTAATTGAATCCTTCAGTTTTTCACATGTTTAAAACTTGTTTGTCATTTTTTAATTTTCAGCATGATATTTTGCTCTGAGATGTTTTCTGACCTGTTTCACTATATCAACCATTTCACATACTTTTGTGTTTGCTTTGGTACAGGTTAGTGTTTTATCTTATCTAATTCTTTAAAAAAAAACATTGCTAAGCAATACTGCTGCTATGTTAAGGTTGTGATACTAGTAAATATTTAAAAAAAGCTTCGATATTTCCTATCCACATTTTTGTTTTATGTGTTTATCACTTATCACTACTTCTATAAAGTGTAAGCTAATTCTTAAGTCTGTTTTAAATATTTCTCTTTACTTTTTGTATACTAATCTTTTAATCTGTTTTAAGAAATTATATTTACCATGTGCTAGACCAAAAGTTAAATAGATTTTTATCAAATATTTTATTATGAGCAAAGATAATTTAAAGATTTAATTCCATAACAAAATTGCTTGTAATTTGTCTTTACCTTTGTCTGCAGGCTACTTTATTTATGATTCCCTAGACTTGTTAGTAAATAACAGGTTGCTACAAATGTGGGAGGTGGTATTACATCATCTTGCTGTAAGTTTTTTTGTGTGTTAATTACTTACCACTAATTCTACAAACATTCCTTTCCCATACTTACTCATCTGTATTAAGTTATATGATGAAATAGTAATTTCAGATTCTAATGATTGTTATTTAGATTAAAACCATCTTTAAAAGTATTTATAGAAATTTTAAGCTGTAAAATTTTAAAGGCAATTTCTTTTTTATCTGCAGGTAACTAGCATGTTTTATTACAATGTGAACATTCGTGCTCAAATTGCCTTCAGCATAGTCGCTCTAAGTGTGGAGGTGAATTCTTTTTTTTTACATTGGAGGAAGCTGTTGCAGATGGTGAAGACGCCCTTTGACAGCCCGCTATACCTGACTATAAAATATATCAACCTAGTCACGTTTGCGGTTTTCAGAGGCGTGCCATTGTACGTCATCACATACAGCGTTTTCACCATGGGTCACATGGTCACGACAGCGTACTACATCGGCATCTGTCTTAGTATGTTTGTGATGGATGTTTTAAATGTAATTTTGTTCTGGCGACTTTTGAAAAGTGACCTTCTACGGGGTCCCAGTGGGTCCCCTCGCTCGAAACAACATTCGGCTCTGCATCATGAGAGCAAGACCAATGGACACGTGACGTCCAACAACCACTCAGGTAACGTACCTAACTCTGTGATGAAAGAAGAATGATTTACAGTGCTGTTAACTTGATCACATAATGTGCTTGCTAAATATTCTTTGTATTTATTGTTTTATTACATACAGCTGAAACTTTACTATCATTATTGTATGCTAGTAATTTATACTGTTATTATAATTATAGGCGTAATAAAATTTAAGTGAACAAATATGTAGTTCACAAAGAAATAAAATATATATTTATCTTGCTTGTAAAGTTATTACTGGGGCCAAATATTATCATTGAACAACAAAATAACTAGTTTGTTGGACATATACCTGCCCTTAAACAAGCCGTCTCTGCTAAATGTTAACCCTAGCCTTGTCCATTCTCCAAACTAGCTGATGTATTTTTATATTAATTGTGTAGTTAGGCTAGTACAGGCCAGTTGTTGTTATTTTGCTATGGTGTTTTAAAATATGCCTCAGTTTGAGCAGAATAACAAAATCTTCCCAATTTTATATTGAGAGAATAATTCTACATGAAAGGAAGGTAATCTAAGCTTTTCAGTTATAATAAAGCATGGCTTACATTAATTATATTGTCATTTTAAAAGTGGTAATATTGTTTTTTGTAATATTTTGAACCACCCTCGAATGAAAGCAGAATTTATTTTAAACATTTATACAGATGTAATACTATACTTAACTCTTTTCTGACATTTCTTTATATTGAATATCCGACATGGTAAATATATTATTTTGCAGTTCTAGACATCCCTTTCCACTGAATGACACATTCTTTTGGTTATCTATGCCTGCTTTTAGTTTTAACAAAGCTGTTTATTGCTCCTATGATGTGCTATATACTAACTACCTGCAACCTCTGCATTTGTTATCTGTCTGGAAGATTTCAAACTTAAAGATCTCATTGCTGATTTAAACATCAGATTTTATTCTCTTTTGTTTCATAGCTTTTCATAACATGATTTCAGATTTTTAAATTTCTCAAGTAAAGCTAGGGGCTAGAAAGGTTCAAGACCAGGGTGAAGTAGATTGGAGGTTAGAAGGTCAGTCTTGTGTGCAACTTGGCTCATTGGTGCTTTTTCAAAATCAAAACATTCTCTTTTTTTATTACCAGAAATTTTATTTAAAATCATGTATGATGATTGTTACTAATATGTTATTCTGGTTTTCTACTACAGACAAGGTTATGACAGGGATGTGAATGCCTTCACACCCATTTTCTTTTAAAGTCAACCATTTCATTTTTTTAAAAACTGTTATTATGAAGCTATTTTTAAGAGGGTAATACATTTTTTATCTGCAGAAAAAATAAATTTGCCAATGTAATTTAAGATTATTAGTGTATATTCTCTAAAAGCATTTTTTAAAATTACATAAATTCAGTGTAAGGAGTTATCCATATACATTGAACACATGGAAGGAGGGGGTCTGAAAAAGTCTTAACTCATGACACTGATGATACTGACTATGACTTTCCTAGGACTGACTGAGTGACCTTGACTGAGTGACATGGTACAGTCTCCGTGACCTTGACTTAGTGACATTGTACCATCTCTGTGACCTTGACTTAGTGACATGGTACCATCTCTGTGACCTTGACTGAGTGACATGGTACCATCTCCGTGACCAGAGTTTCTTCCAGGCATCTCTTCGTGGGGGTCTACCGCTCCCCCAAATGAAATGGAATTTATATAGAAAATATATACTTTTAACTATGTGCTATGTGTCGTCGTCCCCCCCCCCCCTGAGGAAAGGAAAAAGTCTGGAAGAAACAATGTCTGTGACCTTGACTGAGTGACATATATAGATTCACAAGTGCTGTCTATTTATCTGGCTTTGTAAACTAAATCTAACTTATACTCAACTGTCATAGCTTTATTGGTAAATTTCTCCTTTACTAAGCAAAATGTTAAAACTTTGAACGTAATACTAATAAAATTGAATGTTTTTTTACCCATATATTTTAAACTTTTTTTTTTAAACCATTGACATTGGAATCAAATTTAACTGTATAAGACTAACTTTATGTATTAATTTTTCTCTCTTTAGAATATACATCAATAAAAATGTATACAGCATTAGATTATGGCAGATTTCCAGCATTAAAAAGTATTGAGTGCTTTAAAAAAGAACATATTTTTAATATTTTTTTTTAAAGAAAAATATATCCCATTTACCCTTGTGAATTTTAATTTTTAAACAATCACATAACCCTATGAAGGATCACTTAAAAAAAATTATTTTTTTGTTTCATGTCTTTTTTTTTTGTTTTGTAAAAAGTATTTCTAGTACAAGCCATGATTTTTTTTTTATCTTGCTTATCAGTTTAGGCAGCAAACATTTTCTGATGCTGGTCCACGTTTTATTTTCCAATCTCTCCTAGTGGAGGTTTTCTACTTTCCTTTGCTCAAACATTGACCTTTTCCAAATCCAGTCAACATGTTATGTATTGTAGTTGTTGTAGACTTTCCTATGCTGTGATGTCAGGCTCATAGATCTAATCTTGTTTATAAAGACACATCAAAGATATCAATTGAAATAATTGTTACATAATATGACCTTTATTGAAATTTCACAATAGTGCATTTAAATTTAAAAAATATAGTATTGTTCATGCCATTACATAGAATAGCTGAAAATGTATTCTGCTGCCCTTGTTGGAGCATAGAGCACTGACAAAGAGTTAATAAGATTGACACGAGTTGTATCTATAGCTTGTTTTTATTTTGATTAAAAAAGAAAAACTTGTTTGATCCATTTCTCAGTGAATGATATCAGCATTATCTCCACTGTCAGCCTCATAGTGATAGCATGCCTAAGTGCATCAACCTGTTGCAGGCATGTAGTTGGCTAATTAAACAAATGCCTTAAATACTGCACAGCTGTTCATTATCTCTTCAAGTTAGTAGGGCAAATATTTTAATCGAATGAAGCATATCATTATTATTAATTCGCAACTATATATCAAATTTAATTAAAACTAAATTTTTAACTGCAAGCTAAAATATTTATACACAATTCATATTTGTTAATTATCTTGAAGCCAACAACAAACCAAAAATTAAGAAATTTTCATTAAATATCAACTGTTTATTTAATGCAATCTGCATAAGTAAAATGTATGTATTTTTTTGTAACTGGTGTATACTCATTTCCAAGTATCGATTATTGTTTGTGATTTATAGAAATATACAAGACACTCAGATCTTTGTATTTGCTAAACCTTATAACTGCTGTATGTTGCACTACTGTATACATAGCTATTGTGACACAATCAAATTTTGTAGAAAGCATGACCAAATATCTTGTTTACTTTAAAAAAAAAATCAGGTTAATATTGCGTTATGAGTTGCATTTGTTCCCTTATGTTGTTGCAATACGAATGGTTTTCTTTTATCTAGAAAACATCAAATTGTTGTCAATTATATGAGAAGCAATGCATCTGAAGCAAATCTTTTAAAAATATTTGTGTTACTTGTAGTATAATTGTTTTATCTGTAATTATACATTTACTCAGCTACAAGGCCAGCAGAGTATGACAAATAAATATTGTCTGTTATATTTTTATACACGTTTTACTGTCATTTCAAAGGGTTTTTTTTAATTTGCTTAAATTATGTAACCAATTATGTAAGACATTTTTAAACTGTATATATAAAAATGTGATAATTGTGTTTTTTTTGTAACTTTATTTTAAAAACTAATTTTTTTTTCAAGGATAAAAATAAATCAATGCTTTTTGTCAGGTTCATGAAAAGGTCTTAGACTCTTAATGCTTTAATTGCATGTAGATTAAGGAAGATTTTTTGTAACAATACAAGTTAAATATAATTCCAAATTGTTTCATTCATTATTTTATTCACATGAAAATGTGGATTGATATTTTTTTTTCCTGAAAACTGAATTGTAGACTGTTAAATTGATTATATAGGTATTCCTTTTCATACAAATAAAATCCTATGAACAATTATTAAATTGCTTGGGTATCAAAACTTTATTTTAAAATGCTTTTTGTGAAGTGAACAAACTGTTTTGATTTTAATCAGCTTAAAAGAAAGGCTACTTCTTGCTAGCCACTAGTCAGTCTCTTTTTTTCTTACGCTATTTGTTTGAGAATTCTAACAACTTAAATTTTACTTCATTGGGTCAAACCAGAACCCTTGAAAATAGTTTTAAAAAAGGATTAATTAGCAACAAGTGAACACAGAAAAATGATGGTTCAGCTGTTAAAATAAAGTAAACAACCTAATTATAAAACGTACAAATGAAAATTTACCTTAGTACCACCTGACTGTGCCTTGTATTTGGTGTGTTTGTTTCATAAAGCTAAATGTATGTTTGATATTTCTTTAGTTTTGGCTCTCAGTCTCCAATCTCTATTTACATCTGTTCCATTACAGCTGATTGCTACTATGTAATGTATTTTATACAAATAAAATATTGGTATACAAGATGTAATATTGATGTTGCGTGTTTGTTTATACAAATAAAATAAAATCAATCTTAGGAGAAGGATCATTGACCGTTGTTTGAAATCGGGTAAAACATAAAACTGTTGAGTCAATGCTCACTTATATATAGGCAAAGCAAGTCTACACTGAGACTTTGGTAGTGATGGTTAGCTAGATCAGTGTGACAGTCTCCACCCAAATCCTGTGTAGATCACAGGGTGAATGGCAGTTTATGCATTAGGTTTCCCTAATTCAGGGGTCTCCAAACTATGGCCCGCGGGCCTGATGCGGCCCGCGATGTCCTCTCATCCGGCCCGCGGAGATCTTTTTGTGCACGGAAAAAACAGTTGTTGGTGATAACCGAGGAACTTTGCCCAGAAAAATCAAAGACATGCCTGGAAGAAACTGGCCCCCGAACTGAAATTTGATAGTTAATGCGGCCCTCGGACTGAAAAGTTTGGAGACCCCTGCCCTAATTGATCATTGTGAATTAAGTTTATACTGCAGCCTTAAAATTATTGCACCTCCCAACCACCAATCAGAAACTGGGCTGGAAGTTTAGTGAATTCTGTAAAGTGAGTAAACATGTACCTGGACGATGAACAGGGGTGACCTTGCCACATGTGTTGGGTATAACCACATCTAGATGTTGCCAGTGGACATATGTAATTAAATAGAGTGGAATATCAATTTCACAAATCCTATAGTTACAGCTGTCAGTTAATGTAACATTATTATAGTTGATACTTTGGATGGTCATAATAATTAGGGTAATTTCTTTATTTAAAATATTGTCTCATTTATTCATGGAGACAGAAATATTAAGTACCAACATTCTAATACAAGAGGTAATTTTGATATGGTTAAATATGCTTCTTGTGTAAAACATACCATCTTTGTCAGATGATGATAATATTAGTTTTTAATTTTGTAAGGAGTTATTTCCCATGCTTTCAGTCAAGTCTCAATTAACGCTTCAAATTGGGTCATTAGTTACAATGTTAAAAAGGTGGTGAGGGATATAAGTTACGTAACACAAATACATGTTCACTAATGACTTCACACATCAGATGGAAACTGCTGAATTCTTTAGGTGCAGTGTCCTTTTGCCCCAGATTAATGACACACTTCTCTTAAAGTGTGTTCTGTTCTGCCCACTACAAGAACCAGATTTTTCTATGCTACTTCCAGAAACATTTTAACATGTTGACTAAGATGTAAAAATTTAAAAATACATTAATTAGAAACAAAATATTCAGTGTCAAGAGTTATAAGAATAAAAACTATAAAACCTCTATTAATTATTTAATACCCTGGTACCATTTTGAAATTAAAAAGGCCATTGACCTCAAAAACATTGCCACAGGAAGTGAGGATAAACATACTGGAGGTCTGTTAAGTTTATGTTTGCTGAACCAAAAAGTGCTGAGGTTGAACCCCTGGACTCAGTAGCTGGGGACAGCCACTCATCTAGAAGAGACAACTTCAAAATCAAACAACTGCTGCATTGTAGTTTGTTCTTGTTTGTACAAAGGCTATGGAAACATACCCAGAATGAAAAGCAGGCTGAAATAGGAGTCAACGGTCTATATATGGCACATAAAAAGTTGACTTGTAATCCTTAATGGAGGCGAGCGAGTTGACGAGATTCCTTCCATAATGTTGTTGACATGGAATAAAAACGTGCTTTTTAGATTTAGACCGTAAAAAAAAATAAAAAATAAAAACTTAAGCCTAAAATTAATTTAGAAATTTTATATTTTTAGAATAAATGCTATAAAAGTTGCAAATCCAGAGAACTTGAAAAAAATTTGTTGAGTTTAAGGCTACATTTCTATTTATTTTCATCAAGCTTAAGTTATAACCGGATGTTTCACTTTCGTAAGACAAATATTGATTGGCTGTACAGTAACTTAGTGATCGATAACTATTTGTTTACAAAACTTTGCAGATCAAGTTTTTAAATAACAATGCAAATTTAAAACCCCATGACCTAGTTTTCTATTTGTGTACAATAAAATCTATGGCGGCCTATCCAATAGCAGGATGCCATTGTTTATTTCGCCATTACACGTGAAAACCAAATCGTTTTTGCTTTTTTTTTAATTTTTATTTAGTTACCGAAAATATTATAAACATCAAATACATCCAATCTTTAGTAAAGTCCGAAAAAAAACCAGACAGGCAGGATTTTATAACCATATTAATTGTAACTACGCTGTGCATGATTTTTAAATGAATTTATACACCTCTCAAATACCTTTGAGACTTTTCTCGCTGGTGTCCATTGTGTTGGAGGGAATATCTTCCAACACTAGAATTAAGAACAAAGAAAAAAAAAGATACTAAGGTGCCAAAAAAATTTGAAAGCCAAACTGAGAAACGAAAGAGTCAAGTTTTTAATGCAAATCTAGGCTTGATAAGAATTAAAAGATATTCTAGACTTTTAAACAAATACAAGTGCTGATTATCAACACAAACAAAATGTAGTGAGCAACTAAATTAAGCAATAAGATTGTAAATTTTACATTTTATTTCTTTTACATTAACATTACATTAACATTACTAACAAAGCTGTCTCTGCTTTGTTTTCTTGTAATACAAATGTTAAGATAAAACAATAAATTTTCCCCCAGTTATTCAATAGTGCACAGACAAAATAAATTTGAACACATGGGCTTTGACTAAATAAAAAACAAAACATAAATTGTAATGAAAGAAGTATTTACAGTTGGGTTGAAAAGTAAATTTAAAAAATAATGTACCACGTCTGATTTCAAAAGATTTTGACTTAAAGACATATATCCAAAAGTGTTAATGTATTACAGAATTTCAGTGAGGCTTTACTTAAAAAAATACATTCTAAACTGCATGATTTCAATGTGACCATCCATCCATGCCAGTTTGATTTGCTTTACAACTCTAGCTGATTGTATGTTTTTTAGTTAGTCTTAAAGCATTCTTAACTCTGACATAACAGGTGAACCAACAGTAACAAAATATTGATTGTTTTACTGATATGTATATCCAAAAAGGGGATTATGAGAAAATTTGAAATTTTTCTAGCGTGTTTATAAAAAGAATATTAGTTTGTTACTTTTAAGACTGTAAAAAAAAAACTTTTAGCGTATGTATGATTTTTTTTTCTCAAAGAAACCTATATGTGTGCTTAGCCTCTTGACCACAATATCATTATTCAATGTGATATAACCATTAAAAGTCTACCTGTATAATTAAATATTTACAATTATCTGAGTCAGCAACTAACATTTAGTTAGCTACCAAAATATATGTAGAGTTAACAATGTACAGTAATTTAGATCATTATGTACAAATATGGTTTAGGCACTGGCTAGAAATATCAAACTTATGAATTGTTAACTTAATGATCAATCACTCAAAACAGATCATATTTAAGTTAATTTAAACTGATACCATCTGTTTAAAAATCTTCACTGCGTTTTCCTTGATTCATGATTTGGGTAGTTACTGCACAGACAGTTACAGTTAACTGGAATTCGATTTGATATAAAAATTTCAATTCATTTTTTAAAGCGAAAAATGTTGATATTAAATTATTTTGACATTTCTTTAGGTCCTTAGATTTATTAATATTTATGTTATATTTTACACTCGCACCCCATTTTTATGTTAGTTTAACTTCTCCTGTCTTGCTGATCTGGGCTAGTTTGAGGGCACGTAAAATCTGAGGATAAAATTTAAAAACAATGATTAAATAATTAAAAAAATTAGTAGCTGTAGTCACAAATAAATACTCCAGACTAATGAAGGAGAAGCAACTCCTACCTTCATAATTGCTTTTAACATGGCAAGGGAAACAACTAATGCAGTAAGCATACAAGGGTTTAATCAAGGGGACAACTAAATTCTTACTTTAAGTTTGGCATCTCCAGTGGCCCCTGTTACTCGTAAGCCCATTGTGTTCATTTCCTTTGGTGTTAATGCTTTCCTGTGGACATATGGCTTTGGTTTAAAGACTCTTATAGCACAATGTACAGTGTCCTTATTGCACTATATACATAGTGCCCTTATAGCACAATGTACAGTGTCCTTATTGCACTATATACATAGTGCCCTTATAGCATAATGTCCAGTGTCCTTATTGCACTATATACATAATGTCCACATAGCACAATGCACAAAAGATAAGTAATAGGATTGTTGAGTAGTGCTGTGCTGGTTGCAATAATGCTTTAATAAATTAATTTAAAGATCTTTACAACATTTATAAGTCACATCTGAGTGATGAAAATTATTTCTTAAAAATGTGATTAACTAAGCAAAGAAGTTAAAAATAAAAAAAATGTTTTTTTCAAAGATCAGACATAATGTTCCATTTATATTTAGTTACTACTTTAAGAAGCAACTTTAAATCCTCCCATTCAATTATTTTATTGCTCGTTAAGTCTAGCAACTTACGTATTTCCCTCTTCTTTAAAATGCTGCCACAACAGTCTGTATGTCTATGAAAAATAAAAACAATAATTTCAAATGATTTTTTAATATCTGTTTTCTGACTGCACTATTATTTAAGAATTCATTTGAGCCTTGTATAAATTCATAAATTAAGAATAATATTAATTAATATTGACTACAACCACAGAGAAACTATTAAATATTTGGCAGAGATATATCCTTAGTAAATGTATGGGCATACGGGATGAACATGGGTAGCAACACAAACTAACTGGTAGATGAAATATACAAATACCCTATAATAATAGCAGAAATTTAACAAAAGAAAAACTGAGATACTTAAACTAGAAAGCATGTCAAATTACATAGGGGTAAAGTTGAAGTGTGACCAAAATCCCCACAAAAAAAAATTAGACCTAGGCTTTGTTGGTTAGACATAGTAGAGACAGACCTATAAGAACTTAAGAGCCATGAAAAAGGTGCTAAGCAGGCCAAAGCCCTCCATGGGCTGTAGAGCCATAGGGTTAGATCGGTGATAATTATATGAACTATAAACAACACTAATGTTGGCCACAAAAAACACACTATAAAACACAGCACTATCAACATCACCCACAGCAACATCAACCACAGTATCACCCCACTTTAACAATAGCAACACCATCATTAAACATACCCCTAACCCAACATGTAAACTGACCCTGTTAACATCCTCAAGCTTAGCTCTAGCTCTGATTAGCTCACACAAACCCCTAACCCTAACCCAACATGTAAACTGACCCTGTTAACATCCTCAAGCTTAGCTCTAGCTCTGATTAGCTCACACACAGACCCCTAACCCTAACCCAACATGTAAACTGACCCTGTTAACATCCTCAAGCTTAGCTCTACCCCTGATTAGCTCACACACAGACCCCTAACCCTAACCCAACATGTAAACTGACCCTGTTAACATCCTCAAACTTAGCTCTAGCCCTGATTAGCTCTGACACAGACATGAACTCTTCCTGGTCCAGCTCCTGGAATTCTGAACTGTTTTGTCTGCGCTCAAAAGGTGTAGGTACTGTCACTGAGAGAGAAACAAATCATTTGATTAAAGCTGTGTTCACAAGAGAGAAAACATTTGATTAAAGCTGTGTTCACAAGACATAGGTACTGTCATTAAGAGAGAAAACATTTGATTAAAGGTGTGTTCACAAGGTTTAGGTACTGTCACTGAGAGAGAAATCATTTGATTAAATGTGCATTCACAAGTTGAAGGAAACATAAAGAGAAAAAAAAAAATCATTTGAATAAAGGTGAAGGTATTGTCAGTAATATGAGAGAGAAAGTGGTGTTTGGAAGAGCTCATTTTCAGATTTGCATTAGGTAACCCCCCCCCCACTACTATCTTATTCTTTTATCCTAAGTTATATGAGGTAGGGCATGGAGCCCTATCATAAAACAGCTAATGGGACAGTAGGAATCAAAATATTGTACAATGAAGTCAAGAGGATCTTAATGTTTACTTAAAAATCTCATCTATTTAACTAAAGAAATCACTGAGCTTGAAATCTTTATAAAAATATCATACAAAGTTAAATCCTAAACAATACTAAAAATTATATGTAACAGATAATAACACTAACATCTAATTCTCCCACAATCAGTTTCCCAATCAAAAAATCACTATATCCTACTCATAAATATCTCCAAACTAAATGTGACTAAGCTACTTATTTCAACATGAGCTACTAGTCGAGTATCCTTCACTAAACCGGTGTGGATAACAACTAAAATCCTTCTAGTGTGTTCTGTTCATGACTCTAGCACACAGACCCTGACTGGTTATCTTGCTTCTGGCTAGTCAATTTAAGTTTGACCACTGTGTTATCTGTTTGTCCTAGATTCTTTTAGCAAGTTAGTCAGCACATCTATCAAACTTTTCTCTTTACAATGAATTTCCTGAAATATATTTCAGTCTCACCTTTAGTTTGCTGAAAATCTGTTTGATTTGTTGTTGCTGGTTGCTGTGAACTGGCTGAAGATGCTGTGGTACCTGGGTCATTCGAGGCACAGGTTTTAGAGTCCTCCTGGTTCTGTTCTTCAGATGGCAGGAGGTCATCTTTGGGGATACCCATCAGTTGGGATAGTTCTTCAAACATGGACACCGTGGCCTCCGTCATTTCAGGGTTAACCTGGAGGTAGGTGGCACAACAGTTCAGAGGTCAATGACATGGGGTATCTCAGTTCATAGGTCAATGACACAGGGTATCTCAGTTTATAGGTTAGGGACAAAAAGCATCTCAGTTCAAAGTTAAGGACAAAGGGTATCACAGTACCAAGGGACAAAATGTGTAGCTATTCAGAGTTAAGGACAAAATGTGTAGCTATTCAGAGTTAAGGACAAAATGTGTAGCTATTCAAAGTTAAGGACAAAATGTGTAGCTATTCAAAGTTAAGGACAAAATGTGTAGCTATTCAGAGTTAAGGACAAAATGTGTAGCTATTCAAAGTTAAGGACAAAATGTGTAGCTATTCAAAGTTAAGGACAAAATGTGTAGCTATTCAGAGTTAAGGACAAAATGTGTAGCTATTCAGAGTTGAGGACAAAATGTGTAGCTATTCAGAGTTAAGGACAAAATGTGTAGCTATTCAGAGTTGAGGACAAAATGTGTAGCTATTCAGAGTTAAGGATAAAATGTGTGGCTGTTCAGAGTTAAGGACAAAATGTGTAGCTATACAGAGTTAAAGACAAAATGTGTAGCTATTCAGAGTTAAGGACAAAAATGCATCTCATTTCAGGAAATAATACATCTTACATCACTTCAAGATACAAGATATTAGAATACAAAGTTAAGGGCACAATGTGGCAGTTAATAGGAAACAGTACTCAAGTTATTGTGTTCCCACAAAGACTAAAGTACCACTTCTGGTTACTGCAAATCATTCAAAAGTTAATAGAAACATGTGCATACAATCTAATACTTACATACCAGATACCTGAGAGAAACACTGTGAGCAGCTGTTCTATAGACTGATCATACACTTCTTTCTTAAGCAGTAACCATAAAAATTAAAGTGCCTAGCCTTGTTTACTTCCTTAATGACAAAAATTTATTACAATCTTGCTATGAATCTGAAGCATACTCTCTATACCTTAAAATATCTTTCCCTGCATTTGAAATGACAAACAGAAAATAAATAATCAGTTGAATGTATTTCTGTAGAAAAATGTCCTACCCCTGTCTGATTTTCCAGTTTCTCTAACATCTGTGTCATTGTAAGCAGCTGGGTTCGGAAGAAGGCAACTGTTTCCTTGGGACACAAAGTAAACAAATTAGTCCACACCTAATTATATATACATTTATTTATGGAAATTAAGAAATATCATTATACAAATCATAATATAGAATTAATAATTTTTATTAAAAATAATGGAGACATTTAATTAAAAGAGTCATAGATAATCAGCAGGTTTTGTTTAAATTGTGTAATATCAAAATCTGAATCTACAGTGTAATATCCAACAGTATCATGCCTTTACATTCTCCAAAGTTTTATCAGGTGTGAGTAGAATTTTGACAATTGACAATCTAGCATTGCATATTAGCAATGCTTTAAATAATAATTACATATTAATTACATGTTAATGGATATTATACTGCAGTCAGTCAGGCAAATTATCCCCATCAATTAAAACAACAAATGTCATTTACATTGGATAAATTGAATGTTCTAATTTTAATCAAATTAAAGACTGACACTAATTGAAGTAGGCAAGCACTTAACAGCATGTGGTAGTAAATACAACAAGATAGTTTAAAACACCTGGTTGATTAAACTTTATTGATTTTCACCCCTTAAACTTATAAGCCCTTGGTGGAAGAGGAACATTTTTTGTTAGTTGGTCACTTTGGGGGATGGTGTGGTTTAGAGGTATTTTAGGGATGGTGTGGTTTAGAGGTATTTGGGGGAAGGTGTGGTTTATTGGGGTAAGGTGTGGTTTAGAGGTATTTGGGGGAAGGTGTGGTTTAGAGGTATTTGGGGGAAGGTTTAGAGGTAGAACATGCCACATATCACAATGTCAGTACCCAAACATTTGACATAAATAAATACCTACTACAACAACATTGATTAAAAACAATCTGTTGCATGGAAACATAAATAAACATATGATCTAAGGTGTTGGTAAAAAAAAAATTCTTTAAAGACAATTAAACAAGAAAAAAATAATAATAAAACTTACAGACTTTGCACAACATCATAGGTTTTTATGATGATTTTTAAATGTACAAAGTGCATAAACCTACTTTCTGAGCTTGCTGGATAGCACTCATGTCTTCAACCAGAGATGAATACTCTGTTTTGACCTCTTCAATGGCTTTTAAGAGTCGCACAGGATTATTCTATTTATATGATGAGAAAATTTCCATGACATTGTAATTAACATCAATACTATAAACTTTGTAAAACTAATATTATATAGTAAGCTGTTTATACTTTTAAAAGGACAAGAGAGCTTTTAACTTATCATTTAAGCTACTTGAAAATTAAGCTAAAGGTTAACACAATACTAAATAATTGTTTTTTAACAGCTGTAAATAGTAATTCATTACTTAAAGTCATAGCAATAGTTCAATACCTATTAGTTAAAGTAAGATTTCTAAGAATTTCATAAAATAAACAAAATCTGAATGATTTTTTAAATTGAGTTTTAAAAAAGATAAGCTTACTTTTGTATTAACTCCTTGTTCATTTTCAAGCTGAAAATCAAGCTTTCTTGATATAAAGTTCAAGTCGGCCTCTGCTTTTTGAAACTGAAAAACAAAAGTCAGTTAATAATTTAAAAGAAGGGGAGGATTTGGTCAAGTAGTAGTAAAAGTAAAAAATAAAAAAAGTGAAGTTCCTCTTTAGACCTCACCATCTTTTGGGCAGATGGAGAAGAGTTCATGTTTCTTTACTTGTCGTATGATAGTATAGTGTGGTCAACACAATGCCCAGCCACTTTTACTTTCCTCAATGTAAGTCAGGTACCCATCAGAGCTGGGTGGACTGAGGGACGTCCTACAGTCACAAGTCTGAACCAAGGTCTGAACTCGAGAGCTTCGGGGTAGCTCTATCATTTGACCATGCAGTCCCATCCATGTAGTAGTATGCACTTGTTAAACCAAAAGCCTTTAAAATGAGCTACCACCTACATCCAAGCACAGTTGCGCCGTAAAAAAAAAACATCAAAACTTTTCAAAACAGAAAAAGAACACTAAAATGAAACAAACAAAAATAATGACCCAGCAAACTAAAAAAAAATACCAAGAACTTAGATTATAAAAAATGAAGAAATAGATAAAAATCCCTTTAAATTTCATTTTTCAAAACAGTAGTTGTAAGAAATACCAGTGAAAAAAATGATATTGCTGGAAAGGGAATTACAGTCAATCTAATTAAGACAATTTTGAATTTAACATTTTATAACCTGTGAAGTGAAGAACTAGATCTAGATGATATTATGATAATCTTATTTTAAGAATAAATCTAATATTCTCATAAAATAATTCAGCCATCTTCTTCAATCGTTTTTTGTAGCTACCACATCTCAACCCAGCCAATGCCCTTCTAGATCTAGATCTACATTTAATGTCATTTAAGTCTAATCTATTCCCCAGTCACTAGTGCTACCACCTTCAACTCCACCCCAACAATAACCGTGTCCTTATTACCGTGACCCTAAATAAATATTAATAAAAAATGAATAGGCCCTAAACTAATTGAATAATTAATTCTCAATTGTCGTAATAATTACGACGTAATTGAATATAGACCAATATGTTGAATATAGTATAGATCTAGTCTATCTAGATCGATACACTTTCCAGATTCTATCACCAAAAAAAATTCAATCGTCGCGCTTTTTCATTTTATTTACCAGCGACTCCAGTCTGTCAACTGCCTTTTCCATTTGATTTGCAATCTGTGAATCTGGGGTCTCTCGATCAGCTGCTGCAGTAAACAGACTAGTATAATAATGTCTCAGTCTAGACTAGACTCTAGTCTATTAATACTATTCTTAACTATACTATGTTATGTTACTATCTATACTGTATAATATTAGATATTATTATTAGACAAATAGATTTACAGGTAAATATCTAGATCTATACGAGATCTAGATTTTTAGACTAAAGACTTCAATCTGAAATCCTTGACCCAATACTAAAAGCGAAAGTAGAAATTTAAAAGTTGATAGTATTTTAGAGTACCCTCCCATGGCAAAGTGCATGGAGCCAATAAAATAATTTGTCCATTAATGTCGTGGCCGTTATATGTTCACTTCCGTTGTGTATAAAAGAACATTCTATTGGTCCAACTCAGCAATCATACTCGTCTAAGCAAACCCAAGCCTACGGTACACAGTAAAACAGTCACCATGTCTTCTGCTGGAAACATGATTTCGTTTGCATTTGTTATATTTTCAGCTCTTTGTCACCAAGTTTTTGGTGAAGTAGTTACTGGATCAGTTGCATTAAACTCGGGTGTTTTTGATAAGGTAATATTAGTAATATTAGACATTATTAGTACTTAAAATAGGAGACTTACCGTTACCGTGCGTTTACCGGTCAATGACAGAAGAATGAGACTGAGAAGATGATCATGATGTTTCACAAAAGATTGTCAAAAGAACTATCAAACTCACCCATACACCATAGCAGAGAAGCTACTCTTTTAATATAGATCTATAATCTTTTAAGTTCCATAGGCTAGATTTCTAGTTGGTGCTAGGTCCATATAATATAGATTTCTAGTATAGTCTAGACTCGAGAATCTAGATCTAGTCATTCTAGTGTTACGTGTAGTACAAAGTGTAGAGATCTAAATCTAGATTCTAGATCTAGTTTCTAGAGCAAATTACATTGTCCGAACACTACATGGGACCGAACACTTCGTCGGTTTTTGGCTCATAGAAACTTTAATTAGCATGTCTCATGCGAAACCACAGCGCCTGCACGTAAACTGTTCATTTATGAACACTTCCGTGTCAAGTACTTCCGTTTCCTCTCTCAAGAATTATTTTTAGAAAATTTTTAACGTTGCATGGTACGCACATTTCTATTTTTACACCAGCCGGATGAAGTGACCTAGGGTTGGACTTAGGGGCAAAACTTGAACCAATCAACGCTTAGCTAAAAGGTTACACTATAAATAGCTTCTATATATGTATGGAACATCGTAAATGTCAAGGTTAATGGGTTATTTTGTGCTTGAACAATAAAAAAGGGGTGTTCGCTAACTTTTTTGACCTTACATGGGATCGGACAGCAACACAAAAATATTATTAAATAAGAATTTAGAGCATAAAAGGGGCTGGTTATTGAAGGGAAAGGGTCAAAATAAGGTCAAGAAGGCAGTGGAATGCGAAAGAGGAGGGGGAATCATGTGACCTGGCTGGCTTAGCAGCGTACTGCGCGAGCCGCAATGGCTGAATGGGATGAACTTTGGGAGTGTGGGAAAAAGGTTTTATACTATTAAAATTACCTCACAAACAATCAATAACACAATATAAATGCATATAATATATGTTTTTATTCATTAAATTGACTTTAAATTATTCTAAATGAACAAAAAGTGCTATGTCCGATGACGGGTAAAGGTGTCCGAACACATGCAAAATTTTATTACATGTGTCCGAACACATGTTAAGACCCCCCAGTCACTATAACAAGAATAGCTAAAGTTCTATGCGTATGAATACAAAATGACACACACATTATTAAAGTAGAATGATTGCGGATAGATATGATACTTTTTTTTCCTTCCTATGTTAAGCGGTTACTGAATGGGACCGCATGGAAGTTTTAAGTTGCGTTTTTTCGCGGTGTGTGTCCGGACAGTGTAATTTGTTCTAGATCAAGAAATCTAGAATCTAATCTAGATCTAGAAAAATCTAGATCTAGAGCTAGACCGATTCATAGTTAATGACTTTAAAAATTAGTAGGGTAGGCTTTAACCCTCTTAAGACGTAGCTTTTTTAGAGAGCCGGTGCTAAGAAGACGGAGCCTACTTTCAAGTTTTGCACTTGTATCACACAAAAAATTTGAAAAAAATAAACTAATTATTTTACATGCATAAAAATATATATTATTTATTAGGAAATTGAATGAGCTAATATGATTTTTATAAATCTAATAAAAATCTCAACTTAAATATATGTGAGCTTTCTGATTTGCATAATTTATGCACGAAAAAAAATTTGACTGCACTAAATTACAGTAAATTTGTATAAAAATACGTTTTTTCTCTCTGTAATGCTAATCTAAATAATACACAAACATCTATTCAATAATCTGAACTAATTTACTGATTATTATTTCTACATTAGAATTTCTAAGTATATTTTTAGTATATTTTGATGACTGGACTGTTGGACATAAGAAAATTTACGATAGGACTCACGGCACTAAAAAAATCGATAAAAAACAAAAAAAATGAGGCAAACTTTCAATGGAAGTCGCCATTGAAGTGCTAGATATGTACTATAACAGTTAGAAGCAATCTGATTGGCTGATATGATACTAGAAAGCCAATCGTGTGGCTTCTACTATCACGGCTGAGACCCGGCCGATAGATCGGCCGGTCGTCTTTTTGGCTATAAAACCGGCGGCCGATAGATCGGCGTCTCAAGAGGGTTAATGAGTTATACATACTACTATGATACTACACTGTTGTTGCATCAATCATCAAACTAATTAATGATAATGACTAATGACCTCTCCAGGTCAGTGCCAGAGACTGGGTGGACTCAACTCTTAGACGCTTGACATTTAAAGTTTAATTTTAAAAAACACTTTTGTTTAAAATTTTAAAATTATTTTCAGATCATTCAAAAGCACAAGGCTGTTTTGGTGAAATTTGATGAGACTTATCCTTATGGTACTAAGCAAAATGTATTTAAAGAAGTTGCCAAAGCAAGCGTAGTCCAGTCAGATTTACTAGTAGCAGAAGTTCAGGTTGCAGGTGTGAAGCCAGTTTATGATTTTAATAAACATTGGATATTTAATATTTTACTTAAATTTGTTAATGCTGTTAACATACAACCTTAATTAATATTGTGTTCTAATTTTCAATGTGTCAAAAACTATTTTTTTCAATCTTTTAAATCAAGACATTTTTTGTGTGTACAGATTATGGTGATAAAGACAACATTGATTTGGCTGAAAGATTTGGTGTCACCAAAGCAGATTTCCCAGCATACAGGCTGTTCCTGAATGGCAAAAACACTGACCCAATCAAGTTTACTGCTAATGTTGAAAGTGCAGATGATATTAAAAACTTTGTGATTAGAGAATCAGGTAATATATTTGTCTAACTTAAATGTGTAAACACAATAATATTGATCTTCAGTGCGCATCTGCATTCAGTCATAATTTTGGAGTCAACTGCATATATGGCCCATAACAGGCTGACACAAAACTTAATTGTGTTGGAGCAAATACCATCCAACATTAAAATTAAGAGCAAAGAAATATGAATTTTAGGCAGACATGCCTACCATCTCAAAATTATCTGAATCGTTCCACAAAATCAAAAGAAAATAGTGTTTCAATCTGCCATTCCATGTGTCATTGCTGTTCTGTTAAGTGGAAAATATAGGCATACATATTTTTATATTTTAAAAATCTAACTGAAAAAGTAGTAGTGTAATGCAAATACTTCACATGGCATTAGTTTCCTTTTCTTTATTTACTTAATTATGTGCACTTTATTATTAGTTATTGACATGGCCAATCCTAGTACATCTACAGTGCATAGCAAGTCAGACCCATGTGAAGCTTGCAAATCAAGCTTAAGAATCCAAAATAGTTAAATTTTGTTTTATTATCAACTATGGTTAACGTATACCACAGTAATTTGACATATGAAGAAGTTATATACCTATATCTTGAAAATATTTTAGTAGGTACATTACAACAAATAATAAACTGATATTTATAGGTGTTATTAGCTATATAGTACTGTTTACTGTAACTGTATTTGTGCTCGTGTGTACTGTAGGCCCTTTTCTTATTTTTAATGAAATTTTTTTTCAGCACTGCACAGTAGCATCAGAGCTTATGTTCTCCTTTGATGGTTTAAATTCCTCTTTCTATTTTGACTGAAACCTATTACATTTTTATGCAGTAAAAAATCAATAATTGTTTTGTTCCCAGGTCTATGGCTTGGTCGTCCTGGATGCTTAGAAGAGTTTGATAACCTTGTTAAAGAGTTTTTTGCTGCAGCTGAGGATAAGAGGTCTGAGGTTGTACAGAAGGCTGAGAAGGCTGCTGAGAAACTCACTGTTGACAGTGAAAAGGCCTCAGCTGAGACCTATATCAAGACACTAAAGAAAGTTTTAGAGAAGGGTAAAGACTTTGTCAAGTCAGAAGTGACCCGTGTTGAAAAGTTGCGCTCAGGAAAAGTTAGTGATAAGAAGAAAGAGCAGTTGGGTGATAGGCTAAATATTTTAACTACATTCCAATTGAATGTCAAGGATGAACTATAGTTCTTGTTATAAACATTTTATAAGTGTTTAACTACAATTTTTGCATTTCCAAAAACAATTTTTAACTTTTATAAAGGTTGTTATTACTAAGTATTATGAGATTTATGATTTTGAACTTAAAGCATTATTTTTATTGCTGATTACCTTATGAACTTGTATGTTCTAATTTGCCTTGCATTCTTTTTTACTTTTAGTTATGCTGCAGCATAGTAATTGTGTTATTCAATAACTTGCTCAAGCTAATTTCAGTGCATATTAGCTTATCCATATTATTCACTGCCATAATACTGTTTTGGTAATGAGATTCCATAATTTAATGACTTAGTAGAATATTATTTTTAGCTGAGCAGTTATTAAGTTTGTAGTTCTAAACTTCAAATTGATTGCTAGCAGAATTAATATCTTTTAAGCACCATTTTTAATTAACTGATAATTGCTTTATGCTTCCATAATTTTTCTTTTTCTCCCCTCAACTATTGGCAATAAACAACATACATTGTCTCAGATAAACTGTCTTTTAGTTTATTTAAATGTTTTAAAGAACTTTGAATTATGTTTATTTATTATGTTGAGCTGCGTATCAAAAGATGCAGTGAGTTAATGCTGTGAAAAGATGACCATTTTTAAAAGCCCATGTATGATGTGGTAAATTATTAAAGTCATATCAATTTTAATCATCCAAGTTCTTTTTTTGTGTGTGTGCACAATTTCATAAAATGTGTGGGTTTTTAATTTCATACATTTCCATGGAAAAAATGTTAGCTAATTATGCTTATTTTAATGTTACAATTTTAATATTTATTTAAAAATAAAACTGTTATAAAGTGGGTTTATGTTTTGTTGTTGTATTCATTGAATACTGGAAAGTTACATTACATACAATTGAATTTTTGATACAGTTTTAAGCTAATGGGACAGAAATGATTTTTTTCTCTTCAGATCTTAAGTTAGTATTTACGATGGTCTGATCTATGTGCACAGCAGATTCTGTTAATATTGATCTTGTACTCCGGAATCGCATTAACTAGTCAAGTAGTTTACATCTTATAAACACAATAAGTATTAACTTCCATTTTGAAGTGTATACCTTAGTTTTATGTGAGGGGGGGGGATCTCCATTTAGTAGTATTAAAATTACCACAACACTGTTAAGCGTCCATTAATTTTTTCTCCAAGTAGTTATCAGTTGAAACAATAAGATGTCATAAGTTACCAGTTTGATGTTACAGTAACCCCCATCCCCTCCCCAATATTAATTTTTTTACGAACATTAACAGTTTTCATACCTTTTTCATTAGAAATTCAAAATAAATGCTTGCATAAATTTTTTCGCCATTCACATCTCCGACCCCCGCAAATCTATGTGATTTTGTTTAGCACCCATTCCCTACTCTCTTTCCCTCCCCCCCCCCCCCCACTCTATGATGCACACACGATTATAATCAGACGAAGACGAAACCCGGATAGATATGACTTTCATTAGACCCTCGGGGTATTCAATAGCTGAATATTGGGCTTGTGTCCATACAATTAACGATACTAATCCTAGTGTTGGTTTTGTTGAAACAGGACACACTCATGGGTACACGAAAAATAAAGCTTTTGCTGATGTATTTTATCACTGTAGAATATAGATCTAACATGTCGAGGAAATTAACAACAAAAGGCTATTGTAATTGAGGAATCAAAGAGGTCTATACTGGGAGACTAGCAGTTCTACAATATTCTAACATGAATTATTAGGGCTACTTATTTGAATGTAGGCCTACGTACAGTTTAACATTTGCCTTCTTATAGAATAAATGAAATGTAAAACTTCGAATGTGGTGCATAGACCGTTTATAGACCTATATATTTCGATTTAATTCATTTATCAAGCACAATTCACTTCATTTAAAATTTCGTTTATTTCACAATAATGATATATATATATATATATATATATATATATATATATATATATAGGCCCAGTCGTGTTTACCTTCCCTAACGTGAGTTAGGTACCGACTATATTGGGTGGACTCAAGGAAATTCTGCTATTGACTAGAACCCGGAATCAAACTCGAGACTTGCGGGTTAGCAGTCTAGCGCTCTACCTCTAGGCCATAATCGGGCCTAGTTTGCTGAATAATAAATCAAAATAAATTACTAGGCCTAGTATTCTGAAGAATAACTTATAAGAAATCGTAACAAATAATCACTGATTATTGTCCTACGTTTTCAATGTACACAGTTCCAGACATTCACCAGATAAAGTATCGCAACATTGCACGTCAAGCTTAATTTACATAAAGTGATTTAATACTCTAGTAGCTTCAGTGGCGTAGACAGGGGGGTTAGGGGGGGTCATAACCCCCCCCCATAGACCCCTCGGTATATATAAAAAGTATGAGGGGGGGGGTGCAAATCGAAAGTTTGAGGGGGGGGGGGGTGCAAGTCGAAAGTTTGTCCCCGGGTAAAAATTGGAACCCCCCCCCCCTTGAGACGATCCTGGCTACGCCACTGAGTAGCTTTACCATTTTCATGACTGTTCCCTGATATCGCAACGTAGCTCTAAAATATCCTTATCGTGACAACTTAAAACCGTAAACTGTTTTATGAGTGTGGCGTAACTTTGGCAAACAAAATCCGATCTACATCTCTGTGAAGATCCTGAATGAGAAATTTTTTTTCTTCAAGAATGTGGCAAGATTGTAAATCAGTGTTTCTTTCATTCATTTTTCTCCAGGGGGTGTGGGATGGGGCACTTGAAAATTTTGGGGAGTGGACTTAAATGTCCAGGGGGGGGGGCACTGTTTAAAGCATATCTATTTTGTAGCCAATTAAAATTCTTATTTGTTCGGGGAAGAAGTGTTTAGGTGAGGAGAGGAGCGCCGGTGCACCCCTCCCCCTCCCCCCCCCAATCGAAGAAACTCTGTTGATAGTTGCGCAAATTGTTTATCCACTTAAGTGCAGAATGTTTTTGGCGGCACTGACGACACATAAATACTGATGAAACAAGGGAATTTCTGTGAGAAACTGAAGTACAAGAACGTTTTTAAAGATAGGTGTTGAAGTAATAGCATGGAATGGTTTGGGTTGTACCTTATTATTCTATGATAAACCGAAATACAAGAACGTTTTCATGATAGGCGTTGAAGTAATAGCATGGGATGTTTTAGGCTGTGCCTTGGTACCATTATTAACCCCTTTCTTATGTTGTTTTTTTCGAAAAAAAAAAGATTCCTCTCGTCTTTTTTCTATGTGTGGCAAATGAACATATACAACATCTTGTAACAGATCACCCCGTCGTATATGAACAAATGGATCAGTGAGGTGAATGAAAATAGCACACAAGGAACGAACACACACACACACGCACACACACACACACATATATATATATATATATATATATATATATATATATATATATATATATATATATAGGCCCTATATATATATAAATGTATAGGCTTTTATATTTTTTTGAAGATGAAGAGGGGCGGGGATTGACTGCATAGTCTGATTGATGACCTAGCAATGCTACAGGTAAGAACGAATATCCGGCCCTAAAGTGTGACAAATTCAGAGGACTTCGTTTCTATTTTAATTCAAGTCGGCCCCTATGTCCGTGATGTCCATCTCTCCGTGAGAGTCGCGGTCATACCTATGTTTAGATATCACGATAGTCTATTAAATTCAGATCTCTTTCCACTAAGTAAAGTTTTTTTTAACGTTCTGGGATATTTAATAAGAAAGGTAATTGCTCTGTTTTATCTCCCTTTATTGTGTCATATTAAAAAGTAAATATTAAACGTATAGCCAGCAATGTGAAATTTAACTTTCTCTCTTAGAGATCGGGGTCGGGGGTGAAAGAAAGGTCAGTAGTTTTGTGTCGATGTGTGATGAGGGGGAGGGGGGTTCAGATAATGTGACGTCACTTTTGCTGTTTCAAAAAGTAATTTTAGAATCTGAATTTTATCCGTTATTTCGCGTTTTATAAAACTGTTTTAATAAATTGTAATAGAAATGTATTGAAATACTCTATGTTGACCGAGCACAGTCAAAAATCGATGTTTTGAAAACATGTCAACTGCGAGTTTGAGAGGGGGGGGGGTGTTGTAGGTTGAGTTGTGACGTCATTTTAGGGTGTAAGGGTCAGGGTTTTTTTGGTGACACTGTGTGACGGAGGGCAGGGTGCAGATAAAATCGTTAAAAAAAACAGTGACGTCATTTATGGATGACCACTTGACCTAAATGTTAATACACGTACTCGGAATAATTTAGCTTACAAGTAATTTGGCAAAACGAAAATAACTCTACTTAATAAGCCAAGAGTCAAGCATAACTTAAAAAGACAACAACAACATTTTTTTTTTAAATTACCACTTCAAGTTGGTGAATACAAAAAAAAAAACTATTTAAAAAAAGGTTCTTTATTCACTAATTCTATCGTCCTCCATGAAAGAAATACTGACTGTTGTGTTACAAAAAACAAGATGCAATAGAAGGCTTTTCACTCCACGGATTTACTGTCTGTTAAAGGCTGTATCTGGCAACAATCAACACCGTAGTAGACAATTACCCGGCTTAACTTCTATACCAAGACTATATTTTGGCATTTCGATTCGATACAAGTTTCCGTAAGTATAGTTTTTTTTTTTTTTTTTTTTTTTTTTTTTTTTTTTTTTTTTTTTTTTTTTTGCAATTTCACTTCCCCAGATTCAGAATGTTCGTTCAAACTTCACCTTTTTTTTTCAAACTGTTCTAAATCTAACAAAGGCATTGTGGTAAAATATTCGTGACACCTGTCTCTCATCATTATTACACAACGATTATTCCTTTTCAATCCATATATAAAGGTCGAGGACACAAAACATTAACCCATGTGAAGGTTTTCGATAGTTGAAGAGTCGCTACGCCTCATGGGGGGGGGGGGGTGACACCATTAAGTGCCGCAACGGGTGACACCCGACCTCGCTACGCCACTGATACACATGTAAGTAAATGTGTTATGACTGTATCTACATGCAGTGGCGTCGCTAGGTAGGGTGTCAGCCGTTGCGGACACTCATGGTGTCACTCCCCAAAGAGATATTTTCAACATTTGTATCTGCTTAAATCTTTCTAGCATTTTAGGGTATACTAAGTTTGTACTTGAATTATTACCAATTCAGCCTACTCCATTGAAAAAAAAAACAAAAAACAAAAACAAAACCAAGACGAAAGACGTGTAAATTTGTCAATTTGGTAAGTCGACCAGTTGTATTTTGATGTCTTTCTTGTGATTTCTATAATTTATTTTCCTTTCGACAAGTTTTTTTTGTAAAGCTTATTTATTTACCAAAAATCAATACATTAAAATTTAATTTTTGAAACATACAATTTTAAATGAAAATTAGAAAAAAAAGTTTTGAATGTACTAAGTAAAAAATATTAATTAGAATGAAGCAAATCAGTGAAAGCCAATACTTAGTGATAAGAAATGTGAAAAAAAAACTTTATCCCCTCTGTAAATATTTCATTTGGTGTCTCCCCTCACCAGAGTTTCTTCCAGGCATCTATTGCCCCCCCCCCCCCCCCCGAAATTTTTTTACCGCCCCCCCCCCCCGAACGAAATGAAATTTATATAATTTATATAAAAAATATATACTTTTAACAGTGTCCGCCCCCCGAAGAAAGTCTACCGCCCCCCCTCCCCCCGAAAATTTCAAGTGCCTCCCGGAGATAAAAGTCTGGAAGAAACACTGCCCCTCACCAGTCCGTCGTAATCGTCCATTTATACTAAAACGTTTATTTAACTTTAATTAATCATTAATTGAACTGGCAAAAGAAATTTTCTTCTATAAATTTGCAAATGTTTTTATCTTGATGTCTCCCCTCTAAATAGTGTTACACTGTGCGGTCCGCACCCCCCCCCCTCACCCCCTCGCGACGCCTATGTGATCATGAACCCCTTGTGTGTTTGTTTTGCACTATCTACGACTTTATTTGTCAAACATAATTTTTTTTCCTCGACTTGATCATAGTCTTGCATTATGCTATAGAATTCGGTTACCTCTCTATGTAGATTGTCCCCACTCAAAGTGCCCTATCTGCCCCTTACAACAGCTATTATATAAGGAGGCCGCAGTTTTCAACGTGCCATATTACTAAAACGTTATCTAACCAAGCTCATAGTGTCTTGTGGGAACAAAGCAGTAAGTAGTTTTAAGACTTGCATATATATATATATATACATATATATATATATATATATATATATATATATATATATATATATATATATATATATATATATATATATATATAATAGGCCTATATATATGCATACATATGTATTGTATTATATAAATAAGACTATATATTATGTGCATGCATATAAATATATATGTATATTTATTTATACATATATATAATATAATATAAAATACGTACATATATGTGTGTGTGTGCATGTTTGTACGTGCGAAGTTGTTGTAAGATCTATTAAAGAATACAAATATATTACTATAAGTTGCATTTATTTCTCAATTGTCAGGCAAGTTCCAACGATGGCTCGTATTCTGGCACTGGTTGTTTTCCTCTTCCATTGCATTCACCCAAACCAAGGCCAACAGTATGTGAAAAGTGAAACGTCTAACCAAACTCCAACAGAATTTATTGGCCAGTCAACTATTGCAGCGTTTGACAAAGTTCAGTACCACGTGGCCGTATTTCGCGGGATACCTTTTGCTAAACCCCTTAGTGGAGACCAGAGGTTCTCAAAACCTCAGACATTGGAGCTGAAGAATGAGACATATGACGCACTCAACTTTAAAAATATCTGCTTTCAAAAACCGGATGATGCGGACAAATGTCGAACTGGCTTCACACAATCTGAAGATTGCCTGTATCTGAATATCTACGTGCCTTTAAAAGTAAACAATAATGCAGATAATTCAAATGCCAACATTACTTTATCAAACAATAAAACAGAGAATCTGGCAGTTTATATTTACATTCACGGCGGGGCTTATTTTGAAGGAAACGGCAACTGCTACGATATGGGAATCTTCTCCGGGTTTGGAAACATCATTGTCGTGACGATCAATTACAGACTCGGCGCGTTTGGGTTTCTGTCAACGGATGATGACGTCATACCAGGAAACCTGGGATTGTGGGATCAACACGAGGCTATCAAGTGGGTGAGCGAGCATATCTCGGCGTTCGGTGGCGATCCGGGACGTATCACCGTGGGCGGCCAGTCCGCTGGTAGCTACAGTTCTATCTTACAAGCGCTGTACCCCGGCAATGGAGGACTCTTCCAGAGGGTGATTGCTCAAAGCGGTACCCCGGCGGCCAAGAACAGTGTGAGCAGGGTGGCCTACAACACCAGTCTACACGTGGCCAAGTTGTTGGGATGTGATGTAGACGGGCCGAACCAGAGTTCCAAGATCAAACAATGTCTTCTGGGAGTCAACGCTTCTAGACTTGCTGAAGTTTCACCACATGTTTTAGCGCCGTCAACATTGCCGTTCGAACCTAGCTTAGGCGGAGCATTCATCGCTAATGACCCGAGTTTAATCTTCTCTAGTAACTCTAACCCTGACGCCATACCTGCGCATTTCTCCAACAAAGACATCCTCATCGGCGTAGACGCTCAAGACGGTGAGGTGGCTTACAGACTTTGGGTTCTTTTGTTCAATATCTCTGCTGCAACTGCCTTCACAACTCCTATGCCGAAAGAAAGGTTTAGAGAACTTGTTTACGATTACTTATCTGACAACTTAAACGAAGACATAAATAAATACAAAAGAATCATCGACGCTGTTGTAGAGAGGTACACGGACTGGGGAGACGCGGACAATTTGACGGTGGTGAGCAACAAAGCTGTGGAAATGTTGACGGACGTTTTCTTCGTTTTACCCGTGCGTGACACGGCTATTGGACATGCGCACAACAAGACAACATCAAGACGTAGGCGTGACGTAGTGTCGGCGGCTGGGAAGACGTACGTGTACAAGTTTGTGATCCCCAAAAGTTTGTCGAGTAGAAATACGATCTGGTGGGTGGAGGGAACGGAGCACGCTTCTGAAATTCCGTATACTATGGGTAACGTTGGCAACAATTCCGATGGTGTGAAGTTGTCTAAGGCCTTTATGACATACTGGTCAAATTTCATCAAAACAGGGTAAGACGATTAAACATTATGTCATGAAAGATTAGGTCTATGTAATATTTACCAATATTTGAGGGACGGTGTGACCTAGCGATAGCGCGCTAGACTGCTAACCCGAAAGTTCGAATTCGGGTCCAAGTCAGTAGAACGTCCCTGATTCCACCCAGCTCGAATGAGTACCTGACTCACGTTAGGGAAAGTTAAGGCGGCTGGGCATAATGCTGACCACACCATCCCTTCATATGTCGAGTTCAAGAAACATGAACTCTATTTAATCTTCCCAATGGATCGTTATGTCTAAACAGAAACTTGACTTTACTTGATGTTTACCATATATATATATATATATATATATATATATATATATATATATATATATATATATATATATATATATATATATATATATATATATATATATATATATATTTATATATAGGCCTGTATATATATATATATATATTTATAGGCCTTTATTGTGAGTAGGAATCTTAAAATACTTGTTTAAAATATACACATTTTTTTGCAAATAAAAAAAATGTTATTTTTAGCTAATCGATTAAAATAATAAATAAGGGCTTTGAATAAAATTAATAACATTTGAAAATCTTGTTATATTTGAAATTAATTTTAAAAAATCACATCTTTTTTTACAGAAACCCAAACTCAAACCCAGACAAAACGCCCGCCACTTTTGCTGAATGGAACCAGTTCACAGTCGCAGACCAGAAGTACCTGTACCTGACCAATGATCCAGCAATGAGGGCAAACTTTGGAGCTGAGACCCGCCACCTGTGGCAAGACGTGGTCCCCAGCTTGAAACAACTGCTGGTGAACCAGGACAGCCTTGTGAAACCTAGCCCAATAACGTGTCGTAGCAACAGGGGAAGTCACTCCGCGATCAGTGTCTTTTTTCTTCTCTCGCTGCTGTCCCTTGCGGTTGTCTAAGGATGCTTTTATCTTCTTGTTATGTTTTGTTATACGGCAGTTTGTTGGTAGGGGTCATTCATAAACGACGTCACACGCCTGTGAGGTGTGGTAGTGTGTGTGTGTGGGGCGGGGGAGGGAAGGGGGGGGGGGTTGGGAGTTTATGACATTGTGTGACGAGAGGTCGGGTTCAAAAAGTGGGAAGACACACTTTTTGCAGTTTTAAAAAGTAATGTTAGAAGCTAAAATTTAGACCTTATTTCGCGTTTAAAAAAAAAAAGGAGAAATTAATTAATGTAGTCAATCTTTGATCAGGCTCAGTAGATATTTTAGAAAGAAATCGAAATAAAAAAACAAAAACAGGAATTGCAATTCTCAGGGAAATGTTGTAAACTATGCGTGTAACCTCTCATTTTAGGAGAGGGGTGGGGGGGGGGGGATTCTACTAGCTTTTTGTGACGAACATGAAAAAAAGGGGGGGGGGGGGGCGTAACAATCGTCTAATGAAAACGTGACGTCATTTATGGAGGGCTCTCATATGCATTTTCATAAATAAATTACAAGTCGACGTTGATCATGAGTTAGTTGTTTTATTTAATTAAGTTCATTTGGCATACTAACAGGTTAACAAAGACTATTTATTTATTTAAAACTTTTCTGGTTAATATTGTTGGGATGTTTTTAAAGGTAAAGTTACCCTTCAGAAATGACGGTTATTGCAAGCACAATTACAGGGATTAAAGAAACAACAGGATAAATTTATTTTCAGTTCAAAGAATAAAATTAGACTTTACTGACGCTGAATGAAAAATAACACCCACCTATTTCTAAATATACACTACGAGCCGACCCGCTGCGTATCATACGCCGCTATTTAGGTTTTTTTTTCTACTTTTCAGTAATTTATAATTTGTGAATTCGACAGTACCAATGCTGCCACTAAAAATATTTGCTTAAAACACTAAACCCCCCTTCCCCCCCCCCCCCCCCCCACGTGAAAGCAGCCTCCTCTTAGTTACCTCCTCTAAGTTTAAAATCGTTTCAAACTAAATTATCTGCCCCTAATAGCCGTCACCAAACCCATCTCTATGATTGTAACATGTAAACAGCGTGAACCACAGCTCACCAGCCCATGTGAGTGGGTGGGGGGTGGGATATGTAGCGATAGAGAGGAAGAGAGGGGACTGTAAGGCGCGCTTGCAGCTTGTTTTCTAACGGCTCCCAGAAGAGAATTATATATATAGATTTTTAAAATCACAAAACAGGTTCTAACGATTAATGAGAGAGTTCCAAACAAATTCTATATACAAACTATTTTTAAAAACCCTAATACAATTTTAAGATTTAATAAGAAAGAACCAAACACGTCTTGAAAGAAAACGATTTCAATGAAGCCTAATACAAGTTAGGCTTTGAATCAGTACATAGACGGGCCAACCTCTATGTCGCATAACTCGACCTGTTTCGTCACAGAGTCTTCTTACAGCGACGGTCACGGACGTGTAAGCAGGCCTCAGTGTACCTAGGTAAAGTCTTTTCAAGTTGTGGGATCGACCATTAGCAGTGCAACAAATCGGGTTAGCTGGCGACTGGGGTGTAGGAAAAAAGTTTTGTAGTGAGGTAAGTGTTTCACAGTTTTATAACTTCGATATAGGTTAACAAGGTGATCACATTTTAAACTAACTTGATGATTAAATATGTGTATTTACATATCACATGATTAAATATGTGTATTTATATATCCCATGATTAAATATGTGTATTTACATATCACATTATTAAATATGTGTATTTACATATCACATGATTAAATATGTGTATTTAAATGTAACATGTTTGAATATGTGTATTTACATATAACATGATTAAAAATGTTTATTTACATGTCACATCATTAAATATGTGTATTTACATGTCACATCAGTAAATATATGTATTTACATGTCACATCAGTAAATATGTGTATTTACATGTCAGGGGACGATGTGGTCGAATAGTAGAGCTTACTACTAACTCAAAAGTCTCGAGTTCGGATCCCGGGGTCGAGTCCGTAAAACGACCCTGAGTCCATCTAGCCCTGATGGGTACCCGACTCACGTTAGGGAAACTGAAGCGGCTGGGCATAATGCTGACCACATTATCCTCCTGTATCCCGAGGACATTGAAACAGATGAACTCTACTTCAACTGCCCCAAGTATCTTGGGCACGAACGTGAAAAGATGATGATGATTTACATGTTATTATATAAGCGTACTTATTTCTATATATAACATATATAACATGCATATATATATATATATATATATACATATATATATATATATATATATATATAATCAAATATGTGTATGTGCAGTCGTGCGTGGGTATGTATGTGTATATGTGCTTATATGTAAGTTCTTTCTTATGAAAGAAGTTCTTTATATATAGCCTATATAAAGTAAATATATCGGCACCAATTTATTTAGTCTGAAAAGAAGCTTAAAATATCTACTTATATGTCTATGTCTAAAGAGTATATAATATATATATATATATATATATATATATATATATATATATATATATATATATATATATATATATATATATATATATATCAGTAACTATTTCTACGACGTTTTATTCGGCCTAAAGATATACTTTTTTAACTAAATGACGGATATCTACACATGACTACCTCTTGATGGTAAAAAGATTACTACTCTACACACACAAACAATGAACTAGGAAATACCACCGCGGTGTTATTTGAAACTACCTGAACTAACGCTATTACGGATGTTCATTCTAGCGTGTAATGTAAGGCAAAAAACACGGTCATGCGATCTCAAGTATATTTTTAAAATAAATATTTGTATTATTACTCTTTTAATTTCTTAACAAGTAATCTCTACAATTGTCCTATGAAATATGTTGTTATAAAAATACATTTATACAGTTAATGTTTACATTAAAGATAGAATGTAGTGGTCGAGTGGTAGATGTCAGCTCACATGATTACCTGTGCAAGGTCATATAAAATTTATGTGATAAAATCGACTTAACATTACTCGGTACAATACATTTTAACAGTACGGGACTATTTCTGGTAACTTAATTTACCATGTTAAAGATTCAGCAGGAACGATAAATAGCCACACAATGATGCTACTATTAGTTATGTAGCTCCAGCTTACGCTATACCTTTATTGTTTTGTCATTTTATAATTTACTAACTATACTTTTATTTTTGTTATATAGAATTAGATTATAAACTTTTTAAGACTACAGGAATACATTATTAACATATATTCCAATCAACCTTTTCACAACAGCACCAGTTTTGTATTTTTGAGGACGTGTGTATGTCTAATGATGACAGTCGTATGTAACAGATGTTTTCATGTATGTGTGTGTGTCCATTGATGAATTAGATTAATGCTATAATATAAAGTGTGTTTCTATGGATGTGTGTCCATACAACGATGTGTTAGATACAAATCTTAATGTAACATGTGCTTTTATGGAGATGTGTGTGTCCAATGATACCATAGATAATAACCACAGCATAACAGTAGTTTTATGTGTGTCCATACAACGATGCTTTAAATAACAAACACAATGTAACATGTCTCTATTTAACATGTCCCTATTTAACATGTCTCTATTTAACATGTCCCTATTTAACATGTCTCTATTTAATTTGTCTCTATTTAACATGTCCCTATTTAACATGTCTCTATTTAATTTGTCTCTTTTTAACAGTCTGTGTTAAATAGAGACATGTTAAATAAAAGCACATCTCTATTTACAGATTCCGACCAGACACCTACAATGGCGAGTTTATGTGTTACCACATCACTGCTGGTGTTGCTGCTGTACCCAAGTGTAAGCCAGGGACAAACCTTCATCAAAACAACCAAATCCATCGACACAGAGACGGAGTTCATTGGACAGGTTTCTGTTGCCAACTTTGACGGCCAAAATTGTTCGGTAGCCAAGTTTTTAGGCATCCCTTACGCCCAGCCCCCTGTTGGGGCTAAAAGGTTTGCCAAGCCCGAGCCTATGGTCTTGCAGAACGAGACCTACATGGCGACATCGTATAAAAATATTTGTTTCCAGAAAGCGGACCCATCAGATAGCTGTCAGAAAAACATGGTCATGAGTGAGGATTGTCTTTTCCTGAATATTTTTCTCCCCGTCCCCACTCTTGATGTAAGTGCGCAAGTTAAAGATAACGGAAGTCTAACCTTGCCCGCCGGTACAGGGCGCTACGCTGTGTTCGTGTGGATTCATGGAGGCGGGTTTACAGCCGGAAGCGGAAATTGTGTCGACCCTTCGCCCATGGCAACACTCGGTGAGATTATTGTTGTCACTATCAACTACCGGTTAGGAGCTTTAGGGTTCCTCACTACGGAAAACGGCGTTATTCCTGGGAACCTCGGTCTCTGGGACCAACACGAGGCTATCAAGTGGGTCAATAAAAATATACAAGCGTTCGGTGGGGATCCGAACAGGGTCACCATAGGCGGGCAGTCTGCGGGGAGCTACAGCTCAATATTTCAAGATCTGTACCCGGGTAATGATAACCTTTTCCAGAGGGTTATTGCTCAAAGTGGCACCCCCGCGGCACCTAAAAGTGTCAGCACGGTTGGGTACTACACAGCGCTGAAATTGGCTCAGGGGCTGAACTGTCAGATAATGGACGAGTACAGCAGCGAGGAGATTCGATCCTGTTTGTTGAACGCTAGCGCGCAGATGATCAGCGAAGCTGTGCCTGTCAGTGTTGTACCCATGAGCCTGCCCATACAACCAGCCCTAGACGGGGACATGATACCCGTGGATCCGTACACCGTCATGGCGCTGAACTCCACATCCACGCCTAGCGGGTACGCATCTTTCGGGAAAAGAGATCTTCTAATAGGAAGCAACGGCCAGGACGGTGAAGTCGTATACAGGCTACGAGCGGGGCTTTTGTCAGCGCAGTTCAAAAACTTGACAATCGCGTATCTGGCGTTTAAAACGACAATGAGCCAAAGCGATTTTAAAAAACTCGCCGCGGAGTATTTCTTACAAAACAACGAAGACAGCGTACCGGATATAGTCGTCAACGCCATACTTGATAGATATCTAGACTGGGGGAACGCGTCTGATTTGGCCTTGATGAGTAACCGAGCGTTGCAGATGCTCACTGACGCCTTCTTCTCCATACCTGTCGTGTACACCGCCCTCAGCCATGAGGCCAATCAAGACAACAATGGCGGCTCCGCGTATGTTTACAGGTTCACCCTCCCGACGACCAGCGTTGATTTCAAGACGAAGTGGATCTCGTGGTTCGAGGGGACCCAGCACTCGGCCGAGATCCCGTACCTGTTCGGCACATTTAAAAGCACAGCCGCCGACGTGGCCATAGCCAGGACAATGATGACGTACTGGTCCAACTTCGTCAAAACAGGGTAAGACAAAGTCCATTGTTATATTGGTAGATGTTGATGCGACGGCTTAAAGTAATCATAGCTATATGTTTGGCTAAATTGGTAGACTATCCATAAAACTAATCTTGAACATATACAATAACAGCGAAAAGGACAGAAAAAAACAACCCATTCATTTCGTAACAAAAACGATCAAAACACAAAAAACGTCATCAATATACATCATCATGCTTGACAATGACAATTAAATTACTACTTGTTTCTTTTTTTTACTTGTTTTGTTGTAAAAAAAATAAATAACAAAAACCAAACAAAACAATCTAACTACTTACGGGAGGTAACTCATTATTGATCGTCAAAATTTACGACGAAAGATTTACTGTATTAAACCCCTTTAACTCGGTGACATTATCCATGATCGTGGAAATAGGACACATTCGGGGTAGAAAGTTAATGCGTTTTGGTTGGCTTATATGCACTTTTTTTCACAATTATGAATATATAACAAAGTATTCTTTTTTTAAACAGAAACCCCAATCTGGCAAATCTCAACAGCTCTGCCTCAACTACGAGTACCTGGCCAGAGTTCACGAGCGCCGGCCAATCATACATGGAGATACCATACGGCACCAAACCCAGCAGCTTCCCGGCAGCAAAGGAGAAACATTTTTGGTACAGCTTCATCCCACAGCTCAAGGACAGCTTCAACAGCTTCACCACAGCCACGCCAACATTCTGTATAACTACAACAACTGATACGGCGGGAACTACAATTGATATGGCCGGGCTGGACACGGGGGGAGCGGTACAACCAGCCAAATACGTACTGGCCCTAAGCTTGGCGCTTGTATGGGTTAGGAATGTATTGTAAATGTTGTCATTATCACAGTGTCTTCCAACACAAATTCTACTCAGAAACCAGCCGTGTAAGTGTAATTAGCAAGGTTTTTCCAGAGGCACCCCCCCCCCCGAAGAAAGTCTACAGCCCCCCCCCCCCACGAACGAGATGGAATTATATTGTAAACCCGGAAAATGTAGACCGTCCCCCCCCCCCCCGTCCCCCCGAAAATATCAAGTGCCCCCCCCCCCCCCCCCCCCCAGAGAAAAAAATTCTGGAAGAAACACTGGTAATTAGTAAGTACACGATATTTCTTATGTAGTCCTGGGATAATTAATTACAAACTTGAGGCTGTCCTGAGGGAACAATAAAACACATCGTGTGCAGTATTAGATGTTACATCCCCCCCCTAACCACTTCACTTTTGTTTTTTCTAAACACATAATGTACGCCCTATACATTTAATTGAATCAAATTCGCCAAATGCTGACACTACAATACAAACTCAACAAAATCTTAAAGATCTGTTTATTGACTACCCCCTCCAGGGATTTCCGCAGGTTATGTCGTCACTCTGTTACTTTGAAATCGAACGTGTCTAACAAGTTCACTTTTTAATTATGTAGATTTTATCATTTTAATAATACAATAAGACATTCCATTCAAGTCCAACGACCCACCCGGTTCACTTTCTTGCTGTGAATATACATAACAGCCATATTTATTTGCAACTTTTTCCAGTGTCAGATCATAACAAGGATCTTGTCCAGATACGCCCCGACAAAAATGTTAACCCCCGCCACCCAAAAAGTATGATAAAAAAGAGGACATGTAATGAAATCTTTTAGTTTTTAACCCTAACCCTAGAGGCGGATAAGGAGTTACGTTTATGACGTACGTTTAAATATTCAAATGTCTAGACATCAAAAATTGGTCAAAGTTGCGTACGTGCATTACATTGTAGCTGGCAAAAAGTGTGTGTGTGTGTGTGTGTTGGGGGGGGGGGGGGGGAGGGCTTAACTCTTTGCCCGTACACTTTTTGCATCAATGGCAGGGCTTATCTGGACAAGATCTCATAACAATCCACAAACTGTAAATAAATAAAAGTATTTTTTTAATAAACAGAGTCTCTTTTTTGTGTTCTTTGTTTTTTTTAAATCTTTTTTTTTCGTTATTTACGTAATAATTAATTATAGGTCTGCATGAAAGTTTACGGAATTGCAGTTCTAGAAGTAAGTAGGCCTATCACTTTTTGGCGCATTAAAAAAAAAGATAGTTTCATTTGAAAAAAATAGAGTTTGTTTGAAATAGTTAAACACCAGTAGCCTAACAAACAGTGAAGTGTGGGTTTTCCCCGCCCAACTGTGGAGGTCGATGTTGGGAAGATAACGGATAACAAGAAAATGTCGGGTCCAGGTATATCGTAGCCTTCAAGATTGCGCCAAGAAGCCAGAAGTTTCCTGTGTTTAGTCCAGAGGTTGGGCTCTTGAAAAAAATCATCTGTCCAAAAGCCAGTTGCTCTGTGTGGAAAAGGTTGCAATTTGTACACGATAGGTGTGGACAGGTCTTGAGGTATTTACCTGTACCAGCTAATCACGTAACAGGAAGCACATAAAGGTAAATTCTACCTGTATATCATAAATCGTGTAACTATTTATTACTGTAAGACAGGAAGAAAGCGTGGCTGATTGACTAAAATACTCATAAAATAAAGGTAAATTCTATGTAGTCATCAACGTTGCGTATTTATGGTAATTGTCGTATATTTAAATGGCGATAAGAAAGCTGTGATTATATTGCCTCTTTAGTTATTAGGATTTTATACATTTTAGTGTTGAAAAATACTATGCTATTGTTATTTGTATTATTATACGAGTATCTTTCTTTTTCCTCGCTAGCTAGACAGCCTGATTCACAATCTGTGTACTTTCAATTGTTGGTACTTTTTATGAAAGAAAAAAAAAAAAGAAATGAGTTTATCTCTTATCTGCGTGCCAGATTGTCCTTGAAATATAAACTTTAAATAAAACAATATATACTGACTTAGGCTGCAGGTGTCCTTTTACTAATAGACGCACGATTTTATTTTTCCTCTGTCTACACCGCACAATCCACAATATCAAAAGTGTAATTTCAATTTACTTTTAAAAAAAAAAAAGTAGTGTCCTTTTATACGCAAGTTTTTGTGCATGTATTGTTAGTTTATTTAGTCAGTTATCGACAATACGCTGTCATTTCTCTCTATCAGATTTGATAAAACCGTCATCTAGAGAATGTCAAGCACTGGATTATTGACCCTTTTCACACTTGCAATCTTAGCGTGTTGTCACGCGGCTGAAGAGGAAAGAGAAATATTCAGTTTAAAAGAAAATGGCACGGATGTTCAGTATAAAGGGTTGGTCTACACTAGCGAATTCAATCACACAACGTTTCTGCTGGCCAAATTTCTTGGTATTCCTTACGCTCAACCCCCCGTGGAGGGGAGACGTTTTGCCAAGCCAGAGCCTTGGGTGAATGAAGACAACACGACGATTGATGCGACTCAGTTTAAGAGCATCTGTTACCAGAAAGTCGACCCAACAAACGATTGTCAGCGAGGTTGGAACATGTCTGAGGATTGCCTCTACCTAAATATATACGTACCATTGAAACAAGGGGATGTAGCTAATATAAATACAGATTTGGAGTCGAGAATTTCTGGGAAGTACCCAGTTTACGTGTTTATTCACGGTGGAGCATTTTTCCGGGGTAACGGAAACTGTTACATCCCTTCAAATCTAGCCGGGCTAGGCGAAATCATCGTCGTTAATTTCAACTACCGGTTAGGTCCCCTTGGTTTTCTAACAACAGATGACGATGTCCTGCCAGGGAACTTGGGACTCTGGGATCAGCATGAGGCGATTAAATGGATCCACGGGAACATCCACTTGTTTGGGGGCGACCCTAGTCGGATCACAGTGGGCGGGCAGTCTGCCGGGAGTCAAAGCGCGATATACCAGTCTTTGTTCGCACCCAACCGAGATTTGTTTCAAAGAGTCATTGCACAGAGCGGCACACCAATGTCCAGACAGAGTGTGAGCACCACTGGTTATGAAATCGCCTTGAATTTTTCCAACACGCTAGGCTGTAACATAGACAGTGCATCAAAACACAGCGATGGTATAAAGACTTGCTTAATGAAGGCTGACGCGTACACAATGGCGCAGACTCTGGTCCCGAGTATTATAACATCCGGGGTACCATTCCAACCTACCCTAGACGGGAAGTTTGTAAACAAGGCAATGTACTCGTTCTTGGCGCAACCATCGGGCATCTCAAATACTACCATCCCAGATTTAACATTCCCAAACAAAGATCTCCTCATCGGCTATGTCGCAGAAGACGGTGAAGTTTTCTACAGGCTGTGGACGATTCTGCTAAATGATAAAATCACTAACGACACAACAAGAAGCGAGGCTATGAACTCTTTAATCGACGTGAAGAAACTACGATGGATCATTTTTGTTGCGTTAGCTGACAAGTTCAACGAAGATATTAATCAGTACGATCCGTTAATCGATGTCGTAATTGATCGATACATAGATTGGCAAACACCTGAAGATTTGGTGTCGATGAGCAACAGGGCAGTGAAACTGCTCACCGAAGTGTTCTTCGCACTACCAACTATTGGTACGGCTTTGAGACACACTTTATCACAAGAAGGAAAACCAATCGGAAGCACCTACATGTACAAGTTTAGATTACCATCAACCAATAAGGGGTTTAAGGAAACCGCCTTAAGCTGGTTTGAAGGGACAGAACACACTGCAGATATACCCTACGTCTTTGGATGGGTCAACGAATCCGAAAGCGTGGATATTTCTCTTGCTATGATGACATATTTCTCAAATTTCATTAAAAGCGGGTAAGTTGAATATATAAAAAGCATCCAGCCAACACTACCCATACAAACAGTCCTACAAATATTATATATATATATATATATATATATATATATATATATATATATATATATGTATATATATATAATTGTATATATATATTTATATATGTATGTGTGTAGTTGTATGTGTGTGATATTTTTTAACATTGTTTCGATGCAGCAATCCAAACTCACCAAAAGCCACAAGACCCCCGACATGGGAACAGTACAACCTCACAAACCAGACGTTTCTGGAAATCTCGTCCACGTCAACATTGAAACACTACGACGTAGCGGACAGCCGCCATTTCTGGGAAAAGCTTATGCCAGCATTACGAGTGCATTTCAAGAACATGTACGAGGCGGATGTGAAAGATTCGCAACTGCAATGTGAAGCTCACAAAAATGCAGGAAAAAGACATGAATCAAATCTTTCATTCGCCTTTCATTTACTAATGATTTCTCTGTGTATGAAGGTGACGTTGTGGTGAATTTAAAAGATAAACTCACTGCTCGTCTCACAAGCCTTACTTCACTGAATAAAAACCTTTATGTCAGAAGACAATTGAAAAACAAATAAAAACAAACTGAATCGATTATTTTCTTTTTTCGATTCCTTATTTTAAAAAAACCATTTGTCCTTCCAAATCACTTCGAATAATACATTTACTTGAGAAAAAAATTTTGCTTTTTTAAAAACTTATTTTTAGTGCATTTAAAAACGTATTGTAACGATTTTAAAAAATAGTTTTATTGTATAGCTAAATATGAGTATAATAACAAACAGGTAGGAAAGGCCAGGATTTATGGTTGGTCAGCTGGGCCATAAAAAAATATATCCACCTGTCTTTTGTATTCACCTTGAGTGTGTCACGGTCACTACCACGCTAAACCCAGTGTTAGTCATAGGGTATGGTGCGGGGGTGGGGAGGGATGGGAGAAAGGTAGGGGGGTAAGGGGGAGGGAAGGAGTATGCTTTTATATAACTCGTTTTTTATTTTCCTTTCATTTTATAAATCAGTTAAAACGTAACTGTTTGTATTGCGTTTTGTAACTTTGGGATGGAGTTTGTATGAGTTAACTTGAAAGAGTTAACATAATAAAAAGCTTTTTATCAACTTTGTTGTAGTTTTAGTTATGAATGCTTTTTAAAAAAATATATAACACCATTTTGTTGTAAGGTTGTTAAAGTCAATAAGATTAAGAGAGACTTTAAACTTTGTTCGATTTGGTAGAGTATACGTTTGATTTTACAGAGTTTGTACATGCAAGGTCAATTTATAATACGCTTCATGGGGGGCGACGGATATTTTATGATTAATAGAATTCATTTTTCGCCGGATTAAGTGGGTTGTCATGCATATCGCCCAGTAGTGAAGTGGGCCAGGTCATGCAGTGGTTGTGTGGAGGCTTACGGTATCTGACCTTGCCGAGTTGAATACAGGAGAGCTTCTTATATGATGAAAGGTAGTCTGGCGGTAAGGGCTAGACTGAGATGTTTTGTAAGCCGCTTTGACCAGTACGAACAGAATTTGTCGCCTGACTTCTTCCTTACTACCACCAAGTAACACGCATATATATATATATATATATATATATATATATATATATATATATATATATATATATATATATATATATATATATATATATATACAGAGCCGGCGTTAGTAATACGCGGGGCCTAGGGCCAACCATCCGCGCGGGGCCTTTCCATTATATTCCATTACTATATAATGTGATGTACACATAATAACACAAATGTTTTGGAGTTTATAAGCTAATGTCAAACTTTCCACTATAATAACAGATTTTTATCTCTCCCATGTATTAACCCAATGTTCGTAGTTTTTTTCCTTTTGCTAATATATTAAATCACTTTTGACAGTTATGTAATTCATACCAAATCACAATTTAATCACGTGCCGAATAATTAGGAAAATAAAGTTTACAATACAGCGAACTCGGCCTGATGTATCAAAACAGTATAGACTTCAAAATTTGTTTAGAATTCATACAATATTTTAAAACCAAAAACATTATTGTCTTAATTATTGAACGGGTGAATCCTTAAGGTGACACAACATAACAACAGTTTTAACTTTCTTCTAAAAAATAATAATAAATCACTCTGTTTAATGCCGTCTGATATAGATCCTAAGGCGCCCCCCCCCCCCCCTCGTCGCCCTCCTCCCACCCCTCTGCCCGCAACTGAATGTTAATTTTGTTATACCGGCCTACATATAGAGTTTCTTCCAGGCATCACTTTGGGGGTGGGGGTGGGGGGGGGGGGGGTGGGGGTGGGGGGGGTGGGGGTGGGGGGTCTCACCCCCCCCCCCCGAAAACGAAATGAAATTTATATAATTTATATAGAAGATATATACTTTTAACAGTGTCCGCCCGCCCCCCCCCCCCCCCCCCCGAAGAAAATCTACCGCCCCCCCCCCCCCGAAAATTGCAAGTGCCCCCCCCCCCCCCGGAGAAAAAAGTCTGGAAGAAACACTGTACATATACGACATTATACGACATCTACAACAAGAAAATCTGGACTAGAGTTCATCAGGTCACTAACTGTCTACTACAGACATCCCGTCTGCTCACTAAAAGGACGTCTTCATGGGTCCGCATACAATAGGGTATCTCTTTACGTCGTGGGCTAATTCTCGACCGCCATCTCCAGTCAGCTCAGGTCAAATGCCAGGCGACCGTACCCTACACAAAGGGGAGGTGTGACACTATTTTTGTATCGAATTACGGCCTGTCCCAGTTCAGGTGGGACTAACCAACATCAACCGTGGCCTCAGTTATAACAATCAACAACGTCGGCATTCGACCATTTAGTTTTTCCCAATTGAATTCAGCAACAATTTTTTTTTAAATTTACGAACTAATTCAGATAACAATTAATGACATTGCTGAAGCGCGGGGCCCCTTCAAGCGCGGGGCCTATGGCGACCGCCCCGTTCGCCACCCCCTAACGCCGGCTCTGTATATATATATATATATATATATATATATATATATATATATATATATATATATATATATCGTTTGTTATTTTTTTTTCTAACCAAAATATTTATGTTATAAAAAAAGTAAAGTTATGTTTCAGTCCAGATGAGTAGTTCATCTGTTTCTTCTTTTTTATGAAGGGAATGTGTAGCCGACACTTCGCATACGGCAGATGATTAGTTAATCTGTTTTTTTCTGTATAGGTAGGGAATGCGTGGTTAGCACTTCGCCCAGCCACCTTTAATGGCTTACCCACGACTCAAATAACTACGCACTAATTGAATTTGAGTTGACTCAGTTACGTCGTAATTTTACGCTACTTGACCACACACACGGTCCCGTCCGAAGGATTGTAAAGCAAAGAGCAGACAAGCAATGACAACCGAGGAACAAGGGATACTATCACTTCATATTTATCGGACTTAGTCTAATCTTAAGGGCAATAAAAAAAATATGCAAATAAATTTCACCGAAAATAAAAATAAATACATAAATAAATAAGCCACTTCAAGTATATAATTAATGTTAGTTATTCGAAATCGCAAACTGTATACAAAATGTGATTATAAAAGATACTGATAGGCCCCTACATTCAAACTAGATGCATTGTCTAGTTCCTGTCAAAGTCCAGATGCGGAACAACTTCTCCGCAATCATTATCCCAAGTGGATATTAGAAAAATATAAGGAGATACTATTGTAAAAACTTAAAATTGTAAACAAAACTTTCACCATTGTTATCAGAATTACAGTGGCATTTTTTCTTTAAATGTTTCATTAGGAAAGCTTAATTAAAACATTGGATAGGATCCGTTTTTTCTTAGTCCAAATACCCAACCATTTATTTTTTTTATATATCCTAGCGTTGATGTTGCTGTTGTTTTTGTAACAAACTTCGTGTTAGCATTATAATAATCTACCTAGAAAACATGGTATTTGATACTTTCCCGTTAGGTGGTATACGACTTCCATTGTTCGTCAACATGATAATTCCCCCTGAACTCTCCCTAACAAAATCACCACCTTAGCCTAAACCCCCAACACCATCACATTTACTCTTATGATAAACTACCACCATCCACAGAAGGCAAGACATGGCGGAATAGTACGCCACACCGGAGCACCAAGTTCAACCAGTCGATAATTGTCAACAAAGTTCATTGTCATAACCATCCGCGGTACAATGGAACGAGTTAAATGAACTCCAGGAAGGAAGTGACTAGTTTTAATGGCGTTGTTTTGGACCAAAAATCTGACCCGCTGACATACTTTCCTAACCCATTTCAACAAAATATCCGCGAGTCCATTCCCACCCCTCCCAAAAAAAAAAAAAAAAAAAAGATTTAGGACACCGTCACGATACCATCAAAACAACCTGCGTAGTACCTGAAGTGTTATGGTCATTGCGCGCCCGCTGAGCGATAACAGATAGCTCAGTAGACCACTACATTATTCGTATGGACCTATCCTATCTTTCTTTCGGAATTATGTATGTTGGACTTGGAAATTTGTCCCATTTTATAACATTTGAATGGTTACAAATGTCTTTTTTACATTGATATATAATTTTCGAAGTGTATATTTATAAGTGGAAATGTTTTAAAAACAATCATTATGCAAGAATAATTAACAAGATAATACCAAAATGTAAGTTACATAAATAAATAACCCAATTCAGCGTTCATTTGTGGTAAATTATTTTTCTCCACAAAACTATAATCTTTAAAAAAAAGCCAAAAAAAAAATTTGAAAAAAAAAAATTACGTTGAGATCCATAAACACAAATTTATATCAAGCAAACTATGAAAATAATCACGTGTAAAATACAACACCAAAACGTTCAAAGTGAATCATGTTCAGATAACAACTCATGTAAAAAAAAAAATCACAGTGAAGGGAGGTCACACAACTCAGGCGGACTACGGGTCAACAAAGAGAAGGGGCGGTCAGAAACAGGCAGGTTTTATTACCATATTTTTTGTCAAGGTCGAGGAGGGGGGGGTGTCATTAATTGTGTCGGGGACAAATGACCAGTGCAGGGCTGTGGGGCTGAGGACCGTATCTAAAGTGGCAAATACGCGCTGTGGCGACATCGTAAAACCCGCACCAGTAATAAATTAACCTTTGCTTCTTGACTAAATATAATGTGGATATGCAAGTGATTTATTTATCAGTATAAAAAGTGTACATATTCACTGCTTTTGGTTCTAGATTTCTTTCAGATTATATTTTGATGAAAATCTCTTGTTTCGTGGACTAATACTTTAGTGGAACACCAGTGAAGGTAAGATATGCTAATCTTTTCTTTAACTTCAAATGTTTTTGTATTCAAGTCATTTCATTAAATGCTGTTGTATACAAGTAGGACTAATTTCTTTTAATGTCTATCCATCCTAGTCATTTTTTTAAATGTGTGTATTCTGGTCAATTCTTTAAACTTTAAACGTTTATACATCATAGTCATGTCTTTAAATGTATTTATATTCTAGTCATTTCTTTTAATGCTTTAATATTCTGAACATTTCTTTCAATGTTTTTGTATTCCAGACATATTTTTATATTCAAGACTTTTCGTTTCTAGTAATTTAAAAATTGATTTTATTGTAAAAATTTTTTTTTGAATGTTTGTTGTTTTAAATTTCCATTTATTTTACATTCTAGTCTAGTCATAAACATAGTTTTTATACACAAACTTGTATTCGAAACAGAAAATGTAATACCTTTTTACTTTTGTGGTTATCTAGTTAATCATAATGTCAACGTTGAGTAAATGCATATTTAAAACTGTATGATGATTTTTAAAATGTTTTATGTTTCTTGAAACGTAGACAAATTTAAATAACGAACAAGTAAACTTAACTTCACAGATTTATTTAGGCGACTCCCACAGTTGAACATTTTCGAACTAGAGTATGAGAATAAAATTCAATTTAATTAGTTGTAAAAGATGGGAAATTTAAAGAAAAAAATAGCTATAATCGGAGCAGGGAGCAGCGGTTTAACAGCAATAAAATGTTGCCTGGACGAAGGCCTGGAGCCTGTTTGCATAGAAAGATCGTCAGACATTGGGGGGCTCTGGAATTATTCAGAGGAAGTCACTGAAGGCAACCCCAGCATATACAACAGTCTGGTGATCAACACTAGCAAGGAGATGATGATGTACAGCGACTTTCCGCCACCTGAAAACTTCCCATACTTTCTAAAGCACAACAAAGTCCTCGAGTATTTCCGTCTCTACGCCGAACAATTTCGCCTGCTGCCGTACATTCGCTTCAACACGGAAGTGAACTACATCAGAAAAAGTGAGGATTATGAGACAACGGGAAGGTATGAAGTGAAGTATGCGTCGTGTGATGGTGTGGTGAGTGAAGTGTTTGACGGCGTGATGATCTGCAGTGGTCACCACTCTAAAGCACACGTCCCTGATATCCCGGGGATCGAAACCTTCCAGGGAAGAGTGCTACATTCCCATGCTTATAAAGATGCCAGAGGATTTCATAACCAAAGAGTTGTTATTCTAGGTACGTTAGCATTATTTAAATTTTAAACTTAAATTTGATTTTAATTTTAGTAAGAAGAATTTTAAAATATTGTATTCTGTAAACTAGTATGTTTCCTTTTTTAACCTCGCCATATGAAGGGATAGTGTGGTCAGCATCATGCCCAGCCGCCTTTTTTTTTCGGTACATTAAGTCAGGTACCCATCAGAGTTGAGAGTACTAGCTATATAGCACATTAAAAGTAAGGAATCTTAGGGCATTTACGCGCATACCCCTGTTAAACCCGCGAGTAACGGTCCTATGTTTCGGTTTAGTTTAATGTGCAGAGCTGAGGTAATAGCTAGATTGATGGCTTGGGTTGGTTATATGCTTTATTGTAGAAATGTTTCTACTTCGGTTTGGGGTACTGGAGTGGGTGTCATCGCCACAACATTGCTGTTGGCTTAATCTGTCGGTTGACAGAAATTCTACAGTGTAGCAAACTGAGAGATTATTTAAACAAAAATAGGCGTAACTAGGACTTTAGCAAAGTGATTTATTCAGTTCCCATAGTTTTTCTCTCGTTACATTTTTAAAAAATTGAAGATATATTCTGGCTTTTTAGAAATGTATTGTTTATCACATGTGCAGATTATATTTTGTGATCTTATTACTTTACTTTAAGGCTTGGGTAACTCAGCTAGCGACATAGCATGTGATCTGGCCAAATCAGCTAAACAGGTAGGACACAGTTCAATAGACTGTAAGAACTATGAGGTTTAAATAGTAAAACCTAAGAGAAATACTTCTAATTTAAAAAAAAATGTCAAAATTATCTACTATTTTGGTGTGGACTACAAAATTATATGACCAATCAAATTTTACATAAAACAGCGATATGTTATTTTTCAAAGGCTATACATAGAGACATACACTGCCCTGATATCTTCCTAGGTTTACCTAAGTTCTAGAAGAGGAGCCTGGATCGTACCTCGGACGGCGTTCTGGGGTTTGCCAGCTGACATGATAGCCAACAGCCGAGTGGTTTTCAGTTTCCCCATGAAATGGCTAGACTGGTGTGTGCAGGTCCAAGCCAACTTCAGAATAGACCACGACACATACGGACTCAGGCCACAGCACGGGCAAGTTTACAGTTATTTTAAAGCATGTTTGTTGTATAAGCTTTGACAGGTCGTATGGTTCAAGTGACGTTACGTGAAGGGTTCTTTAATTTTGTAACTATGGGTTAAGATAATTTATCTTGGTAGATGACTAATTCTTATTCAATATTAAAATAGTAAATGAAGATTTGGGTTGGAACTATGCTAATTTTCGTAGTGTGTTTGGAAATTTTTGACGTAATTTTAAAGGCAGGGGAAGTTGGAGCTTGGGCCGGATTCTAGTAAACAGACTCATCAAGCCTTACAAAAAAACAGAAGGCGTTATGAAATGCACTTCCAAGTTTAAAAAAAACAACTATACACTACTATGTTGACCTGTTTGCTTTTAAAATTATAAATAACCAACAGGAAACGTATTATAAAATAAACCATTATTTAGTTTTGATCAGTGCATGAACACTTTTTTTACTTTCTCGTATATACGAAGTATAGAGAAAGTCTTGTAATCGTGCAAAAAAAAAAAAATCGAGATTTTTGCAAATCTCGACGTTTTGCATCTCACTGATACGGAAAAACATAATTTTGCAATCTTGTCCGTATGTCTGTGTGTGTGTGTGTGTGTGTGTGTGTGTGTCCGTGTGTAAACACGATAACTTGAGTACCGTTACAGCTAGGTTGATGAAATTTCATATATAAGTATTTAATCAAAATCGTAGATCCGTATCAACTTTTGAGCGATTTCCGATAACCGGAAGTGGTACTTTTCCTACTTTGAATTTTTCAAAAGCCTATAACTTGAGTACTATTTCAGATAGATAAATGAAATTTCATACGTAAGTAAAAGATCTAATTCTCTACCTTCTATTAAATTTTGAGTCATTTCCGTTGACTGGAAGTAGTACTTTACGCTACTTCCGATTTCTCAAAAAACTAATGTAAATTTTAAAAGTAATAATAATATTGCGCACTATTATGCGCTTTTTTATTTCGCGTTCACTTGGTGTGCAATTAATTTGTCTACGAGATTTTATTCTATTTTTAAAACTTTAAGTATTTAAAATGGATTAAAAATCATGTCTATAACCCGAGTTCCCATCCCCTGTTATTTTATATAAGAATATTCGAGAAAGTTTAGGGGAGATCACTCCCGGTTTATTTCATTTACCAACTCAAAGCTCAGTGGCTATAACAAAAACTGCATGATTTTATAGAGTTTTGAACTGCCACCCCACTATCAACGATGAACTACCAATACATCTGGTAACTGGGAGAGTGCAGACACGGCCTAAGATAACTCGTGTGGTCAAGTCTGGTGTGTGGTTCGAGGATGAGTCATTCTGTCCATGTGACGTCATCATACTATCCACTGGATACGATTATAAAGTGGACTTTGTGGAGCAAGACATTTTCAAGGTTAATATTTTAACGTATTAAGGCAGGTGAAAAATAGTAAGCGAACAATACTTCGCACATTTTGTATATTTTGTTGACGACTGAAAGATGTCTAGTTTAAGCATTTGTTTTTTTTTTGGCCAATCGAGCAGCAGCGCCTTTAAAGTCTAATGTATTAAACTGAACGTTTTCAGGTGGAAGAAAATAGGACAAGGTTGTACAAGTATGTGTTCCCTCCCCACCTCAACCATCCCACACTGGCAGTCATTGGATTGGTTCAAGCTATTGGAGCAGTTATGCCAATTGCTGAGCTGCAGTGCCGCTGGTATGCACGGCTAATAACGGGTAATATATATATTTTTTAAATATGCTTTTGCTTCCAAGCTATATGTAGCTTCAACAGTTTGTGTTAGAGACTGACATGTTTAATTACAGGTAAAGCCAAGCTACCAAACAGAGAGGTCATGGAGAAAGATATCGAGATGAAAAAGGAAAAAATGTGCAAACTTTACGTCGATTCAAGAAGGCACACATTACAGGTAATGGGTCGTCCGTAAATGGCGATACACTATAATAGTTTGGTGACATAATAGTGTTGTAGACTCGCACATAAAAGGCAATTACAAGTGTAATGGACGTTTCGACACAAGCCCTCGTTGAAGGGGTAAAAAAAAGTTAAGAGTAACGTGGCGTCATTTATGGATGAACTATAAGAAGAATCTAGAATCTAGCAGTTGTAGGACAAGTATTTATTTGATAAGTACACTTAAGACAAAAGTGAACATTTTTCCCTACATTGGTTATTGAAATATTTTTTTCAAGACATTCTGGATCGACTACATGGACCAAGTAGCTTCTCAAATAGGAGTGCGCCCAAACTTGTGGAAGGTGTTGTTCGTGGACCCGGAGTTGGCTATTAAATGTTATCTTGGACCGTGCTTGCCATCTCAGGTAGAGAATTAACATAGTTCAACTATTGTAGCCGTTAAACTTAACGGTTCATCCTTTGCACGTTTTGTAGCCATTCAAAATGTAGATACAGTGGCTAATTTTATTATAAGGGAAGTAAATCTGTTTGCAATACATACTCGCAGGCTAAAAGAAAGTTCACACATTTTACAACTTATTATACCTAGTTATTTTCATCGTTAGGTTAATGTTTTCGTACTTTATACATCATAAACTTAAGTTAAATTATCTTTTCCGCTATTTTCTGTTGTTATACTTTGGATTTTATTCGCTTAAAAAATGTTAAATATCTTTCGCAGTATCGGCTCACTGGGCCTGGATCATGGAAAGATGCTAGAGAATACATCATCAATACGTATGAACGAGCAAAAAGATGTGCTTCAAAACACAAAATTTCCAAGACAAAGTCCAAACACCGTGAGTCGGTCACACAGAACGGTGGCGGCGATCCAGATAAGGGAAAACGTCCAAAACAAAACCGCTACATATCTACAGCAGCTAAACGTGTGAGCTGCTTCACAAAGCTATCGCTCCTCAACAGCTGCCGGGATTCTGATGACATTCGATCAAGCAAACTTTTAAACGACACGAACTTGCTGTCCCCCCACTGGACCACTATCCCATACTACATTATGGTTATGCTGGTGTGCTGCTGTCTCTGGTTGATCAGTATCCTGCTCAGCCACACGGGGCTGCTTGTGAGCATTCTGTATAGATGACGGACACACAGAACAGCTATAGTTATTGTTTTATCTATTTCTGAGGAAGCTGGATTCTGACTTGATTTTATCACTGACAAAACGAAAGTAGTGGATCATCTAAAAAAAAGTTCGCCCCTCCCTGATAAAAACTAAAGTAACCATTCAAGTTTTAATTACAAGTTTCTGATAATGTTTTACGATTTCTTGTGCGGAAAAAGACCAAAAACTTTTAATTTTTATGAGCAAACATGTAAATAGATGTAAATATATTTAACATTTTAAATCCGCTTGACACAACGAAGTATTGTTTAGATTTTTCAAAGGTTAAAATCAACGCTTTCTTTTCAACGTGAGCTAGGAAGCAATAAATAGAAAGATCGGTAATAAAATAGCAATACCGCTTGCTAGTTAGTGACTTAAGGGTTGATATAAAATAATTCTAGAGAAAATGTTCAACATTCATACAGCTTCATCTAGATAGAGCAAGTAAAAAAAAATTGTGCATTTGTAATTTTTTTTAGCCATCTCAAAATAAAAGTATGTGGACATTAAGACGCGCTTGTTTTGATGTAGATGAAAGAATAATTGTGTAATTACTTTCGCTTAATTTTAAACGTATTCTGACTGCACCTCCATGGTAATTCGGATACGTGTTTAAAATGTGCGGACGGCCATTCTATTCAGGTCACTAAACATCCCCCCCCCACCACCAAGTCTTGGTTTCAGTACTGGGTCAGTTTGTGATGGCAGATGTTCTATTGTTCGCCATGAAGGGGGGGGGGGGGAGTTCAATAGTTGCAGCCAGGGCAAAATGCACCCAGCTGCAGGCAGTAAACTACGGCCATTGTTTACTGAGAGAGGTGGTCAAGCGGTCAGTGGACATTTGAAGGTCGTTTGGTCCTGAACAGATACATTTACAAAGAACAATCACAAAGCACATAGTTTGATTCTAAATAAGTATGAAACTGATAAAGCTGGTTTATATAGGCAAATAAACATTTTTTAAGACAGTGTAGGCCTATATTAATATATCAATCAATCTAGACCATTGTGTTTTGATGGGCCGTATACCCATAATTCAAATCATAAAATTCTATTTTTAAAATACTTTTTTTTTCATTAAAAGAAGTTCGCAATATCCTGTAGGGACAAAAGAAACTCCCGACATTTGCTAGCGTGGGAAAGTGGATTGAGGGTGGAATGACCGGACGGGGAGGAAATAACAAGCTGGTTATATAAAAGTTGAAGAAACTAGATCTGACCGCTGTTAACCAGTTCGAGATCTGTGTCGGGGTGGGAGGGGGATAGTTGAATGGAAACTGAGTGGTGGGCGTTTGACAATTTTTTTATTGTATGGGGGGGGGGGGGGGGGGGTCGACGACGAAAAATACTATCGTTCCGTCGCTTATGGTCCAGCCGATACATAAACAAAACACATGAAAGGAGGCAACTCGTGGTTGATTTCATGCACGAATTTCATCAGGGGTTGCGCTCTTGTATAATTAGACGATAAGCAGCAAATACACACAAAAAGTGGGCGGTAGGTCGAATTAATAATGGAAAAAAAAGTTGTCAGCGAATCACAAACAGATGAAATGATATTGGGGGTCAACTTAAATGACTAACGCTTTTTGGGGACTATTTTTACCTCCCCTTCCCTCAGTCACACATCGACACAATAAGCCAGACCACCTACAACTACAATGACATCGAACAACTCTACCTACAACCCCCTCAAAATTAGTTTAAATTTGTTTTAAAACATAGATTTCTTTCTAAAATATTAACCGAGCTATTAACATAAAGTAGACTAATCCATTTCTATTACAATTTACACATTAAAAAAACAAATTCAGTGTCTAACATTACAATTATTTAAATGCAAAAAATATGACGTCACACTATCTGAACACCCCCTCCCCCTCATCATGCATGGTCACAAAATTACGACCCCCCCCTCAATTCTACGAGTGTGATGTCATTTTGAGGAATCGCCCACATGTGATGGAGAGGTGTGGTTACATCGCTATGCTCCACAAAAATGTTCAGCCATAATGATGATGAACAAATACTAGACCAGAATGCTGATTCTATTGTTTTAAAAATTAATTATTAAAAAAAAACTTGACAAGTAAGTATGGAAATAAAATGAGTAATATTTATTGTTTAAAAAAGTGAAAACTTTTTTTTTGAAAACAACAAAAAAAGGTCAAAACAAAATTTCAGTAGTATTAAGAGCTCAACAAATGCCATCAGAAAGCTGTTCTCTAACCTTACAACTATGGCTCACTGTGAAGTCTAGCAAGATTGTCCATCTCCCGCTGGGAAGTTTCACTGGCCACCTGACAGATCTGCCTTTCATCTTTTTCCGCCAACCTCACTGAAACCACCTTCAGAGTTTCAGTTTTTGGATTCACCATACCCACAACTCTGGAAGAATAAACAGTAAAAAAAACAACATATTTTACTTTGTATAAAAAATTGTATGAATAGGATTTTAATTTGCTCCTATAAGGTGTTTGTTACCTTTACAGCTTTTAGCTAGGTAAGGTTTAGAGGATGCTTATGAAGTAACGCAGTTGGGCTGGGAAAACTATTTACAGAATTTTTGCTGTAGGACTAGACTATGTATGTGAGAACAGTGTATTATTTTTCTTTAACCAAATATACATATTTACCTGTATACTTGTCCTCTAATTAGTCTGGGTAATTGTCTGTCCTATAACACAAAAAATATAAAAAAAAAACAAACAATATACATATATAATACAATTTAGAAACATTGTTTTTTTTCGAATTTTTCAAATAAAAATATGACTGCTCTTTTTTAAGTTTGGATTTAGCCGGTTCATGAAGTAAAAGGTTTATAAGACAATAGGTTTGAGTTTATAAATGAAACCAATGGATAGTAATAAAGGAAATTTTCCAAACCAACAGCTAGATATAGACATATTTTAAAAAATGCTACCAAATGTAATAAACAAAAAGAAAACTTACGATTTCATAAAAAATACATTTAATGCTTGACGTGTCATCTCTCAGCATAAACTCTTTCCCAGTGCCACTTTTATCTTTGAGAGTAGCAGAGTCAACAACTCCTTAAATTTTACAAGATCAAATTAATAAGCTGCATTTAATCTCATTGCTAAACAACTCAACAAACTTTTGAAATTTCCTTTCACCTTTTTTTCAAACATTCAATTCATACCTAAATACAATCAATTATGTCTATCATAATTTGGATAAACTAACTAATAAGTAAATACTACTTTAACTTATAACCATATATTAACATGTGAATGCATGAGTGTATTAGTGTTTGAATAAAGAATAATTATCAAAGAAGAATTATTCAAACAGCTATTTTATATTTTGTTGGAACTTACCATAAACTTCAAACATAACCAAACCAGTACTGATTTTGGAGGAAGTCCAGGACTTAAGAACAGATATTGCACAAGTAAATATGCGCATTGATGTATCAGGGGCAGGCTTTTTATTTTCTATCTGTAAAATTAAATAAAAGTTCAATGATAAACATCACAAGTTTTACGCAATATTATCTCCCCTGTTTTATTGGCATATTTAATTAAATCTAAAAACTTTCATTTATAAGGCTGATGTGAAAGAAATTCATTTACCTTAGGCTTAGTATTTTTTTTAGTCTGAAAATCATCCACACTTTTATTCATAGTAAAACTGCTGTCATCTCCCATTTGTAAAACCTGATCATTTCTAAATAAAATAACATTACATGATTACAAACTATCTTAAAAAATAATTTCAATAATTTATAATTTAACCTTTTCAAGCTTGAGTGCTTCAGTATAACATAAAGACAAAAAGATTCTTTTTATATCCACAGCATAATACTGTTGATATTTTTAAAAATTATTATTTAAATGTGGGATTTAAAGTTAGCTCTCTGAAGTCGACATAAATAGTAAACAAAGTATGTATAGACTATAGTATAGACTTTAGCAAAATTATTTGAACAATTACTTCTGATTTCCTTTATTCATAGATAATTTGTTATGTGCTGTTTTGGAGATAGTCATCCTTTCATTCTGGTTATTCACATTATTTCTTGCACCCACAACACTTGCACCCCTAGCTTGTCTATTGTAGTTCCCCTGATTGTAGATTGAATTTCTGTCTTCCAAGCTTTGCATGTTGCTGAATGTAGTTTTTCTGTTGCCTGTACTTTGAAAGTTAAAAGATGTGTTGCTTGTTCCTTGATTAGTGGATGAATGTGATGGCACATTTCCATAACTGTTAAAAGTAGACAAACTTCGACCCACAGGTGTTGAATTAACCTTGACATTTTTATTGGTGGTTGACAGTTGGATTCCTTTTGTGTCTTTTTTACCTTGGCCAATATTGGAATTTTGTCTTGTAATATTTTGTTTTTCATTGCTAGTTGCAAGCTTGTTGCTAAAATTTCCATCTAAACTCATTAAACCAGAATTTACATCTTTACTTGTTACTATGTTCTTTGTTCCAATTGCATTTTGATTTGACTTGAAATTACTTCTTGGGTTTGAGTTAGATCCTGCAAAAAGTAAAGTAACACAGTTAAAATGATCAAAACAAAAATCTATTCTTTCTCTACACAGTAGATAGATATTTGTAGTAGATTGATATTTTGTAGTGAAACTTCTACCATAAAACATGGTTTTATGTTTTATTTGAAACCCCCACATACAGGCCTCTATTAATTGAATTATTGCGTACTGTACTGTTGGACTATTACACAAGGTAAAAAATTACCATAACTGACATCATTGGGGACAATGGAATTTGTGCTAAGTGAAGTACATGCAGTTGATGCCAGTTGCTGTGGATCTGATATGACTGCTTGTCGCTGGCGTTTGCGATAGTTAAATAGAGGAACTGGTGCAGGTTTCTAGAAAACAATAATAATAATGAAATAACATTAAAAAATAAAGTTCATCAATTTAGAAAAAAACGCACATATTATCATAATCTTCTTCTTTTCTTCTTCTTCGTTCTTAATTTTTAGTGTTGAAGGGGATCGCGATTTATCTGTCAGTGGGTTTGAACTCGAGACTTTGTTCGAATTTATCAACCATGAGCTTTTTGCCGACTCGACCACGCCTCCAACACAATTAAGCGTTACGTGTCAACTGGTTATGCGCCATTGAGGCCATTGACTACGATTTCAGCCTGCTTTTCTTTTTGGATTTGCTTCCATAGCCTTTGTCCAACCAAGAACAAACTACAAGGCAGCAGTTGTTTAATTTTGGAGGTGTCTCTCCTAGAAGAGTGGCTGTCCCCAGCTAACGAGCCTCATCTGCCCGAGGGTTCGAACTCGAGACTTTTTGGTTTAGCAACCATGAGCTTTACCGACTCGACCACGCCGACCCCCATTATCATAATAACTACTATAAATTTAATTTTTAAAAAATACAAGTATCCAACCCCCCCCCCCCCCACACACACACACACAAATCATGTTAAATGTTCCATCCCATTTTCTAAAATAACAGAAATGATAGTCATAGTTTAAAGTTTCAATAAAATAGTTTTTAGAGCAGATTAAAATTAAATTGAATAGTTTTTCTAGATATTAGATATCTACATTACATTTTATTTTTATCCCCAGCATTTTTATTTTTGAAGTAATAAAAATGCTGTGGCTGTGGCTACTAGACTACATCTAGAATCTAGATGGCTACATCTCACATTTCTTGAACTGTTTTTCTATTCTGTATTCATAGTCAATTATAATAAACTTTATTAAAAAATTCATTAAAAAGAAGACAGCGTTGAAAGTAAAAATTAGTGTGGCTGTAGGTCCCAGTGTTGAGTGTGGGGCATCGTTAAACTAGATCTAGTAGATCTATCTATTGTCTAAGTCTATAAACTATAAAATATAAAAGTTAAAAAAAAAAAAACAATAATGAAGAAATCAATGAAAATAATCAAATAAATAGTTTAGAAACCCACATTCATTTTAAATTTCAGAAAACAATGAACATTCAATTTCAATTAGTTTATAACTAGTCTAGTCAACTGTTAATGAATAGGCCTAACTATCTAAAAATCTATGTGAATTTGATTACGCCTACTATGAATATTACAAGGTAGATTTTTCATAGCAGACGACAAAGGGAGAAACCATTTGTTAGTTATTTCCCCTATATTTTGACCACACCCTTTTGAAGATACAATTTTCTCTTGTAAAAACATTCTAAAGATTTAAATCTAGATCTACCACTAACAAACGAATTATGAGTTTTGTAACTTACATATTATTTAATAAACAAGCTAAAGTAAAAACAATATTTAAGTGTAGGTTAAATTCATATTTTTAAATGCAAAAAATAGATCTACATTTATTTCTCAAAATGAATTCATTGTTTTTTACTTTACAAATTTCCCGTTTCCTCTTCCGGTAATCGTAAAATTTACGCATAGGCCTTACTTTCCTCAAAAAACATAACAATGGAGGTTGCGAAATTAAAAGATGATAACAAGAAAGTTGTTGTTGCTCAACAATTTAAAGTCCCGTCTCAACGTTGGATTAAACCTAAAAAAATTCTAACTGAGGACGAGTTTTCACAGGTAATTTGATTAAAATCAACGGTGTAGTGAAGTCAGTCTGTACTCTGTAGATCTAGAATATTCTCTCTGGAGTAGGTCTATTGGGAAATTTTCCCTAATTATCATAGAATGATAAAATGGACCCAGATTAATCCTATAATATACCCCATTGATAAAAATATCAAATTTATCATTCTAGGCCTAATAGTTTTTTTTTAATGAATTTTCAAAGTTATGTGTTTAACTTGTTATGTTTCATTGTAAACTGCATTCGAGACGTGTGATTGGCTTTAAACTTGCATACCAATGTTGCTATTAAAGATATAATGATAAAACTTTGCACATTTGTACTCAATGATATAGGCAATAGAAGTCTACACATAAAATAAAAATTAGAAAAGAGGTAACTAGAAATAATGAAGTCAAATTAAGGGGTGTGGCACTGTATAGTGACTGCTATAAGAGGATTTCCAGACTGCACAGCTAGGTTGCTATTCCATATACCATCATGAAACTTTATATATTAGGACTAGAGAATGTAAAAAATACAAACATGCAAGTAAAATAAACATAGCTAGAGGAAAACTATAAATTGTGAACTTGAATATGGTACAGCGCAATTAGACTATGATGATTAACTACAGGCTAATATATTGCACTTCTTTGTTGCTACTATAAAAATAAAGATAAACTTTACATATTGATTCTGGTGTTAGTTATAAGAATGCTAGTATACATATTGTACAGGTAATGTATAGAGTTAGAACTTACAAGTCAAATACAGCACAATATGATCAAGATACTTAACGATTTGCCATAAACATTGGATTTGTGTCCGTGTATAACATGGTAAAAATGTTATTATTAATTTAGAAGACTTAGGTTCTTGTAATGTTTCTGATGAAAAGTGTAGAGATGTGCTAAAACTCAAAGATTGACATTTCACAGTATTCTTATTTATAAAATGTTTAGTAAAGCTGACGTATCCTTTGATAAATTCTTAAATGACATTAATTAAAGTGTTCATGTTTTCTTTCTATTATAGTTGCCTATTACTAAAACTGTAATGCAGTGCAGCTTATAAAATTGGGCTTTATTATTTTTAATTTAGGCCCTTTATAGATCTAGATAGGCCTGTCAGTATTTACATTAAGGCCTAATAGTTTATATATATATATATATATATATATATATATATATATATATATATATATATATATATATATATATATATATATATATATATATATATATATTACACATCTCTAGACCCAATATTATTTTAGTGTTTTCATTTCCATTTAGATCTGGATCCTATTTTTTTAAAACTGTTTACAATAAATTTAGATTTATTTCTACTTGAAAATGCCTTTATAATCTATTTATCTGCAATTCGTTAATGCTAGTTTGCTAGATCTAGTTAACCTGGTATATCGTATTAAGAAGGTTAATAAAAATCTGGCTAATTTAAAATTTTATAATTTATTTAGGCAGCAATTAGGCCTAATTACATTCTTTCCATTTTTAATTTAAAAATTTAGATCTACAGTATATTTATTTTAAAGCCCATTGTATTGTAACTGTCCATTTAAAAACAAACAGCTATTAAAAACATCGTATGCGCTTATCTATTAATATCTCGTAACCCGGCCGCCATTATGAAATTACGCACGCTTTCTCGTTCCTACCCCTACGAGTTTTATCGCGCTACTCCTTATTGGCCCATGCTTAATAACCCTTCATATCGACATTTCTATTTATCCAAATGGTTGGCATGCTATTTAAGCCTATTTTCATACAATTTAGAGGATTATTTATATCTGAAATTTAGTTGTCAATGCGCCAGTTCGGTAGCGTCGGCATTTCGACAAATATTTGCTATTATCGGTGATTGCTTTCGGTATCGGACAATGTAAAACGGGAGCTAATTCATTTATTAGTATGTATAAAAGATTAAATTCAACTCAAATATTCATATCGAATACATTTTATTCTTCGATTCCGATGGCGAGAATTAACATGTTAAAAAATGGCGAATTTCAACAAGTACGATGAAAAAGTCAGGATGTGGTCGTACCGAATCGAAACAGCGGAAGTCGAAATGCCTACTCTGGAGTAAAGAAAACAAAAATTGGTAATCTATCGTTTTAGGTACGTAAAATCGCCCGCGACTAGTAATGTGAAAAACAGGTGACTCCTTACATTTTAATAATTATTTCACATTTTGAGTAGGATTTATGTTTTGAAAAATACAAAAATGTTTCCTTGTTTCATTTATGTAGGCCTACCTTTTTTTAAACAATTGAATTAAAACTTTTCAGTAATAAATGAACACCAGCGATGTTTCCAACAGATGCAACCATGCTCATTTACTATACTATAGCAGCCATCTTGTTAAAGTTTTATTTTTATAGACTTATAGCACGAGATTCAGGCGGAAGTCACTCTATTTTACAAATGGCTGCTGTTTACATAGCAAATCTTGCTTGCAGACACTGCTGTTTAAAGTTAATTTCTGGCCTATATTGATATATTTAGCCATTGATTTAGGTTTATTATTCATTTATCTATAATATTTGACACAAACATATCACAATATACTTCTATTACAGCCTTGACATTGAGGTAATTTCGTACATTAATAGACGCGGGCGATTTTACGTACCCAAAACGATAGATTACCCAAAAATTAAATTATTAAATTAAACTTTTATTAAACAATCAATTATTTCACAATTTTATTTCACTATTTCCAGCTTTGTTTTAAAATTAACAAAAACATTTCATGTAGGGCCAGCCTGTTTTTACACACTTTTTTTATTAAAACTTTCGAAGTCGAAGTGACTACTCGGAAGATTTTTCTCCCCAACGTCTCCACTTAGGCGGCAAAAGATAGCTCTGCGCATGCGCAGTGACCTATGGCTAGGGTTAGGGCTAGAATTAGGGATAGGATTAGGCCTAGGGTTAGGATTAGGGTTGGTGTTAGGGTTCTGCAGTTGTAAACACACGCATGCGCAGTACCGTCGAAAACATTGCCGCGATGGCAAGTCGTAGTTTCTCTACATTGCGCATGTGTATCTTATTCCGGCTAGCATCGGCCTAAAACTTTTTAGTTGGCTAGTAAATTAAAGATTAGGCCAGGGGTGTTTTTTTATCATAATCTATTAATTCTACCAAGTTCATTGACATTTGTTAACTCTTTAAGCCCGTAATTATTTTCACGTTTTACTGGAATTATTTTTTTTCCCACATTTTTTTTCAGTACCCCTGCGGCTTAATGACCCATATCTTTTTAACCGTTAATTTAAACCCCACACATTATTGATAAAAATTAATCGTAATTGAATACCCTACACACTGATATAAATTTTAAGGAATTATTTATTTATTGAAGAAAGATAATTACTTAGTTTTAAAGAAGAAAAAATAAGGAGTTGATTTTTTCGTGAAAAAATTACGCTTCTGTCTGGAAAATTAATAATAAAAATAACTTTTCATGAGTTCTTGTTCATAGAAAACGAAAGTACGTCCATTTATCTACAAAAATCATGGATCGGATTAGTCTTAGTATAAATACTTTAATTTTCGTTAATTTTATAATGCGGCGACGTAAACGTTAAGACGCGGCCGCTGAACGGCATTCCGCAGTGTTGAAAAATGCCGTTTTTCGAGTTGGTTTACAAAAAACATTCTATAAAATACAAAATCGATCTAACGAGAAAACTACAAGAAGTAAATACAACGAAAAATGGCCGCTCTAGCGTTATCATGACCTAGATTTACGATTAAAAACTTGGATTCCGAAAAACAACGAATTAAATAGAGAAAATTTTATCGAACGCTGGGAGCGTCGTTACGGTATGGCAGGCCGGCAGACCGACCGCTGGGAGCGTCGTTACGGTCTTAAAGAGTTAACTTTTTTTTGTTTTGCTGTTTGTAGTTTATAGGTCTACAGTGTAGGCGGTTAGATTCACAGCTTCCGGGTTTGTTGTTTTGAAGCCATCTCCCGGCTCATGCGTTTACCAAAAATGGTGACCAGCTTCACTTTCACTAGAGGGATAAAACTAATGATTACGAAGCCATTGTCAATTTTAGAAAGAACTATCCGTTTCTATTTAAGTCTGTTATTTAAGAATTGTCTGATGTACTTTTGACCTAATTTCTTTGTCTCACAAGCGGCACTTTAGTGAAGTAGCTCTATACAATTCTTATCTTTCAAATCAAATTAGTCTAAAATACCAGACTATGTGTAGATAAAACTTGAAAGTATCAATTTTACACACATTGCAATTAACTGGTATTATTTTTTATACAAACATCACAAAATACTTGTATCATGTCCCTAAACCTTTGTTTTATATTATTAGCTTTGGCCGATTTTACGTACCTAAAACGATGGAATACCCAAACAAATTAGGCCTATAGATTACTAGTAGGCTAATTATAGGTTATTTTAAGTAATTAGACCTACAGGCCTAAATATCATAATTATTTATGAAAAAGCGTCCAACCTTTTCATATGTACTTAACTAAACATTCTGTTTTCAAATTGATTATATATGCTTTACCTTACACAATCTTAAATAACCTTTTGCAACAGGGCATCAGCAAGATAATTGAAAGAGATTTCTTCCCTGACTTACCTAAACTAGAGGCACAAGCTGAATATTATGAAGCCTTGGAAAAAAATGACTTGGTCAAGCTCAGGGAAATTCAAATGAGATTCAAGCGCCCAGATACTGGTACTTCTGATGTTGGTATGGAGTTTTTATTCTTTTCATCATTGAATCCTTTTTTTAAAAGAATTAGACTTACCCATTTGTTTTGTTTTATTTTTTATCTGTTTACTAATATTAGGTATTGTTAAAAAAATAGTTTTATCATTTATAGATATGCATTGATCTACAAAATTAAGGACAATTATAAACATTTTTCAACAGCCAGCACTCCAGCTACATTTGAGACTCCAGAGGGTCGCAGAAAAACAACCCCCGCAAAGAAGATACAGAAAGATGCCTCACAGTCTGATCCAAATAAAGCTGGCAGCCAGATGGATATTGAAGAAGCCCTGGAAAACATGGAGGAAGGTGTGTTTTTTTTTTTTTTAATAATAGGGGTGATATATTCTTAATTTGCCTGTTAGTTACTGTTTCAACATTGTCTTTAACCTCATGTGCATTAGATCTAGAACCCTTGTTATGTTAAATTAGGCCTTGCTGTTCTCTTTCAGTATTATAGAAAATTAACAGTGTGTGTAATAAATCACTATTAAGTGCTGAATTCATTTAATATTATTCTGATCTCTGTAGATACAGATACACCTAAAATCAGGCTTGACTCTTTTTTGGCTAAAAATACCAGTGAGGACAGTGCATCATTTGTTGAAATCCTGAAAGAATCTGATCGCAAGCATAGACTCAAGCATGCTTGGTTGTTTGAGAAAGAAAAAGAACAATTAGCTGTGAGTTTTATAGAAGTTTTACTAGCATGTTGTTGCCCTGTGATTTACTGGGGTTTTTTTTCTTCTACTTCAATGCATAACAAGCTTCAACCTTTAAAACATGTAGAAAACATTTCCTCTCATTTAAATTTGTGTGAGTGGGTGACAGTGATTTGTGTTAATCAACTACATTCAAGCTAAAGTGTGCTGCTTGCTCCATCTCTTTATCACTATGGTCTGAATTTTGTGGCAAACACATTCTGTCCAGGCAAAAAGTTTAAACCTGAGTGATTGGTGTAATAGTTAATATATGAAAATATATATGCATATACACAAATGTAAAACAAAAAATCTCACTTTTATACTGTAGTAATTGTATATAAGTTTATGTTGGCCTTAAAAATGTAGATTCTCGACTATTCATTCCTTTCTCTAGGAGCATGAGGAGTTTTCTATTGTACCAGCTATTGAGGATCAGGCAGCCATAGAAGACAGACCAGCTCATATAAACTCTTGGAAATATATTAATGAGAATGCTGTTATGTATGTGCCAGAAGGCAAGTGTTCAGTTTTTTTAACTCTTTGTTTTCTTATCCTGTTAACATGCATAGCTTCTTGCTTTTATTTTAACTTTGTGCGTAAAAGGAAACGTATTTTTTAACTGCAGGGCTAGAACTAAGTGCTAAGGAAATGATAGAGCTGCAGAAGCACAAACCCAAAGAGATAGTCCATGAAAACACACGGTTTCACTTCAATCCTTTCAGCAATGCCAGGAGCAAAGAGGCTATGCAGCAGGCTGCTGCTTTTAAGGCTTTGTCCAATCAAGGTATTCATCTTGTTTTTTTATTTCTCCCTCTGCTGTCTTTTTTTTTTCTAAAGATTTAGTCATACACACATATTGGTTAATTTTTTGTTACAGCCCGCTGTTTAAATCTGCTCATAAACATTAACATAGAGGGCTATGTTTTAAGGTGTGGTCACACACTTGTCACTCACATCTAATAGATACCTGGCATATTTATTGACAAGTTATGGCCGCTGGCCTGCATACTGACAACAACATTTTTCACCATTTTTTTAGTCTCAAAAAGGACTCAATATTACTTTTTTTATGGCTCTATTACTCATTAGTAATATCTTAAAATGTAATTTCTATAAATATCATAATTATTTTTTACGTTCAATCTTTATTAATCATATATTTTGAAACAATTTCATCCTTTTTTACATTGAGCACAATAATATATTACAAAGCTGAAATAAAATTAAAAAAAAACTATTTTGAAACAGGAAAAATTGGCCATGATGGTAAAGAAATTCAGCTGAGACAGTCACCACAGGTCAATGGCTATGGATTTGTTGTGACACCCTCCCCAGCCCCTGGGGTGTCAGAGTCTCCTTTGATGACCTGGGGTGAGATAGAGAGCACGCCCATGAGGCTGGACAATAACAATGATGCTCTGCCTTCAATGACGCCAGGACCTGTGTTTAGGGTATGTTACACATGTTTTGTATTCCCACGTTAATTTTTATTTCTCCTAGTAAAGTATTTTGAAGAATTTTTATATTAATGGGAGGATAATATAATTTTTTAAAAAAAAAAGTCCGAACTGATGTTCAAATTTATAGTGTAACTTTCTTTCAAATTTTCCTAACAAAAATTGATCAGAAAACTTCTTCCATTTTTAGCACTTAGTACTTTATTTAAAATCTGGCCTTTTAAATTCCAAAAGATTCAAATATCCATCACACTAAATATACTCTCATTAAAAAGGCAATATTTTTGCTTTCTACATTTAAGTAAATTTATTTAACTTTAAACAACACTAGATTCCTGATGTTCCAAAAAGAGACAGACTTGCCCTGGAGTTATCTGAAAAAGCTAGCAAAGCTCACAGGGCTAAAAAAGAAGAAGCTATCAGACAAGTTACTCGTAGATTTGCGAGGTAATGCCATTTTTATACTATTTTTAAAGTTGAACATTTAGTTCTAATAAAAATATGTAAATATGTATAAATACATGTGCGTTGCTTTTGAGTTTATCCTGATCTTGTGTAAAGATTTATAGAACATGCATTATTCTATATGAACATATTTTAAACATCTTTTAAAATGTTTATCATCAGTGAGTTTTAATTATTAAACAAACATTTTTTTTCTTCAGTCCTTCACCTTCATCAAAACTAGGCCTGAGCTCAGTGGAAAGACTCAACTCCATGTCCCCAGCAGCCCAGAGGCTGGCCAGCAAGCGGCTGGGCATCAAGACATCCTCAGACAAAGCCCTGCTAGCCAGCTACACACCCAGCCCCTCCCCCACCCACAGACTCCCTGGCACCAAGACCCCCATCAGACTGACGCCAGGCTCTCGCAGGTCACACGGCTCATTGCCAGGCAGCCCTGCAGTGTCCACGCCATCCAGCGAGCGAGGGGACGCCACTCCTTCTAACTCTGATCTCTCGTCATTGACTGACCACCTCCTTAAGTTACCTCAGAGAAAAAGAAAACGTGCCGCTGATTTTTTTGAGCAGCAGTGACTACAGGAACCTCCTGAAAATACTTGAATTATCCAGCGCCTAATTAGCGGGCTACACAGTTGAGAACTACATCTCGGATCAATTTTCTTCTTGCTGGCTGATATGGATTAAAATTTAGCCTGATACCTTTAAGAAAATTGCAATGAATGGTTATTGAAATGACGTCCCCTGCGAGATTGTTTAGAATCTGAACTAGTGACGTTGTAACCAAAAAAATCCGATGTATTCTTGTGTGTAAAACTACTCAGATTGTGATAAAACTATTGTAAAGAGTGGGTTGATCCTGCTCAGATTCCAATGCCTGTTGTTACATCAATGTTTCATGTCCTTAAAGACAATACAATGTTGCCTTGCATTACCACAACTATTTGCACCTTGATGTACATTGATCTCTCTAACCTTGAACATATGTGGATTGATGCTGTTATCTAACACAATTGTTGGGCCTACAGACATTAATTGTTGTCATCTATCCCAGAGTATAGTTGCTATAATGTCTGCTCAGTATCAACTCAGGAGCATGTATGTTAAGAGCCAGCAGCTTCGCCAACAACATAGTTGGTTGAGGATTAAAAGTAAAATAAGCATTTTATTTAATTTATTCAGAATCAAAGCCCTTAGTCAGGAAAATGCTAATTTTTCTAAAAACTTGTCATTAAATGATAATGAAATCATGTTTGTATAATCTTTTAGTGGTTAAGTAATCTTGTTTTCATAATTTGCACTTAACATAGTCATTAGTGCTGAAATGTAGAAGAAAATGTAAAGTATTTATTTGAAAACCTGCCAAAAAAGTATTTTGTCCATGACAGTAATGATATGTAGTAGTGGTAATTAAATGAAGATATTAATGTAAAGAAAAGATGCCACAATTTAAGTAACCACAGCAACAGCAGTGTGATTACACTCAGACACTGTTCTAGTCATCACTTTATGTTGCACAGTAAAACACTCCATGTTTTAGGATCATTTATTTTAATTTTAAAGAAAAGTGGAATTAAAAGAAGTGAAAAGCACCTTGTTTGATGCTTTTAGTTTGAGAAATATGTGTGATGACTTGTCTTTCAACTGAAAGCAGTTGAGAAAACCATTTTTATAATTTTATTCAATTTATGAAAGGGTGGTTGATGTAAATGATGATTTCCTGATGGCAGGTTTAGTTATAGAGACAGTTCATTGATAGTGTTGATTGTGTTAACAGTGTCTTTCAGCTTACATTCATCATATCACACTATTGTAAAGACTTTTTACATTGTTCCCCATAATGTAAGTTAGAATAGGCATATTCACATGATGAGAACATTATTTTAAAGACGGGCTATTAATCATGAAAGGCCTGATAAAGTTATTAAACCAAAAACACACTTTAGAATTAGGACAGAGCAAAAACTGACTAGACAAGATGGATTGGGACAAAACATTTGACAGTAGAAAGATGGAATGTAAAAAAAAAAATGGACTGAATAAAAATGGACTGAAAGATGAATAATACACTTAAAATAGAGAAAAAAAATTGACTGAAGGAAGATGGACTGGACAAAAATGGACTCAAGAAAGATGGACCGGACAAAAATGGACTCAAGAAAGATGGACCGGACAAAAATGGACTCAAGAAAGATGGACCGGACAAAAATGGACTCAAGAAAGATGGACTGGACAAAAATGGACTCAAGAAAGATGGACTGGACAAAAATGGACTCAAGAAAGATGGACTGGACAAAAATGGACTCAAGAAAGATGGACTGGACAAAAATGGACTCAAGAAAGATGGACCGGACAAAAATGGACTCAAGAAAGATGGACTGGACAAAAATGGACTCAAGAAAGATGGACTGGACAAAAATGGACTCAAGAAAGATGGACTGGACAAAAATGGACTGAAGAAAGATGGACTGGACAAAAATGGACTGAAGAAAGATAGACTGGACAAAAATGGACTGAAAGACAAATACACTAAAAAAATAGTGGAATAAAAAAATGGACTTAAGGAAGATGGACTAGGACCAGAGGGAATGTACAGAGAAGGATTGTCAAAAAAAAAAGGACTGAACTGATATTGATAGATGGTCTGGGCTAAGCCGACCTAGACTAACAAGACCTAGACAAATATTAACTGAACTAGACTGCCTAATCGAACGTGTGGAATGCTACAAATCTGTAGGCTCGTGACAATCCGAAGGTGATCCGTTAAACTTGTCTTTTATACTCTCAATATGCCCAATCGTCTGGTTTGTGTGCAGCTTCTTGCACAATTCACAGTGCATTTTTCCGGGGATAACATAGCGCCACCTGGATAGGAGTGGAGGTGTGGACTAGCTCATCGTCTGATCGTTAATAAACTAAATTTATAATAAATAATTGTATACAAATGATATTAACCACACAAAGCTAATAGAATTAATTGAAAAAGTGAAGCAATCAACTACACGCTCTTGTGTTTTAAATTTAATACAGGCCTACTAAATTTTAGAAATCCGATGAATACCGCTGTACAATATATTTAAACATCAAAATTAATTAATCCTTAGTGACTGCAATTAAAAGAAATTTCTATTAAATTGATAATTATAAGACAGTTGAAGTAGAGTTCAAAAGCTAAGGTAGGCCTATACGCAATATTGTAAACTGGCAAAATAGTTTTGCACACACTAGTTTAGTTAAGCGGAAAGTATATTTTAAACACAACTAAAATAAATCTGCCTCACGAACCTATTCTTTCTCCGCAACATTTCTGTGTATCTTTTCTTGTCGGACCCAAGCTCCAACAAGTACCTGGCCAGTTCTTCTGGTGACTGGAAAAAAATCAGGCAACAACTTTAGCGATACTTTTAAAATGAGAAGATGAAAATCAAATGTGTAGCAATGCTGTTTTTTTTAAACAGAAGATTACGCCACATGTAGAACTCACAGAAAAATCAGCGGCGTCGACAAAGATCCCAGAGGGCAGGTATTTCTTGTAGTTAAAGTCACCTCTAACGACAGGTATGATGTCAACGTCTTTGAAGAGTTTGAAAAACTTCTCAGTGATGTAGTCCTTGCAGAAAGAGTTCTCGAAAGCCAAGTAAAACCTTGAGTCAGATAGATTCAACATCTAGACATAGAGCAGTCAGATAGATACAACATCTAGACATAGGGCAGTCAGATAGATACAACATCCAGACGTAGGGCAGTCAGATAGATACAACATCTAGACATAGGGCAGTCAGATAGATACAACATCTAGACATAGGGCAGTCAGATAGATACAACATCCAGACGTAGGGCAGTCAGATAGATACAACATCTAGACATAGGGCAGTCAGATAGATACAACATCTAGACGTACTGCAGTGTAGTAGATATTATAGGCCTATCTATAGCATTGTCAGTAGACTATATTTCTATTTTTTCAAAACCTGGCTGTGTATTGGAGGACACAGTGAACACGTCCATAATTGATGTCACAATTAAGTGGTGGGGTCCATAATTTTGTGGTGATGTGTGATGTGAACACGTCTATAATTGATGTCACAATTAAGTGGAGGGGGTCCGTAATTTTGTGGTGATGTGTGATATGGTGGATTCAGACAATAATATATTTCATTTAAAGAAAAAAGTAATGTTCGTTTGTAGAGACCAGGATTTAAGAAGTCTCAACATGTGGGCAGATAATGAGGATATGGTGAGCAGGACTAAAGAACAGGACATTGTGAGCAGGACTAAGGAACAGGACATTGTGAGCAGGACTAAGGAACAGAACATGGTGAGCAGGACTAAGGAACAGAACATGGTGAGCAGGACTAAGGAACAGGACATTGTGAGCAGGACTAAGGAACAGAACATGGTGAGCAGGACTAAGGAACAGAACATGGTGAGCAGGACTAAGGAACAGGACATTGTGAGCAGGACTAAGGAACAGGACATTGTGAGCAGGACTAAGGAACAGAACATGGTGAGCAGGACTAAGGAACAGAACATGGTGAGCAGGACTAAGGAACAGGACATTGTGAGCAGGACTAAGGAACAGGACATTGTGAGCAGGACTAAGGAACAGGACATTGTGAGCAGGACTAAGGAACAGAACATGGTGAGCAGGACTAAGGAACAGAACATGGTGAGCAGGACTAAGGAACAGAACATGGTGAGCAGGACTAAGGAACAGAACATGGTGAGCAGGACTATGGAACAGAACATGGTGAGCAGGACTAAGGAACAGGACATGGTGAGCAGGACTATGGAACAGGACACACAGAGAACATGACCTAGTTATAAAAAACGTAGAACACGAATAAAAAACACACCACAGAGAACAAAAACTAAAAACAACGACAGGCACACACACACACGTACGCGCACGCACGCACGCACACACAAAACAGGACTTCGAAAACGGAACACAGAGAGCAGGACGTAGAAAGACGAGGGCACAGAAAGCAGGATGTAAAAAGATGAGGGCACAGAGAGCAGGATGTAGAAAGACGAGGGCACAGAGAGCAGGACGTAGAGAGACGAGGGCACTGAGAGCAGGACGTAGAAAGACGAGGGCACAGAGAGAAGGAAAGACGAGGGCACTGAGAGCAGGATGTAGAAAGACGAGGACACAGAGAGCAGGACGTAGAAAGACGAGGACACAGAGAGCAGGACGTAGAAAGACGAGGATACAGAGAGCAGGACGTAGAAAGACGAGGACACAGAGAGCAGGACGTAGAAAGACGAGGGCACAGAAAGCAGGACGTAGAAAGACGAGGGCACAAGGCTTTAGAAATAGAGGGCACAGAGAGCAGGACGTAGAAAGACGAGGGCACAGAGAGCAGGACGTAGAAAGACGAGGACACAGAGAGCAGGACGTAGAAAGACGAGGGCACAGAGAGAAGGACGTAGAAAGACGAGGGCACAGAGAGCAGGACGTAGAAAGACGAGGGCACAGAGAGAAGGACGTAGAAAGACGAGGGCACAGAGAGAAGGACGTAGAAAGACGAGGGCACAGAGAGCAGGACGTAGAAAGACGAGGGCACAGAGAGAAGGGCGTAGAAAGACGAAGGCACAGAGAGCAGGACGTAGAAAGACGAGGGCACAGAGAGAAGGACGTAGAAAGACGAGGGCACAGAGAGCAGGACGTAGAAAGACGAGGACACAGAGAGCAGGACGTAGAAAGACGAGGGCACAGAGAGCAGGACGTAGAAAGACGAGGGCACATAAATCAGAACGTACTTATATTCTCTAGACAACATTGGCAGACACAGAGCCGAGTCATCGAACCGGTACCCCGCCCCACAGGTCAAGTTCCCGCAATCGCCGAAGATGTCCACGGGCAGGACGGAACTCATCCTGCGGACGTAGACCTCCCTGAGCCCCCAGCTGTTACAATGGCTGACAAACCAGGCGACGTTCTTTGATTTACCGTCGTAGATTCGATCTAGAAATAGAGCGTTTGATGAATTATGTTAAGCCTTAAATTAATGTTGCTCTTTTTATTATTCCAATTTATCCGCAATGTTTTTTTTTTTTTTTTTTTTTTTTTTTTTTTTGTAAACTGTCTAATATAAATTTATTATTGATCTGTACTTTTATAAATATATTTTTCGTGCGAACATTTTAAAACAATCCCATTAATGAAAGGGATTCTTTCCGGTCTAATAAAAACAATCTTTTTGTTAAAGGGCTTCTTCTTGTCCTCTATGGGCTTGCATCTACTTATTTAACTGGATGGGTATGACAAGCCAAGTCATTAAATATGTCTTGCACCAACCTGGCAGTCAAATAAAGGGCTTACATCTTTCTTGTCTACAAATATGACTTTACTCATAGATTTGTTCAAATATGGGCTTACACTATCTAGCTGTAAAACATGGTCCTTCACCTTTCTAATATGGGCTTATTCCCTGTGTGGCTGTCAGTTACGGATTTTAATTTACCTAAGTATCAAATGTGGCCTTACATTTATCTACTCATCAAAATCGACTGTGTAGTTGTCAAATATGGACCTATCTTGTCGTCATTTATGGGTTTATGCGATTGTTAAATATAGAATTACACGTACCTATGTGTAAAATACTAACCTACACCTGTCTAGTCATCAAATAAGGGCTTATACCTGTCTGATTGTCAAATATAGACCTACACGTACCCAGTTGTCATATACTAACCTATACCTGTCTAGTAATCAAATATAGACTTATACCTGTCTGATTGTCAAATATAGATCTACACGTACCTATGTCCTTGTATGGAGGCTGGTATTTCTCCAAGATCCCATAGACCATCGGGATATCTGCGTGCAGCTGGTAGGTCAAGGTCCAGTTAAACACAGACTTGACCTCCTCCCTGTCCAGGTTATAGTTCTTTATCGCCGGGTCAAAGTTGAAGAATATCCACCTGAGAAATAGATGAAGAGAAATATGGGCGTGTTTGTGGCTGAGCAGCCTGATAGTATGTAGTCACAGAGCTGCAAGAAGAAGAATTTAAAATGTTGGGTTGCTGGGCTGTGCAAGGATGGAGACAGACTGAGTATAGTTTTAGATAAGAGTCGAGATACTTTGGAGCAAGAGGACTGCATTATAATGACTACACTGAGAAAATCTTACGTATGTGACCTGTAGCTGCCTAAGGAGGTCTTCAAATTCATAAGCAGAGTTCATCTGCAGCTATAGAAATTTTTTAAAAATTGGTTTATTTAGAAAAAAAAATGTTGTGATGTTCTATCGTATTTACCGAAAGAGGTCTACAAATAACAGATAAGCAGAGCTCTTCTGAAGCTGTAGATTTTTAAAGAATTTTTTTTGTGGAGAAAACATTTTTGTGATGTTCTACCTAAATAAGTCTTAAAGTAACAGATATGTAGAGGTAACCTACAGCAGTAGATTTAAAAAAAAAACTTGGTTTATTTGGAGAAAAATTGTTGTGGTTCTACCTTAGTTAACTAAAGAAGTCTTCAAATAACAGATAAGCAGAGTTCGCCTGAATATGTAGATTTAAAAAAAAAGGTGATTTAATTAAAAAAAATGTTATGATGTTCTACCGTAGTTACCTAAAGAGGTATTCAAGTAACACATAAGCAGAGCTCTTCTGAAGCTGTAGATTTTTAAAAAATTGTTTATTTAAAAAAAATGTTCTGATGTTCTACCGGAGTTACCTCTGTCCGTTTGGACGGTGGAAGGCAGGGATTTTGTGCATCCTGACAAAGGTGGCTTGGATCATGACGGCATCAGCTTTTGACAGGTCGTCAGTGTAGCTGCACTTACTGTACCTGCAGTCTTCGAAACTGGAAGGTGGTAGTGTTGACGTCATAAGTGGTCAATACACCACAGTACACCACATTACACCACAACATATGTGGTCAGTACACCACAACATATGTGGTCAATACACCACAGTACACCACGAAATACATGGTCAGTATACCACAACACACATGGTCAGTATATTATAGTACACCACGACATACATGGTCAGTATATTATAGTACACCACGACATACATGGTCAGTATATGATAGTACACCACGACATACATGGTCAGTATATTATAGTATACCACGACATACATGGTCAGTATATTATAGTACACCACGACATACATGGTCAGTATATTATAGTATACCACGACATACATGGTCAGTATATTATAGTACACCACGACATACATGGTCAGTATATTATAGTACACCACGACATACATGGTCAGTACAACACGACATACATGGTCTATACACCACGACATACATGGTTCATGGTCAGTATAGCACTACATATACCTCAGAAAATACATATTAGTGTATTACAGTCCCGTGTGACTTACCTATGATTGTGTTGTTTCCTTCCTAACGGTATCAAGTATGCGACGTACTTGACAGAATTCTCTACCACCGGCAACGACATTCTTCCCGATTAAAAAAATAGCCACAGTTAAATAGTGCATAGAGACATACAAATCTAGACATTCAGACAAAATTTCTATATCATGAGAAATTACATAAGCACGTAGACATATAACTTAACAACGGACAACCAGACAAAACTTTAAAAATACGTATACAAACAAGAGCAATAAAGAATTAACTTAAAAACGCACTTAAGCAGCTCCCGTTTCTCGTTGTATATATAAGGTGAATTTTCTAGTCGTCTCATTTCTGCCTCATCTTCATCGTTTCCATTCTCATCTTCATCGTTACTTGCTTTGTCCTCCCAATCATCACGGTTTTCATCATCTGCACAAAAAATATCAAATAAACCAAACATCGTGGATAATCAAGAATTAAATATTTGAATCTTTAAATCTGGCGCCGTCGATAAATGACATCCACCTGTAAGACATTTTAGTTGCCTCTTTGTAGTGGACGTGAAGGGGGCAGAGTTTCTTCCAGGTATCTCTTCGGGGGGGGGGGGGGGAAGGTCAAAGCCCGCCCAAAACTTTTTTACCGCCCCCCCCCCCCACCGAACGAAATGAAATTTATATAATTTATATAGAAAATATATACTTTTAACAGTGTCCGCCCCCCCCCCCCGAAGAAAGTCTACCGCCCCCCCCCCCCCGAAAATTTCAAGCGCCCCCCCCCCCCCCGGAGAAAAAAGTCTGGAAGAAACACTGGAAAGGGGATGAATGGGGGTCAATGTGGTTTGTATTTTGTATCCTGTCCCTTTCAATCCTCATGAGGTGAATTGTCAGTCATGTGATCATATTCCTGTTTGTACCTGTCTGTGTACGTGTTGATGGTGTGTGTGTTAACTTCAGGTAGTGTAGGTTAGTACTGTGTACTTTTATATAACCATTGTATCGTAGTATTGTGTACTAGTTAGTGTTAGTATTTAAAATAGCCTGCGTTTGTTTAGATAGTGTAGATAGTGTTTAACTCTTTTTAGTGTTAAAAAGCCTTTGTTTTATTTAGCCTCGTTTCTGCTTGTTTTCTTAGATGTTGCACTACGCACCGGATCACCTGTAGAGGCGTGTCCGTGTGTTTACAAACTGTCAGACACTCCCCACCCATAAAATGGCGTTAATCTTCATCCTTGCATCGCCCCAACCCCCCCCCCCCCCCAAATCCAAATTTGAGCTTTGCTATTTAAAGTATCTTATTTCTAAAATTTCAATAGAAATCTAGAATTTAAATAAAAATTAAAAAAAAAAAACCCAAACAAACAAAAACTGCAAACATTCAGAATAAAAGACATTTCTAAAATGCAAAAATGGGACGTAACACTTTCTAACACGTCCTCATCACCCCTCCCATTCGTCACACAGCACCCCCTTTCACACCTCGCCGTTTATGGACGACGTCTCTGAAATCTGTTTTTAAACTCGAACACAATATGTGAAGAGGTTTCAAATGCTGGATCTCCAACTTAATATGAACATGTTCAACTACGCTGAACTAGAAGGAGCTTTCCTCAAGCTAAAAGCTATCCAGAACTACTTTTCCCACAATAACTACAAGAATATTTTCTTTCTCATTAAGATTAAAAGGGAACTATTTTCTCTGGATAATAGGTAATAAGAACTATTTTTCCAACGAATGAATGTGAATTGGTAAAATTAAAACCTATCCCTTTATATTGCGCTGGGCGGATTAATCGTGTTCAGCGACCATTGCGTTCAGCGACCAAGCCTTACTTTCCTTAATAAAATAAGTCCACCGTAATATCGAATTAAAGCATCGAACAGAAATGATTTTTTTTTTCGATTCACTAGAATGTTTATAGGTCTAATTGTCATAATAATGTATAGTATTTTCATTTTTTTAACCAATATCATCTTGTTTTGATTGTTAAGCAAGATTCAATGGCGGCCGGAAAAGGTGGTTTTTGTAAGGATCTGTTCAAAGCAATATGTTTTTATAACTTTAAAAAAAGTAAGGATTCCTCTTTAGACCTTGCGATTCATCAGGTAGATGAACTACAGCTCATATGTTTCTTGTCATCGACGTGTGTGGTGATGTTGTGGCCAGCACTATGTCAACTTCGTTTACTTTCCCCAACTTGAGTCAGGTATCCATCAGAACTGGGACGTCCTACAATCACAAGTCCGAATGGAGATCCGAATTCGAGACCTTCGGGCTAGCAGCCAAACACTCTACCATTCGACCACGCAGTCATATAGCACTATATTTTTCGTAACTGGTTATTTAAAATTTTACGAAGCTTTTAATATAACACTCTAAGGAAAAATAATATTTTAATGTTAATTGGATCACTGATGTAACGGGATGGGGAGCTTTGTCAATTTTTTTGTACTCAGTACTGTTGTGGATGGGGAGGGTTGTCTAACAATTACCCAACCCGACATTGTCCAGTTAGCTCTGAACACAGCTACATCACAAGTTTACCCTACCAGACACTGATCCGCCGGTTTCAACCCTCGCTTCAGTCCTCCCGTCGCCAGCAGGTTTCTTGCTCGCCTCCTCCAACTTCACCAAAGTTTTCCTCTCTACGTGGGCGGATTGTAGCACCAGTTTCTGTTTTTGTGAGCCGACATCCCACCTCATCATCTTCTCGACAAAAAAGATAAATACGACGGCCACGACGAAAAATTTGAATACCGTTCTCATCTCCGACGAGGTAGTAGTTTGTCTTGTGAGCGAAACAATCGATTTATTTATATTCCTTCTGTTACGAACACATCAGTTCAACGTTTTTATAAGCAGAAATCCGAACTTAATAATCTATTTAAAAATAAATATCAGTCCATATGTTTGGTTATTAGGAATTCAAATTTTATAATTCCCTGTTTATGAACTCAGAAAAACTTTATTTGAAAAGTTATTCGCATGTTAATTTTTTTTTCTACGGACAAAACACTAGTGTTTGTAGATATGCAGTCTTATTATCCTTTTTGAAAATAAAAACAGAAATACAGTTGCTTCGTAGTAGGCAATAATAATTTTAATATTTCAATTTGAATGAACATATTACAATTGTTTCTTCAGTACGCAAGCGGTTTGTTTTATTCCTTTGATGTTATAAAATAAAAATTACACCTGGTTCGAGACTTAAAATTTATAATATTTCTCTTCTATAAACACTTCAGATCAATTGTTCCGTAACTAAGTAATATTTGATATCTTGAACTCCCATGTTTAATGTACACATCCTAGATTGTTGTGATCTTTGTTTTGTACACGGACAGTTTCCTAAAAACAGTGAGTTTGTACAAATGTGACGGAACAAATGACACGTGATCCGTGTAGTCGTGTACTCAATTTGAAACACGTGATCCAGGGGGGAATCGATACAGAATAAAGGTAAGTGTGGATAGACCCAATGGAGTTTTGAGACCGATTTGTGAAGACCAGTGGTTCTCGCATTGTTCTAGAGATACTCTAGGTAGTTGACATGAGATTGTGCCAAATGGTTTTTCCGTTATCGTAGAGACACCCAAAGGTCGAGATCACTTGGTAAAGCCGGGTTTTTTTTTTTTTTCTTTGTTATAGAGATGCCCCAAAGGAGTGAGAGGGCCCGGGCTTATTGGTCATCGCATTGTCGTAGAGACGTCCCAAATGTTAGCAAAGATAACAAGTAGCACGTTAGTACCTGTCTTGTCCTGCATTGTCGTTCCTTGTATTAACGATCCCTGACGACTTGAGATAATTAGATGTAAGAAATTGGATTTCAGTCAACTAGTTCTCGTATCAATATAAATGATCCAAACAGGACCCAAAAGATATGAAACTGCATGATACAGCACCGAGTACAATAAATAAAAAAAGAAGTAAGGAATTATCTTTAGACCTAGTGATCCATTAGGCAGACGAAGTAGAATTCGCATGTTTTTTGAGCTCGGCGTATGAAGGGTAGTCAGCACTTTGACCAGCCGTCTTTACTTTCCCCTGACAAGAGTTAGGTAGCCTACCCATCAGGGACTTGGATCCGGATCCGAACTCAACACCTTCGGGTTAGCAGCCTAGGGCTCTACCAATTAGGCCACGCCGCACCATAAAGGCTGACTTGATATTCTCAAGCTCAGCTCCTGGTCCAAACATGTTTTAGAATTCGCCTTTGATCTTGATAAATCTTGATCAAAATAAATATTGTAACCACCACCACACAGAGTGAGAACCATCGACTCCGATAGGACCACACTATCATATCTCAATTATCTCATTACTGTCACCCATCGCAGCCACAGTCTACCAACAGTGTGAAAACCAAGCTCCACTTCAAACCTTTTCTTCTCCCTATTTCTCTACACCTGACCCACCTGCCCAGGTTTCTTCATCTACCTTAGACAGGTATGTGACTTTAATAACCGTTTCAACGTGTAGGTTCAATCGTGTCATCAAATTTTAAACCCGTGTTAAACATTGATGAGAACAAGAGCATCTATTTGAAATAAACTCAGCTATCGATTTTTATTTGTTCGATGAAGTCTCATTAGTTTGGTTTAACCAACTCTTAGCCAGTTGACAGAAAAAAAACATACCAGACACATATCACCGACTAAATATCCCAAGTCAAAATATCTCAGACACAATATCACCAACTAAATATCCCAAGTCAAAATATCTCAGACACAATATCACCGACTAAATATCCCAAGTCAAAATATATTAGACACAATATCACCGTCTAAATATCCCAAGTCAAAATATCTCAGACACAATATCACCGACTAAATATCCCAAGTCAAAATATTTCAGACACAATATCACCGACTAAATATCCCAAGTCAAAATATCCCAGACACAATATGACCGACTAAATATCCCAAGTCATAATATTTCAGACACAATATCACCGACTAAATATCCCAAGTCAAAATATATAAGACACAATATCACCGTCTAAATATCCCAAGTCAAAATATCTCAGACACAATATCACCGACTAAATATCCCAAGTCAAAATATCTCAGACACAATATCAGCGGCTAAATATCCCAAGTCAAAATATTTCAGACACAATATCACCGACTAAATATCCCAAGTCAAAATATCCCAGACACAATATCACCGACTAAATATCCCAAGTCAAAATATCTCAGACACAATATCACCGACTAAATATCCCAAGTCAAAATATCTCAGACACAATATCACCGACTAAATATCCCAAGTGAAAATATCTCAGACACAATATCACCGACTAAATATCCCAAGTCAAAATATCTCAGACACAATATCACCGACTAAATATCCCAAGTCAAAATATTTCAGACACAATATCACCGACTAAATATCCCGTCAAAATATCCTAGACACAATATCACCGACTAAATATCCCAAGTCAAAATATTTCAGACACAATATCACCGACTAAATATCCCAAGTCAAAATATGTCAGACACAATATCACCGACTAAATATCTCAAGTCAAAATATGTCAGACACAATATCACCGACTAAATATCCCAAGTCAAAATATCTCAGGCACAATATCCCAGGGCAAAATATCCTAAGTCAAAATATATTAGACACAATATCACCGACTAAATATCCCAAGTCAAAATATGTCAGACACAATATCTCAGGGCAAAATATTCTAAGTCAAAATATCTCATGCACAATATCTCAGGGCAAAATATTCTAAGTAAAAATATATTAGACACAATATCACCGTCTAAATATCCCAGGACAAAATAGGTCTAAACATCTCAAGTCAAAATATCTCAGACACAAAATTTCACCTACTAAATATCCCAAGTCAAAATATCTCAGGCACAATATCCCAGGGCAAAATATCCTAAGTCAAAATATATTAGACAGAATATCACCGACTAAATATCACAAGTCAAAATATCTCAGACACAATATCACCGACTAAATATCACAAGTCAAAATATCTCAGACACTATATCACCGACTAAATATCCCAAGGCAAAATATCTCATGCACAAAATCTTGGGACCAAATTTCTCAGACAAATTATTTCTGGACCAGATTTGTCAAACGTCGTATCCTAGAAATAGCAATCCCTCACAAAATATCACAAAACAAAATATCACCGTTGTAAATTACACATGTCATAATTTGAACAATTCCTGACCGATGAAGATGACATTTGGTATACCATGTGAGGAAAGCCACATCATCATTTTTCATGTTTGTGATAATTTTTTGGACACAAATTCCGAGGTTGTGTTAGAAGGGGTTATAGAGAGCGTATAGTAATCCTGCAGAAAATAATGGTTTCCGCCACGTTACACCTCCCCACTGTATCGTATACGGAACATAAAGTGGGCATTGTAATTGTGCGAAAATCTTAATCAAGATTTTGACAAATTGTGACGGCTCATAACCTTCTGGAGCCGGAAAAAAAAATAGTTTTGTCATTCTGTTCGTTTGTAGTTTGTCTGTAAACACGATAACTTAAGCACCGTTTCAATTATGTTGACCGAATTTCATATAAATTTCATATATTAAATTTATAGTTTTCTATCAGCTTTTGAGCGATTTCCGGTAATCGGAAGTGATACGCACTCTACTTCCGGTCTCTCAAAACATGCTAACTTGGATGGGTGTTGGGTTGTTTTGTTGTGTTATGTTTTGTATGATTAGATTATACTAGGTGTAGGTTCACTCAGTGAATTTTGTTGTTTTTCAATAAAAAGATTGGTTCCATATTTTTTGTTTTTTATAAAGTTTATGCCTAGTTGATTACGTGTTTAAAAACAATTCTAGATTAAGTTTAGAGATTAACCTGTCTAGATTTAGCAAGATTTGTACTGACACAGAATAGTTTATAATAGTCTCTGCAAATAGTTTAGGATCTACACCCCCCCCCCCCCGTCAAGACTTACATAAACATGGCAAACTTTAAAAAAAACAAAGGCAAATTTTCAACACATTTATTCTACTCTATACATATGGGTTTTATTTAGCGTGGGCATCGGCAATTCACTTGTTTACATGAGAAAAGAATTTTCCATTCTTTCGTTAAAGTCAGAGATGGCTGATGACAATCCCACCATTTGTGCGCGGCTTTTGCTTGCAGACGACACCTTAACACACCTGTTCTTACCGTATCTAACAGTAGACACAGAGTTTCTTCCAGGCATCTCTTCAAAAAACGTCTCCCTCCCCCCCAACGAAATATAATATACATATTAAATACATACTTTTACCAATCCGTCCCCGCCACCCCCCTGCCCCGAAAATTTCAAGCGCCCCCACCCCTGGAAATTTTAGCCCACTCCCTCCAAAAATGTCAAGCACACCCCTTCTTGAAATTTTATTCAACCCCCCCCCCCCCCCCCCCCGAAAATTTCAAGCGTCCCCTCACCCCCCCCCCCCCCCCCACCCCAGAAAAAAAGTCTGGAAGAAACACTGAGTGGACATCATTTTGTTCTCTTGTTAGTAAACTGCATCAGTACTACAAAAAAAAACCTACCCGAAAAAAAATCATCTTATTACTATAAAACTAAAAATAAAAAAAATATAAATCAATCAACGATTGAAAATTCAATATCTTAGCTAATTAAAAACACATCATATAAAACATATTTCATTTACTCTCAACAGCAGATCGAAAGTACTTATTTTCTACGAGCACAGAGTTTCTCAAGGAGCTTAAAGAACAGCTAAAGTACCACAACAGGCATGAAAGATGACAATAGGAAATATAACAGATACATTAGAACTAAAATGCTGTAGGTATAGGCTGTAAAAACACGATTTTTACAGATCTATGGGATGTAATGAATTGAGGATGAATATGATAAAGTGACAAAGACGGACGAGACGAAAATAGGTTTGATAGACATCATGTTTATAATCTCAATACGTGTGGATTTAATAAACCATACCCATCAGGTATTGAGAACATGGACTATATTTAAATAGACTGGACGTAGATTGATCTGAAAATTGATGTACTAGACTAAGATGGAATAGACGAAGATGGACTAGACTAAGATGGACTAGACTAAGATGGAATAGACGAAGATGGACTAGACTAAGATGGACTAGACTAACATGGACTAGACTAAGATGGACTAGACTATGATGGACTAGACTATGATGGATTAGACTAAGAAGGACTAGACTAAGATGGACTAGAGTAAGATGGACTAGACTAAGATGAACTAGACTAAGATGGACTAGACTAAGATGGACTAGACTAAGATGGACTAGACGAAGATGGACTAGACTATGATGGACTAGAATAAGATGGACTAGACTAAGATGGACTAGACTAAGAATCTTAGTCAGATGGACTCTACTAAGATGGATCAGACTAAGATGGACTAGACTAAGATGGACTAGACTAAGATGGACTAGACTAAGATGGAATAGACTAAGATGGACTAGACTAAGATGGACTAGGTTAAGATGGACCAGGCTAAGATGGACTAGACTAAGATGGACTAGGCTGAGATGGACTAGAATAAGATGGACTAGACTAAGTTGGACTAGACTAACATGGACTAGACTAAGATGGACTAGACTAAGATGGACTAGACTATGATGGACTGAAGAAGAATGGTGAGGTTAAAGATGGTCTGGGTTGAGCCGGACTAGACAAAAATGGCAAAGACAGATATGAACTGGACTCGGTTGTAGGATGCTACAAATCTGTAGCCTTGTGACATTCAGAAGGTGATCCATTAAACTTGTCTTTTATACTCTCAATATGCCCAGTCGTCTGGTCTGTGTGCAGCTTCTCGCACACCTTACACATCAACCTGCCCGCAGAAGCATAGCGCCACCTGGACAGGAGGGGAGGTGTAGACTAGATTATCATCAGCTCGCTAATAAAATTAATTGTGACAATCGATACATATAATTATACTAATATTTAAAATTAAACTAAAAAAGTTAATAAAAATGTATTGAAAAAGTGGAACAGTTAACCCTATGCAAGTATGCAGGGATTGAAAAACGGCCACAATGGGTTTTGCACACGGAACAGATAAAACTTTGAAAAACTAGTAGTAGGTCTCACGAACCTATTCTTTCTCCGCAACATTTCTGTGTATCTTTTCTTGTCGGACCCAAGCTCCAACAAGTACCTGGCCAGTTCTTCTGGTGACTGAAAAATAAAAAAAACAGGCAACAACTATAACGATACTTTTAAAATAAGATGATAAAAATACGAATAATAGTAATTGTGGTTTGATAAGTAAATTTCTTTTTTTCGAATCTGACCAACCAATGTGCAAGTGAAGTAGAGTTCAACTGTTTCTGTGACCTCGGCATATGAAGAGGTTGGGTAGTCAGCATTATGCCCAGCCACCTTTACTTTACTTAACATGAGTCAACCTGAGGGACGTTTTTGCGGACTTGAACCCGGATTCGAATTCGAAACTTTCGAGCTAGCAGTATAGCCCTCTACCACTAAACTATGGCGTCCCATAAGGGGTGGTTTGAATAGAAGATGACCCCATATAGAACTCACTGAAAAATCAGCGGCGTCGACAAAGATCCCAGAGGGCAGGTATTTCTTGTAGTCAAAGCCGCCTCTAACCACAGGTATGGTATCAACGTCTCCGAAGAGTTTGAAAAATTTCTCGGTGACGTATTCCTTGCAGAAAGAGTTCTCGAAAGCCAGATAAAACCTTGTAAAAGCCAGTCAAATTAACAGCTAACATAGGGTAGTTAAATATCCTGTATAGGTTTGTCAATAGGGCAGTAAATTAGACATTTATCATTTGGAAACATGACTTAGTCAAAGGATACAAAGAGCAAGAAGTCGAAGTGCGACGCAGAATGTGACTACAGGGAATAATTTCATGAAAAACAGCATTCAACAGGGAGAAGTCTTACCCCAGAGTCATGCAAGCGTAGAGAACAGAAAATAGTAGCATGACACATAAATAGGAAATAATAGGGCACAAAGTTAAGGAGTTAGAAACAGGATACGCAGGAATTCGAAACAGAAAAATGAGAAAATGAGTTGGAAACACGACTAAAAACCACAACAAAGAAAGTCACTAAAAACGATACAGAAAATAAAACAGAAATCGTAACACAAAGAGCAGGATGTAAAAAGATGAGGGCACAGAGAGCAGGACGTAAAAAGACGAGGGCACAGAGAGCAGGACATAGAAAGACGAGGGCACAGAGAGCAGGACATAGAAAGACACATAAATCAGAACGTACTTGTATTCTTTCGACAGCATTGGCAGACACACAGACGAATCGTCGTAACGACGCCCCGCCCCACAGGTCAAGTTCCCGCAATCGCCGAAGATGTCCACGGGCAGGACGGAACTCATCCTGCGGACGTAGACCTCCCTGAGCCCCCAGGTGTTACAATGGCTGACAAACCAGGCGACGTTTTTAGACTTGCCATCGTAGATTCGATCTAAATTATTTAGTTTTTTAACGGGATATCTTTTGTTTTAATAAACGTTCAATTATTTCTTTTTTTTTTGCGTTTCATTTCACGCGATTTCTCATTGCTTAATAAAACTATTTAATCTACGACCTTTGTTTATTAATTTTTCTCTAATAAATATTTATCTTTAACGACATTTTTAACTATATCTGTGGTGAAGGGTCCAACACGGGCTTAATTAACTGGAATTTCAAATCTACCTCCTCGTCAAATTTGGATTTGAATACACCTGTCTTTCTAGTATAGACGTACACATACCCAAGTCTTTGAACGGTGGCTGGTATTTCTCCAAGAGCCCATAGACGATCGGGATATCTGCACTCAGCTGGTAGGTCAAAGTCCAGTTAAACACAGCCTTGACCCCCTCCCTGTCCAGGTTATAGTTCTTTATCGCTGGGTCAACGTTGAAGAATACCCACCTGCTCATACGGTCAAGAGAGAAAGATTACTACCACGCGCAAGAGAGGGGATTATAGACATTCTGATACACCGCTACACATCTATATATATAATTCTCTTCTGGGAGCCGCTAGAAAACAAGCTGCAAACGCGCCTAGAAAACAAGCTGTAAACGCGCTCCCTACCTCCCCACCCCTACATGGTTTTAGTGAGCTGTGTTCACTCTAAATGTTTACAAGCAGAGCCAACGATTTTAAACGTAGGGGGGGGGGGGGGGAGAGGGGGGGAAGGAACGGGGGGGGGGGGTTATGGTCCTTAACGAGCTACTTATAGTGTTTTAAAGAAATATTTTCAGTGGCAGCGTTGGTACTGTGGAATTCACAAATTATGAATAACTGAAAAGTAGAAAAAACAACAACTAAATAGCGGCGTATGTTATGCCGCGGGCCGGCTCGTTTCTTTAAAAAAGGTATGGTGTTCCACAGGACAAGAGAGAAGAGTTTGTACGTTGTTGGGTGAGATCGGGGATGTTATATCGGAAAAACAAGGTCCAGTGGGACTTTGCTACGACGACATGATTCACACTGAAACACCACAAACACGTTCTGTGTGTAATTACTGCTAGTGATCTTAACAATAGCTAATGAAGTCGAATTCATCTGCAGATTGTGTATTCAGCAGTTGTATGGATTTTCACTATTTTTATCTATTCAATCTCAATTTAACAAAGTAATATTTTTTTGTCTTTATAAAATTTTCTACTATTTCAGGTTGTAGCCATCATAGTATAATAGTGCTTGTATTTATTGTTGAACGATAATTATCTAATACATAAAGATGAGAGACTCTGTGCCTCTATTGATTGTGGAAGACATGCGTATGGTAAAAAAATTCGATTGATCGCCATTGTGTAATATTTTAAAAAGATATTAATTTTTGTACTCAAATTTAAATTGATGATTTTAAAAACTCAATATTGAACATTTTCGAAGTTATGTTTGTGCTTGTGTTGGCGTTTGCTTTTGTGTTTGCGTTTGGGTTATGTTTGCGTTTAGTTTTTGCGTTTTTGCGTTTTTGTGTTTTTGTTTGTGTTTGCGTTTGTGTTTGTATTTGCGTTCATGTTTGCTTTTGTGTTTGCGTTTGTGTTGAGTTTGCGTTTGATTTTTTGTTTGTGTTTGAGTTTGTGTTTGTATTTGCTTTCACGTTTGCTTTTATGTTTGCATTTGCGTTTGCGTTGAGTTTGCGTTTGAATTTTTGTTTGCGTTTGCGTTTGTGTTTGTATTTGCGTTCATGTTTGCTTTTGTGATTGCGTTTGTGTTGAGTTTGCGTTTGATTTTTTGTTTGCGTTTGCGTTTGCGTTAAGGGTCATCCATTTATGACGTACGCAAAAATTGCAGATTCTAGACCAACAAAAGTTCTACTGCAAGTACCTTTGTCCTGGAGGTCTATGGGAAGTAGGAAGGTCGTACGTTCTGACATAGGGACCGCTGATTAATACAGCGTCAGCTAATGTCGCGTTCTTCGTGTAGCTGCACATGCTGTACCGGCAGTCATCGAATCTGGAAGATGGAAAAATTGATCTCATACGTGGTCAGTTCACCACAAGATGTGGTCGGTGTACAACAGCATGACGTCAGTACACCACAACATACGTGGTCACTACACCACAACATGTGGTCAGTACACCACAGCATGCGGTCAGTACACCACAACATATGGTCAGTACACCACAACATATGGTCAGTACACCACAACATACGTGGTCACTACACCACAACATATGGTCAGTACACCACAACATGCTTAGTCAGTACACCACAACATGTGTTCAGTACACAACATACGTGGTTAGTACATCATAACATACACCACAACATATGTGGTCAGTACACATCAGCATGTTGTCAGTACACAACAACATGTGGTCGGTACACAACATACGTGGTCAGCACAACATAAGAAGTGGTCAGTACACAACAGTATACAACACCATGATAGAGTCGAAAGAAACTCACCGCTGAATTTTATGTTCTGTCTCTGACTGCAACAGGTGGGTGATATACTTGATAGACCTGGCCACCACCGGCTTGGACATTCTTCAAGATACAAAACATTTTCTATTATCATGCGTAGACAAAATACGGAACTTGATGGAACTACTCAGACAATGACATCACTATAGACTAGTATAGACGGTCATTGACACGTAGACAGGTACCTGAACAAAAATAACTCTTCATACACATTTTAAATTTATGGACGCCTCCACGAAGAAAGTGTTCCGTCCCCCCCCCCCGAACGACATAGATTTTATATATTATAGATTTACAAGTGTCCGCCCCACCCCCCGGAAAGTGTTGACCGCTCCCCCCCCACCGAATGTATCAAGTGTCCCTCCCCCCGTAGAAAAAGTCTGGAAGAAACACTGTAAACAAATACGTATGTAGTGTTAATCGATATCAGTGCATATGATTACGATTAAGATAGCTGTATTTAAAACAACAAACACAGACGAACCAAGGAAATGGAAAAAAAGCTTACTTTAACCTCTCTCGTTTTTCGTTGTAAATATAAGGCGAGCTCTCCAGTCGTCTAATCTCTGCCTCGTCCTCATCTTCTTTGTCATTCACATCATCGCTAATTTTATCAACTGTTCATAAATATCAGATATTTAAATATATGGATGTTTAATTTAATTAAATTTTGAACATTTATATTTGGTGCTGTCGACACATGTAATCGCTTTTTGTGACGAATTTTAACTCCTATTTCTTCATCGACACTCAACGTGACAAAATGTCATACCCCCCCCCCCCCCCCTTTCCAGCCACCAATAAAATGACGGCAATTTTCAGTTTTACAACTATTCTAATTTGAACATTTTAAAACAAAATTGGTATTAATATATTTTTGCTACAATTGTTTTTAAGGAAGTTAAATACAAAATATGAAATAGCTGCAACAATTCAGTTATATCTTCCTCTTTTTCGTTCTTAATTAATATTGGAGGGGATTTTCACCAACATAACAAAACATTACTTGTCAATGTGTTATGCACTGTATATGGCCCATAGAATCCACTTCAACCTGCTTTTCATTCTGGATTTGCTTTCATAGCCTTTGTCAAGGCAAGAACAATCTGCAAAGTTTTTCTCCTAGTTGGGTTGCAGTCACCTGTCCTGTGATCCGAACCCGAGACTTTTGGAATAAGCAAATGTGAACTCTCTGTAATGTTAGTTAGGTGTTGAGTCTTATGAAACCCCTCCTTCCCCCCCCCCCCTAACACTCTGCACATTTCATCACTTAAATACAAGCTCGCCTTACCTACTAGTGTGAGGTCATTTATGTACCAAAACTCTGGCTTGCATCTAAATCGAACGTGTAGAGAATCAACACGGTGGATGTTGAATACAGTATGGATGTGTACAGCTATATTAATCTCAAGGGCACTATTTTACCATTGAATTCTGATTTTGTTATGCAATTCCTTCGTTTCGTTTGAAACCTTTTTGATTCTCAAACACTTATTATTTCAAATACATCCAAATAAAAATGAGTTCATTCCCAAGGCCCTCTTCGAAGGGATGTGTATTAAGTCTTATCTTTTCATTACATTTTAGTTTTTGTTGCTAATTACACTTACGTTTTCGAAGCCGAAAATCCAACATTTTAGGGAAAAGATTTGAAATATTGTGATATCAATTTTATCAATGTTTGACAGTAGGGGTTGAGATGGGTGTCTAAAACTTGCCAGATAAGTATGATGCACTTCTAAAACGACCACCTCATTATGCACAAACTTTAAAATACTACAAAACTATAACCTATTGGATCAGTGACGTAGCCAGGATCGTCTCATGGGGGGGGGGGGGGGGGTTCAAATTTTTACCCGGGGACAAACTTTCGATTTGCACCCCCCTCATACTTTATATATATACCGAAGGGTTTATGGGGGGGTTACGACCCCCCCCTAACCCCCCTGCCTACGCCACTGTATTGGATATTCCAAAGTATAGATAGCGTCCCGCATCTACCATTCCTACCCGGTCAGCTCTTACCACAGCTATGTCATCAGTGGCGTAGGCAGGGAGGGGGGTTAGGGGGGGTCATAACCCCCCCATAGACCCCTCGGTATATATATAAAAAGTATGAGGGGGTGCAAATCGAAAGTTTGTCCCCGGGTAAAAATTGGACCCCCCCCCTTGATTGAGATTGAGACGATCCTGGCTACGCCACTGTATGTCATAACTTTACCCTACCAGGCAATGGTCCGACGCTTTCTACTCTCTCTTCAGCCCTGCCGTCGCCAGCAGGTATCTTGCTCACCTCCTCCAACTTCACCAAAGTTTTCCTCTCTACGTGGTCGGGTTGTGGCACCAGTTTCTGTTTTTGTGTGACGACATCCCACCGCATCAACAGCTGGACGGTAAGGATGAACACGACGGCCACGACGAGGAATTTGAATACTGTCTTCATCTCTGTTAATGTCGTGTGTAGCGTTTGATCGAGTGGATTCTCTTGTAGGAAATAACAATTCGAATTTTTAATATTCCTTTATTTACATAATCAGCACTATTGTTTCGTTTGTTGAAATTCGAATTTTAATTTTCCATTTCTATATAAACTCAAAACAGCACTTTAGTTATAAGTAATTCGATGAACAAAGTGTCAGTGTAATTTTAACAAATGCAATTTATTAAAATCCTTTTTTAAAAAATCAAATATAAATGATACACAGTTGCTTCATTTGAAAATGTAACTTCAATATTCCAGTTTGAATGACTATAGTACAATTATTGTTTCGTGAGTACATAAACAGTTTGTGTTATTCCTTTTTTTTATTTTGATGAAAACAACTATTGATTTGTTTCGAGAGTTAAAATCCGAATTTGAAATCACTTCTCTTTTATAAATACATCTTGACAATTGTTTCGTAAGAAGTAGTCTGATATTTTACAACATCCTCCGTAATCAACGCAGCATAGATTGTTGTGATGTTCTCCCAGTAGGCGTAAGGTTTCTTTAAGACACGAGGGACGGAAACATAAGTCACGTGATACGTGTAGTCTTCTGCTCAACTCGAGTCAGGGGTTCTCGCATTCTCATAGAGATACCCTAAAGACCACATTCTCATACAGATACTACAAGAAAAGTGGATCTCAATAAACTAATAGAAATATAAAACTGCGCAGAGCGCTAAATTCACTGCAGTTCTTGGTCTAAGCACGTGTTTTTTTTTAAATTAAAATATTAGAATTCGACATTGATATTGTTTGTTCTGCAAATAAATAAATAAACATTCTAAAATAAACTGCCGACATCACAATATAACGGTAGAGAGCTAGACTGCTAACCCGAAAGTCTCGAGTTCGAATCACGGGTTCAAATAAATAGAAAGTCCCTGAGTCGACCCAGCTCTGATGGGTACCTAACTCACGTTAGGGAAAGTGAAGGCGGCTGGGCATAGTGCTGACCACACTATCCTCTTGTATTATGAGGTTGTTGAAAACAATGAACTCTACTTCATCTGTCCCATGTATCTTTAGCACAAACGAGAAAAGATGACTATCACAATAAAGTTGGGACCCCTATGCTCAGCAGATCTTACACGCCTAGGATCCACACCTACCCTACAGTAACGTGGCCAAGTTGCTCTACATTGGACATAAATTGTGAATATAATCGCCGAGTCATCGTCAATGTTCAATTGTTTATTCACAGTAATTAAATAAACTCAGCAATCGATTGTTGGTTTGTGGTCGGCGTTATTGGGCTGGTAGGTCTCATGAGTCTAATCCGAAAATTTGCGAGTTCAAACCCCCGGGTTTAGCAACCATAACCTTTACCGACTCGACCGCGACGACTCCTTTATAAATCGAAACGGTAGAGCGAAATTTCGGGCACTTTTAACCGACCAATTTCATTTCTCTGAAGTTAGGCATGTGAGTCAAGAATTGAAGAGTTGAAAATTTTATATATTTTCTTAAAGCACTAAAAAGAAAATGAAAACGAAAAACTTGCTCTTCTTGAGTAAAATTTCACCAATTTCACTGATACCAACCTATAGAGCATGACTTCACTAAAAGGCGAACCCTAACACCTGTTCTACTGCATCTATTCTGGTCATCAGTGGATATATACTTTGCTTGGTATCAAATTTATTTAGTACGCAAAACAAAAATAAATATACACACAAATGTCAAACTATCACAATAATACTATCAAAAAACTGATGCAAGCCAGGCTAATTAAACATCGATCGAAAATTCAATATATTTTTTAAATTAAATAATAAATAATCCTAATAATACACATAGCAAATAAAAATAAAAAAATGCAATAAAACAAGGATGATTTTACAAACGGACATGCAAAAGTATTGCTTTTACTCTCAGTTGTAGTTTCAATGTTCTGTGTTCCAATGTAGCCCTGAGTTAGATCGCAAGCTTTGGAGCGGCGGTGAAACAAGACACCGAAGGATTGTAATTAAACATAGTCTTATGAACTACAGAAGATTTTTAGCTATTTAGTTATTTCTTTGCTTTGTCACTAATATCGTTCAACGTGTAGTAAAGCAAATTGCGTTTTGACCAACAACTATTTTATAAAATATTTTTCTCAAACAAATATAACATTAAAATATAGAGGCCTATAATTCACGAGTAACGAGAACGTACGGCTAGTATATCTATAAGCTGGATACATTCGATAGTTACAGATCTATGGGATGTAATGATTGAAGGATACTTTTGATAAAGACGAATTAGACGAACATTGGTTGGACATACAGGAACTAGATAAGGGATGGATTAAATGAAAAAGACGAGCAAAGATGGTCTGGACAAGATGGAGCATACAAAAAATGGATTAGCCATGTTCTTGGTGTGGATGATTTAATATAATACACAAATTAGACCTTTAGAAGACGGACTATACAACAATGGACTGGCTGAATATTGATAAGATAAAAATGAAATGAAAGAAAAATGGACCAGATTAAAATGGACTGAACAAAAATAGTGGCCGTAGATGATCTGAGTTGAGATTATAAGATGGCCAAATATGAACTGGACTCAGTTGAATGCTCCAAATCTGTAGGCTCGTGACAATCCGAAGGTGATCCATTAAACTTGTCTTTTATACTCTCAATATGCCCTGTCCTCTGGTCAGTGTGCAGCTTCTCACACACCTTACATAACAACCTGGCTTCCGGAACATAGCGCCACCTGGATAGGGCGAGAAATGCAGACTAGATTATCGTCTGCACGCTAAGAAAATAATTTTGATTGCCGATAATTAAAATAAAGCAGGAGTGATCTCCCCTAACCTTTCTCGAACATTTTATATAACATTAAGGGAGAGGGCACTTTCAAGAATGTTTATTTATTTATTAACTTTTTCTTTACTATCTTGAAAGTAGGCGGACGAAAATATAAACAAGTATAAAATTTTATAACACACACACACACAATATAACACACAGACAAACATCCATCCCCACCTACCAATCCCCACACACAGACACATGACCACACAGAGAGAAATAGAGAGAGAGAGAGAGAGAGAGAGAGAGAGAAAGAGATAGAGAAAGAGAGTTGGGACAGGATTGAAAAGCAAATTTTCATCTGGCTCATTACAATAGTTTCTATACACTCTGTATACGAGAAAGTAAAAAACTATTAAAAATTTATTTTAAAATAAATAAATAAATTATATATATATATATATATATATATATATATATATATATATATATATATATATATATATATATATATATATATATATATACAACACAACTAAAACAAATCTGCCACACGAACCTATTCTTTCTCCGCAACATTTCTGTGTATCTTTTCTTGTCGGCCCCAAGCTCCAACAAGTACCTGGCCAGTTCTTCTGGTGACTGGAAAATAAAAATCAGGCAACAACTTTAGCGATACTTTTAAAATAAGATGATGAAAATAAGATGGGTAGCAATGATTTTTACAAGTTTTTATTTAAATTTGCTTTCTCTGCCAGCTGACTGTCTGTCGAGAGTCTGTCTATCTCTCGTTACAGGTCCTCTTGTGCTACTCTTTGCACACAATTATACGCGAGTTATCATGTTCATTTGGTGCCAAATAGTTTTTAGTCATGCAGCTCTAGTGTATTAAAAAAATTAAAGTACTGAAAAAAATGCTTTAAAAACGTTTTAATACCACGTTTTTCTGTAAAAAATGTATTTAAAAAAAAAGAGAAAATAAATGATTTTCTTTAAATATATAATAATGCACTTCTATTTAAATTACTATAAATAAAAGCGTGGGTCTCTTCCTAAATATCAGTAAAAGTATCTAATAGATATTCTATTGACCCGCTCTTTTAATTATAGTAATTAAAAAAGTATTTATTGTAATATATTTAAAAGAAAATCATTTATTTTCCACTTAGTGCATTATTACATTAAAGCTTGTTATTAAAACGTTTTTTTAAAAGAAGATGACGCCACTTGTAAAACTTACAGAAAAATCAGCGGCGTCGACAAAGATCCCAGAGGGCAGGTATTTCTTGTAGTTAAAGTCACCTCTAACCACAGGTATGATGTCAACGTCTTTGAAGAGTTTGAAAAATTTCTCGGTGACGTAGTCCTTGCAGAAAGAGTTCTCGAATGCCAGATAAAACCTTGTAAAAGACAGTCAATGGATAAAACAACTAGACATAGGGCAGTCAAATGGATACAATATCTAGACATAGCGCATTTTGCTAGCATGTATAGGTCTATCAGTAGCACAGTAAAGTCGACATTTCTATTTTAGAAACATGGTCTAATCACTAGAGGATACAAAGAGCATGAAGTCAAAGTAAGACGCAGAACAGTACTTAAGGAGGAAGGTCATGAGGAACTGGATTCACCTGGGCAAAGTCTTACAACAGAGACAGGTGGGCAGGGCATACAACATAGTAGCATGACACAAAGAAAGAATAGGAAACAGTTCACGACTTAGAAACTGGAGACGCATAACAGGAATCGAAACAGAACAATGAGAAAATGAGTGATAGGAGGACAAGAAAAAAAACTTTTGAAAAACGACACAGAAAACAGAAGTTAGAAAGTGGAGAGAGAAAATAGGAAGTAATACGACGAGTTAACATAACAAAGGACGTACTTGTATTCTCTAGACAACATCGGCAAACACAGAGCCGAGTCATTGAACCGGTACCCCGCCCCACAGGTCAAGTTCCCGCAATCGCCGAAGATGTCCACGGGCAGGACGGAACTCATCCTGCGGACGTAGACCTCCCTGAGCCCCCAGGTGTTACAATGGCTGACAAACCAGGCGACGTTCTTTGATTTACCGTCGTAGATTCGATCTAGATACAAAGCGTTTAGTGGGTTATATTTAACTTCAATATACGTTGCACAATTTAAAAAAAAATGCTTTTATAATACATAATTTCTCAAAGTTTAAAAAGAATAAGAATATAAACTGCTTTAATATACGGAATTTGTTTATTTATTTATACTTACAGAGATTTTAACTCTTTGTTCCATGAACCAACACGCGCTTAATTAACTGAATTCTTGAATTTACTTTTTTAGTCAAATATGGATTTGAACACACCTGTATAGTCGCCAAATAAGGGCTTCTTCCTGTCTTATTGTCAAATATAGGCCTACACGTACTCAGGTATCAAATACTGCAGAGGCGTAGCGACCCTTCCCGGCGCCCGGGGACAAACTTTCGATTTGCACCCCCCACCTCGAGATTTCCATTTGCACCCCCTCGCTACGCTACTGAAATACTGACCTACACCTATCTAGTCATCAAATATGGGCTTATACCTGTCTGATTGTCAAATATACACCTACACGTACCTATGTCCTTGAACGGTGGCTCGTATTTCCCCAAGAGTCCATAGACGACCGGGATATCTGCGCTCAGCTGGTAGGTCAAGGTCCAGTTAAACACAGACTTGACCTCTTCCCTGTCCAGGTTATAGTTTTTTATCGCCGGGTCAAAGTTGAAGAATATCCACCTATTTAAATGGTAAAAGAGAAACAGTAACAAAGCTTAGGAGAGGGGATTATAATCACCCTGTTGAATGCTACAATTGTTTTTAAACAACGTAGGGTAAACTATCGGATAAGAGAGAAGAGTGTATACATCCTAATATATAAAAGCCCATATGCGAATTTCTCTCTTTCTCTGTCTCTCTCTGTCCGCAACATTTTTTAGGCGATGTGATCAGTAAGTTCAGCGATATATAGAGAGAAATGCTGTTCTACTGCTACTACCTTTGTCCAGGAGGTCGATCAAAAGTAGGAAAATCATACGTCCTGACAAAGGAACCGTAGGTCAGTACTGCATCAGCTAATGTGAGGTTGGTCGTATAGTTGCACAGGCTGTATTGGCAGTCATTGAATCTGGGGGATGGAAGATGTCATATGTGGTCAGTATATGACAACATAGTGGTCAGTAGATGACAAGATAGTGGTCAGTAGATGACAAAGTAGTGGTCAGTAGATGACAACATAGTGGTCAGTAGATGACAACATAGTGGTCAGTAGATGACAAAGTAGTGGTCAGTAGATGACAACATAGTGGTCAGTAGATGACAACATAGTGGTCAGTAGATGGCAACACAGTGGTAAGTAGATGACAACATAGTGGTCAGTAGAGGACAACACAGTGGTCAGTTGATGACAACACAGTGGTTAGTAGATGACAACATAGTGGTTAGTAGATGACAACATAGTGGTCAGTAGATGACAACATAGTGGTCAGTAGATGACAACACAGTGGTTAGTAGAGGACAATATAGTGGTCAGTAGATGACAATATAGTGGTCAGTAGAGGACAACACAGTGGTCAGTAGATGACAACATAGTGGTCAGTAGATGACAACATAGTGGTCAGTAGATGACAACACAGTGGTCAGTAGATGACAACACAGTGGTCAGTAGATGACAACATAGTGGTCAGTAGATGACAACATAGTGGTCAGTAGATGACAATATAGTGGTCAGTAGATGACAATATAGTGGTCAGTAGATGACAATATAGTGGTCAGTAGATGACAACATAGTGGTCAGTAGATGACAATATAGTGGTCAGTAGATGACAACATAGTGGTCAGTAGATGACAATATAGTGGTCAGTAGATGACAATATAGTGGTCAGTAGATGACAACATAGTGGTCAGTAGATGACAATATAGTGGTCAGTAGATGACAATATAGTGGTCAGTAGATGACATCATAGTGGTCAGTAGATGACAACATAGTGGTCATTAGATGACAATATAGTGGTCAGTAGATGACAATATATTGGTCAGTAGATGACAACACAGTGGTTAGTAGATGACAACATAGTGGTCAGTAGATGACAAAATAGTGGTCAGTAGATGACAATATATTGGTCAGTAGATGACAACATAGTGGTCAGTAGATGACAAAGTAGTGGTCAGTATATGACAACATAGTGGTCAGTATACCACAACATACGTGGTCAGTAGATGTCAACACAGTGGTCAGTAGACGGCAACATAGTGGTCAGTAGATGACAACACAGTGGTCAGTAGATGACAACATAGTGGTCAGTAGATGACAACATAGTGGTCAGTAGATGACAACATAGTGGTCAGTAGATGACAACATAGTGGTCGGTAGATGACAACATAGTGGTCAGTAGATGACAACATAGTGGTCGGTAGATGACATCATAGTGGTCAGTAGATGACAACATAGTGGTCAGTAGATGACAACACAGTGGTCAGTAGATGACAACATAGTGGTCGGTAGATGACAACATAGTGGTCAGTAGATGACAACATAGTGGTCAGTAGATAACAATGTAGTGATGAGTAGATGACATCATAGTGGTCAGTAGATGACATCATAGTGGTCAGTAGATAACAATGTAGTGGTCAGTAGATGACATCATAGTGGTCAGTAGATGACAACATAGTGGTCAGTAGATGACAACATAGTGGTCAGTAGATGACAACACAGTGGTTAGTAGATGACAACACAGTGGTTAGTAGATGACAACACAGTGGTTAGTAGATGACAACACAGTGGTCAGTAGAGGACAATATAGTGGTCAGTAGATGACAATATAGTGGTCAGTAGAGGACAACACAGTGGTCAGTAGATGACAACATAGTGGTCAGTAGATGACAACATAGTGGTCAGTAGATGACAACACAGTGGTCAGTAGATGACAACACAGTGGTCAGTAGATGACAACATAGTGGTCAGTAGATGACAACATAGTGGTCAGTAGATGACAATATAGTGGTCAGTAGATGACAATATAGTGGTCAGTAGATGACAATATAGTGGTCAGTAGATGATAACATAGTGGTCAGTAGATGACAATATAGTGGTCAGTAGATGACAACATAGTGGTCAGTAGATGACAATATAGTGGTCAGTAGATGACAATATAGTGGTCAGTAGATGACAACATAGTGGTCATTAGATGACAATATAGTGGTCAGTAGATGACAATATAGTGGTCAGTAGATGACATCATAGTGGTCAGTAGATGACAACATAGTGGTCATTAGATGACAATATAGTGGTCAGTAGATGACAATATATTGGTCAGTAGATGACAACACAGTGGTTAGTAGATGACAACATAGTGGTCAGTAGATGACAAAATAGTGGTCAGTAGATGACAATATATTGGTCAGTAGATGACAACATAGTGGTCAGTAGATGACAAAGTAGTGGTCAGTATATGACAACATAGTGGTCAGTATACCACAACATACGTGGTCAGTAGATGTCAACACAGTGGTCAGTAGACGGCAACATAGTGGTCAGTAGATGACAACACAGTGGTCAGTAGATGACAACACAGTGGTCAGTAGATGACAACATAGTGGTCGGTAAATGACAACACAATCGTCAGTAGATGACAACATAGTGGTCAGTAGATGACAGCATAGTGGTCAGTAGATGACAACATAGTGGTCAGTAGATGACAACATAGTGGTCAGTAGATAACAATGTAGTGATGAGTAGATGACATAGTGGTCAGTAGATGACATCATAGTGGTCAGTAGATAACAATGTAGTGGTCAGTAGATGACATCATAGTGGTCAGTAGATGACATCATAGTGGTCAGTAGATAACAAAGTAGTGGTCAGTAGATGACAACATAGTGGTCAGTAGATGACATCATAGTGGTCAGTAGATAACAATGTAGTGATGAGTAGATGACATCATAGTGGTCAGTAGATGACATCATAGTGGTCAGTAGATGACAATATAGTGGTCAGTAGATGACATCATAGTGGTCAGTAGATGACATCATAGTGGTCAGTAGATAACAAAGTAGTGGTCAGTAGATGACAACATAGTGGTCAGTAGATGACAACATAGTGGTCAGTAGATGACATCATAGTGGTCAGTAGATGACAATATAGTGGTCAGTAGATGACATCATAGTGGTCAGTAGATGACATCATAGTGGTCAGTAGATAACAAAGTAGTGGTCAGTAGATGACAACATAGTGGTCAGTAGATGACAACATAGTGGTCAGTAGATGAGATCATAGTGGTCAGTAGATGACAACATAGTGGTCAGTAGATGACATCATAGTGGTCAGTAGATGACATCATAGTGGTCAGTAGATAACAAAGTAGTGGTCATTAGATGACAACATAGTGGTCAGTAGAGGACAACATAGTGGTCAGTAGATGACAACATAGTGGTCAGTAGATGACAACACTGTGGTCAGTAGATGACAACACAGTGGTCAGTAGATGACAACATAGTGGTCAGTAGATGACAACATAGTGGTCAGTAGATGACAATATAGTGGTCAGTAGATGACAATATAGTGGTCAGTAGATGACAACATAGTGGTCAGTAGATGACAATATAGTGGTCAGTAGATGACAACATAGTGGTCAGTAGATGACAATATAGTGGTCAGTAGATGACAATATAGTGGTCAGTAGATGACAACATAGTGGTCAGTAGATGACAATATAGTGGTCAGTAGATGACAGTATAGTGGTCAGTAGATGACATCATAGTGGTCAGTAGATGACAACATAGTGGTCATTAGATGACAATATAGTGGTCAGTAGATGACAATATATTGGTCAGTAGAAGACAACACAGTGGTTAGTAGATGACAACATAGTGGTCAGTAGATGACAAAATAGTGGTCAGTAGATGACAATATATTGGTCAGTAGATGACAACATAGTGGTCAGTAGATGACAAAGTAGTGGTCAGTATATGACAACATAGTGGTCAGTATACCACAACATACGTGGTCAGTAGATGTCAACACAGTGGTCAGTAGACGGCAACATAGTGGTCAGTAGATGACAACACAGTGGTCAGTAGATGACAACACAGTGGTCAGTAGATGACAACATAGTGGTCGGTAAATGACAACACAATCGTCAGTAGATGACAACATAGTGGTCAGTAGATGACAGCATAGTGGTCAGTAGATGACAACATAGTGGTCAGTAGATGACAACATAGTGGTCAGTAGATAACAATGTAGTGATGAGTAGATGACATCATAGTGGTCAGTAGATGACATCATAGTGGTCAGTAGATAACAATGTAGTGGTCAGTAGATGACATCATAGTGGTCAGTAGATGACATCATAGTGGTCAGTAGATAACAAAGTAGTGGTCAGTAGATGACAACATAGTGGTCAGTAGATGACATCATAGTGGTCAGTAGATAACAATGTAGTGATGAGTAGATGACATCATAGTGGTCAGTAGATGACAACATAGTGGTCAGTAGATAACAATGTAGTGGTCAGTAGATGACATCATAGAGGTCAGTAGATGACATCATAGTGGTCAGTAGATGACATCATAGTGGTCAGTAGATGACATCATAGTGGTCAGTAGATGACAACATAGTGGTCAGTAGATGACAACACAGTGGTCAGTAGATGACAACATAGTGGTCAGTAGATGACATCATAGTGGTCAGTAGATAACAAAGTAGTGGTCAGTAGATGACAACATAGTGGTCAGTAGATGACATCATAGTGGTCAGTAGATAACAATGTAGTGATGAGTAGATGACATCATAGTGGTCAGTAGATGACAACATAGTGGTCAGTAGATAACAATGTAGTGGTCAGTAGATGACATCATAGAGGTCAGTAGATGACATCATAGTGGTCAGTAGATAACAAAGTAGTGGTCAGTAGATGACAACATAGTGGTCAGTAGATAACAAAGTAGTGGTCAGTAGATGACAACATAGTGGTCAGTAGATGACAACATAGTGGTCAGTAGATGACATCATAGTGGTCAGTAGATGACATCATAGTGGTCAGTAGATAACAATGTAGTGGTCAGTAGATGACATCATAGTGGTCAGTAGATGACATCATAGTGGTCAGTAGATAGCAAAGTAGTGGTCAGTAGATGACAACATAGTGGTCAGTAGATGACATCATAGTGGTCAGTAGATAACAATGTAGTGATGAGTAGATGACATCATAGTGGTCAGTAGATGACATCATAGTGGTCAGTAGATAACAATGTAGTGGTCAGTAGATGACATCATAGTGGTCAGTAGATGACAATATAGTGGTCAGTAGATGACATCATAGTGGTCAGTAGATGACATCATAGTGGTCAGTAGATAACAAAGTAGTGGTCAGTAGATGACAACATAGTGGTCAGTAGATGACAACATAGTGGTCAGTAGATGACATCATAGTGGTCAGTAGATGACAACATAGTGGTCAGTAGATGACATCATAGTGGTCAGTAGATGACATCATAGTGGTCAGTAGATAACAAAGTAGTGGTCATTAGATGACAACAGAGTGGTCAGTAGAGGACAACATAGTGGTCAGTAGATGACAACATAGTGGTCAGTAGATGACAACATAGTGGTCAGTAGATGACAACACAGTGGTCAGTAGATGACAACATAGTGGTCAGTAGATGACAACATAGTGGTCAGTAGATGACATCATAGTGGTCAGTAGATGACAACATAGTGGTCAGTAGATGACAACATAGTGGTCAGTAGATGACAACATAGTGGTCAGTAGATGACATCATAGTGGTCAGTAGATGACAACATAGTGGTCAGTAGATGACAACATAGTGGTCAGTAGATGACAACATAGTGGTCAGTAGATGACAACATAGTGGTCAGTAGATGACATCATAGTGGTCAGTAGATGACATCATAGTGGTCAGTAGATGACAACATAGTGGTCAGTAGATGACATCATAGTGGTCAGTAGATGACATCATAGTGGTCAGTAGATAACAAAGTAGTGGTCAGTAGATGACAACATAAGTGGTCAGTAGATGAAATCATAGTGGTCAGTAGATGACATCATAGTGGTCAGTAGATAACAAAGTAGTGGTCAGTAGATAACAACATAGGTGGTCAGTAGATGACAATATAGTGGTCAGTGTACCAGACATAAGTGGTCAGTACAACATAGCATATATGGTCAGTACACAACAGTACACCACAACATAGGTAATTAGTACAACATAGCATTAGAGGTCAGTACACTACTACATACGTGGTCAGTACACTACGACATACATGATCAGTACACTAAGTAGACCTGAAAAAGCAAAATAAATTACGGTAAGATACAGTCAAGGTTGTCCAACCCCTACCCATGTTTGAGTTATGATTAAATCTATATCGACTCACGTCTGCTTCTTGTGTTCCTTTCCTGGCAGGTTCAAGTAGGTGACGTACTTGATTGACCTGTCCACCATTGGCCGTGACATTCTTCAAGATATAAAATATGGCCAACATTAAATCATGCGTAGACGGAACCACTCAGACTTAAACATCACCATAGTTGGTCAAGGAAGGAGACAGGCGCATAAACAAAAGTAACGAGATAGAAAAGTTTTCAATCATATATATATCGAGATCATCTAAACTAATTGTATAGTGTTAATCGATAACAACCTCTTATAATTATAAAGTAAATAGCTATATTGAACACAAACATTACAGTGGGTGTGATTTAATGATTTATCTATGTGGACATTTTTGTCATGTATCTATGTTGCATTTAATCATGTATCTATCTTGCATTTAATCATGTATCTATCTTGCATTTGATGCTGCGTCCATCTGGAATTTACGACCTGATTGCTTATCTCCCTAATGTTAATTTATTGTTTATCCACATCACAACTTGAACAAAGTGCTGATTGTACAATTACTTACAACGAAATCATAAAATAATTCTACTTCATATTCAGCGTACTTTGAATCAACTATAAATGTGTTTTGAACAACATGAATGCGATTTGTCACAAGTCATCGTTGTTACATAAGTATAGGTCATCACAAGAAAAACTTGTGATTTTTCAAAAGCGGAACTCTAACCCCCAAGTATGTTGAATTGGAGAAAACTAAAGAACGAGTAAGCAATTTACTGTGCAAAAATAAACTCAACAAACACACGGACATTGAGTAAACATATTGAAATTTTATAAACACATTCACATTGAATAAACACACGGACATTTTTAAACACAATGAAATTTAATAAACATACTGACTTTTAATAAATACACTGACACCCAATAAACACAACAATCACAAAAGAGTTAAGGATCAATGCAACAAACACAGATGAACCAAGGAAATAGAAAAAAATCTTACTTTAACCTCTCTCGTTTTTCGTTGTAAATATAAGGCGAGCTCTCCAGTCGTCTCATCTCTGCCTCGTCCTCATCTTCTTTGTCATCCACATCATTGCTAGTTTTATCATCTGTACATAAATATCTGATAAACAATTCATCGTGTAACGACTTAAAGTTTGAACATTTAAATTTTAGTGACGTCGAGACTTGTTATCCCTTTTTGTGACAAATTTTAACACCCATTTCCCATTGATGCGAAACGTGAAAAAATGTCAGAACCCCCCCCCCCCCCCCCCAACCCTCAATAAAATGACGGCAATTCTCAGTTTTACAACGCCATTTCCAAATTTGAAAAACAAAATTTGGTATTAATACATTTTTGCTGTAATTGGTTTTAGGGAAGTTAAATACAAAATGCCGAATAACTGTAACAATTCAGTTACATCTTCTTCCTCTTTGTTTTTAATTAATATCGGAGATTTCCTCCACCATACTAAAATATTACATGTCAACATATTATCGCCATATGGCCCATCGACTCAGCCTACTTTTCTCCATGGATTAGCCTCCATAGACTATGTCAAGGCAAGAACAATCTGTACGTTTTCTCTAGTAGATGGCTTGTTGTCACAAGCTAAGGGACTCATCCGTCCTTTGATCCGAACTCGAGACTTTTGAAGCAATCTTAAGCTCTCTAAAACGCAAGTGGGAGGTTGCCCTTTCTAAAAACCCCACCCCAACTCTCGCCACACACCATCACTTAAGTCCGATCTACCCTCACCTACAAATGTGACGTCATTTATGGACGACCAACCCGGTGTCTGCTTTTAAATCAAGCTCAATACATGAAGAGAATTAACAGGCTTTATGTGGAATGTAATACTGAAGTGTTCAGCAACATTAATCTCAAGGGTACTATTTTTCAAAATGAATGCGGATTTTGTTACGCAATTTCGTCTTTCTATTTCAATAATTTTTATTTTCTAAAAAAAATTAAGTTTCAAAGGCTACCAGCTAAAATTAATTTATTCCAGAGGACTTCTTCGAATGGGTTTGTCTTACATCTTATGTTTTAATTACACTTAGTTTTCGTTGCTAACTATATTTACGTTTACGAAGCTTAAAATCCAACATTCTAGGGAAAATAGTAACAATATTGAGATAAATTTAAACTTTATCAATGTTGCCACAATAGGGGTGGGGATGGGGGTCTAACAAATGCCACACGGGGTTTATACTCTACTAAAGCAATCGCTTAACCCCGTTTTGCAAATAGTTTAAACTAAATATAAACAGCAAACACCCCCCTACTACAAAACTATATCCTAATAGATATAGTCTAAAACATTAAAACAGTTCCACGTCAACAACCACTACCCAACCAGACGCTGTCCGGTTAGCAAGAGACGCATCAATCCATTCCGGCGCTTGGGGAGAATTATTAATTTACTCCCCCACCCCCACCCCCCGCTTTTTAACAGTAAATGTGATTTAACAGTATTTATTCAGTGTCACGTAGTTGATGTAGAAACAGTTAAATCATTCTATTAAGCCAAGTAGTAGTATATTTTCTTAACGTTGACTTTGTATAATAATATAATGCATCTCAGAAATAGCCTTTTTATTTATTTTTCTACCCCTTTTGGCGCGCCTCTAATGTCCAGACTAGGAGCGTCAGCCCTACCCGCCCTCGCCTTATTACGCCTCTGCGGTTAGCTATATCACAAGTTTACCCTACCCGACACTGATCCGCCGGTTTCAACCCTCTCTTCAGTCCTCCCGTCGCCAGCAGGTTTCTTACTCGCCTTCTCCAACTTCACCAAAGTTTTCCTCTCTACATGGTCGGGTTGTGGCACCAGTTTCTGTTTTTGTGTGACGACATCCCACCTCATCAACAGCTGGACGGTAAGGATAAACACGACGACACCCACGAGGACTTTGAACACCGTCCTCATCTTGGGGGTGTCTTCTGTAGCTGAAGTGGTTGGTCGAGTCGTTTACCCCGGGAGGGAGCGGCCAAAAATGCAGTGATCAAACCGACCTCTTCTAAGCCAGTTAATCGGAGTTTACTGCATGGAGGCGAGCCTTGCTAATCTGAGTTCTGCTACTGAGCCCGGAGTTTACTACACGGAGGCAAACCTGGCTAATCAGAGTTCTGCTCGTGAGCCTGGAGTTTACTGCATGGAGACAAACCTGGCTAATCGGAGTTCTGCCCCTGAACCGGAATGTCCGTGTCTCGAAAGTATCTGGATCCCGTGAATGAAACAATTCGAGTTTTTAATTTTTTTTGTTACGACCACATCTGTACAATTGTTTCTTTAGGAGATAATATAATTTTCATAATTCACTTTTAAAAAAACACAGAACATTCTTTAGAAATCTGACGAATACGATATTAGTGTAATTTTAAAATATATACAATTTCTTATAATCCTTTTTTTTTCAATTAAAGAACATTAAAGCTGTTTCATTAAAAATATAATTTCAATATTCCAGTTTACTTGTACTCTAAATAAAAAAATATAAACAGTCTAAAACAGCCACCATCACAATATAGATTGAAACCCCCTATCCTCAAAAGGTCTTCCACAGTGAAAAATACTCCGCTTTGAATCCGACTTCTCAGATCTCTACGCCATTCACACCCAACTCTGCCTAAGTTTCCCTACCTTGGACATATGCGTGACTTTAATCGCCGTGTTACCTTGAATGTTCAATCATTTTCTTCACAGTTACGAAACACGACGACGCGTGTATAAGAAAAGAGCTTCTGTATTAAATTAACTCACCTATCGATTGTTGGTTGAGTGTCGGCGTGATCGGGCTGGTAGGTCTCATGACTTTTAAACCGAAAAGTCCAGAGTTCGAACACCCCCTTCCCCCAGCTGTCGAGGCTTGATAGACATCAACCACTATAGGAGAGAAGACTCCAAAATCTGCGTTGTAGTTTGTTATTGGTAAATGTTTGCTGAAATCAATGTTTGCTAAAATCGGAGTGTAAGGGTGCTATGGAGCATAACATTTTGCCAAGTGATACTTCACTTGCGTTGGAGGAAATCCCGTCTACAATTACAGTTAAGAAAAACGAACAAAGAAAAAGATAGATGGTTTTGTTCGACCGGGTTTTGCGACACATGCTCATTATTTTGTTGCGCTTTGAGGTGAAAAGAAAAATATCCCATGACAAAATATCTCAGGACAAAATATACTAGGACAAAATATCTCAGGATAAAATATCTCAGACAATATATTCCAGACAAAATATCTCAGGACAAAATATCGCAGGACAAAATATATCAGATAATATATTCCAGACAAAAAAAAGTAAAAAATTCCCAGGACACATTATCCCAAACACAATATCTTAGGATAAACTTCTCAAGCGAAATACCGTTAAGGCTATTAATCCGCGACAAAATATCCCAGGATATAATATCCTAAACAATATATCCCTAGACCAATTATCTCCATAATATTTCAGGTGACAAAATTCCCAGGGGAATGATGTCAGCGACAATATATCACGGAAGTAAAAAAAAGTAGATTTAAATCTAGAGAAATACTAAACTTAGTTAATAAAACTACAAAACATCAAAAGTAATACCTTCTGCGAAATAGTATCAATGCAATTTCTAGCTTATACATGTAAACCTGCGTTGAAAACCCTGTCGCATTTTTTATTTATTTCATGAAATGTATCTAAGTTGCAACTTTGCTTAAACCAGTTTTAAGCCCACAACACCTACACTATGCTACTAATTTAACTAGATTAAAGCCCACTACACATTCACTTAAACTTGGCTAAAAACTCAGTCCACTCATGTCTACCTCCCCCCCCCTTTCCATTAATGATAGGAAACATGTGTTATGTTATGAAAAAAGCGCATGTATTACGCTTTCACATAAATCAATAATCCAAAATCACATAGGCATAACACAATTTATGTCTTCCTATTTCGGCTATTAAAATTTAAAATGGTGGAAAACGTATTCTAAATGATTTTAATTACTATCATTCCTACGTGAAGTTCATAAAAGCAAACTTTCTGTTAACATTTTAACAATGATATGATGGTTATTGATTTTGAAGTTTAGAGTCGTGTTGTTCTGATCAATAAATCGTTTAAAAAAATACCGAGACATCATTTATTAATTTAAGCTGTGAGGGTCGGCGTGGTCGAATTCGTAAAGCTCATGGTTGCTAAACCGAAAAGACTCGAGTTTGAACCCTCGGGCAGATGCGTCTCGACAGCTAGGGACCGCAACTCATCAAAGACAGACAACTGCATAATCAAACAACTGCTGCCCTGTAGTTTGTTCAATCTCTAGAATTAAGAACGATGAAGAAGAAAGAAACCCAAGTCCAATACAAGATGTAGTATAGTTTCTTTATTTACACATATCAACTCCTACTCCTAACCCTACTTTACTATACACTACTTCTGCTATCTCAACTATACCCTAATTAATTAAATTCGAAGTCCAGCTCAACTACACCCTAACAATTTCTATCTACAACTTCTAACACATTATAGTCCAAAATTGAATTCCATAGTCTAATTTTTGTCTGGAATTTTAAATTCCCAAAGATTAAAATAATCTTAACACACAAAATAGACAAAAAGATAAAATATTGTAATTAAAAAGGTCATTGTGTTTATTGTGGTTCACCAATCATCAAACGTTATAAATTCAAAAATGCTATCATCTTAAACAGACGATAGCATTACTTGCAACACACTTTTGTCAAATCAGCAGTGTATCTTTGCAGATCGACGCCCAAATTCAAATTCAAAAGTATGGATTAATACAACTATTGAATGATAAGAGATCATCCTGCTTCCCTATTCATAGCTAATCTCAGTGGCGTAGGCAGGGAGAGGTTAGGGAGGGGTCATAACCCCCCATAGACCCCTCGGTATATATATATATATATATATATATATATATATATATATATATATATATATATATATATATATATATATATATATATATATATAAAGTATGAGGGGGGTGCAAATCGAAAGTTTAAGGGGGGGGGGGTGCAAATCGAAAGTCTAGGGGGGGGGGGGTGCAAAATCGAAAGTTTTTATTTCTACTAGATTTTATTCTACTTTTAAAAGTTTAAGTAAACAAAAATCATGTCTATATTTCGAGTTGACATCCCACGTAGTGTTATATTAGAATATTCGAGAAAGTTTAGTGGAGATCACTCCCGGTTTATTTTATTTAATAAATACAATTCTTTACAGCTCTTAACACTTTATTCACTTTCACAGCTGAGCGTCAATTACACAATTCAAAAATACTTCGTGCATGACAGTGACCATACAAAGTAATGCTAAAATGGCTGCATAATAGATAATTGAGAGGAGCCACACAGCTCCTGGGGAGAATGTTACCGTAGCAGCTTGGAATAAGCAGTTTCGCAGGAGCTGTCGAAAGGAAACCAGAGTTGGGAATCCTATTGTGAGTTTTATCTTCTAGATGGGTTGCTGTCCCCAGCTGACGAGCCTCATCTTCCTCAGGGTTCGAACTCGGGGCTTTAGGCTTAGCAACCGTGTACTTACCCGCCCGACCACAATTTATTGTAAAGAGAACTGGCCATTATTTGTTTAGGTAACACAATTATAACAGTGAGAATTCACCCAGACGGTGACTAGACTTCACCATATGTAGTACATACAGCGCTTTATGTTTTTTTAATTTTTAAATATTTTTTATCACATTGAAAATAATTTTTAAAAAGTTCTTTTTTGTTTAAGTTGAAAAATGTATATGTTTTCTTGTCACTAAGCTTAAATCAAATTTTCCAAGCTTTTATTAAACCTATTTTCTTTGTATGTCTTTTTGGCGTCATTGATTGAAACTGCCGAACAAAATATCGAGCACTTCTAACTGACCGATTCGTATCAAACTTGGCCGTGGGTCAAGACTTGATGACAATGTAATCTGACATCAAATTTGACTTAATTTTAAATAAATTAATTAAAATTTACTGAGTAAACTAGGGGGACCTATATTATTGCGCACTATTATACGCGTATTTTCATGTTCGTTAGGTGGCAATAGTTTTTGAAAAATTTTAGTAGCCTACTTCAAAAATTGCATACAAAACGATGTAACAACAAACTTTTATGTAATAATGCACTAAATAGGAGAAAATAAATGATTTTTCTTAAAATATATAATGATTCACTGCTACTATTGTTTAGAAAAAATTCGCTGTGGCAGCAGAAAGTCTGGCCAACCTAAGCAAACAGTGAGCGATAGATCATAAATTTTGTGCAAGTTTTCTGTCACTGTGAGATTGGATGTATGTAAGGCAGTGTTTCTTCCAGACTTTTTCTCCGGGGGGGGGGGGGGGCACTTGATATTTTCGGGGGACGGACAACTTCCGGGGGGACGGGAGGGGCGCGGACACTGGTTAAAATATATGTTTTCTATATAAACTCCATTTCGTTCGGTGGGGGGGGGGGGGGGAGACTTTCTTTATATGCTTGGAAGAAACTCTGATGTAAGGTTTGAGTTCTGTCTGTCTGTGTGTCACCTGTTTGAAGTATGTGTAGGTGTTACCTTGAGAGTGGGACTTTCTATTGAGCTTAATGAAAATTTTAATATACCTTTGAGTATGGACTAGCGCTGGATTGACTCAAAATAAATAATTAATTGAAGTCCAGTTTTAATTGTCAACTAGTAACTGTCAACGTCTGTACACGGCTTGAGTCTGTAAGAACTCCCTGAGTCCACCCAGCTCTAATGAATACCTGATTGACTAATGATATCGCCACCCCCAGCAGTAAACCATGTTTCAAAACGCCACCATCCCCTTAAATAAATAATTCAGTTTCTCATAACATAGTTTCTCGTGTGAATTAGATAAGATTTGATTACACTAAATAGATCATGGCATTTTTACTTTCTCGTATATATGAAGTATAGAGAAAGTATTGTAATCGTGCACAAAAATAACATGAAATTTTGACAGTTTTCACCGTTTTACTCCTCAGTCCCTCATCACATCCGGAGTACAGCGGCGTAGCGACCGTTCCCGGCGCCCGGGGACAAACTTTTCGATTTGCACCCCCCCTCGAGATTTAGATTTGCACCCCCCCCCCCCCTCAAACTTTCGATTTGCACCCTCCTCAACCTTTCAATTAATTTTTCCAACCTATTTTGGCGCCCCCTAAGGTCGGCGCCAGGGGACATATGTCCCCCCGCCCCCCCCCCCCTCGCTACGCTACTGCCGGAGTATAGAGGACTTATTTTTTTGAGAAATCGTAAATAGCGTAAATTAGTAATTCCGGTCAACGGAAATTTCTCAAAATTTGACAGAAGGTAGAGAATTAGATTTTTTACTTACATGTGAAATTTCATTTATCTATCTAAAATAGTACTCAAGTTATAGGCTTTTGAAAAATTCAAAGTAGAAAAAGTACCACTTCCGGTTATCGGAAGTCGCTCAAAATTTGATACGGATCTACGATTTTGATAAAATACTTATATATGAAATTTCATCAACCTAGCTATAACGGTACTCAAGTTATCGTGTTTACACACAGACAGACAGACAGAGAGACACACAGACATACGGACAAGATTGCAAAATTATGTTTTTCCGTATCAGTGAGGTGTAAAACGTCGAGATTTGCAAAAATCTGGTTTTTTTCTTTTTGCACGATTACAAGACTTTCTCTATACTTCGTATATACGAGAAAGTAAAAAAGAGAAACTTGTCCTTCTTCAGTGAGATTTCCCTGATACCACCCCATAGAGCATGACGTCATTGGAAGACGAAACCTTAACACTCCTGTTCTTACCGTATCTACCTTGGTCGTCAGTGGACATCAATTAGTTTTACCTAGTGCTAAATTTAATTAGTATTATCAAAACAAAATATTTAATTAGTACTTAGACAAAAAATTAATCATCACAATCAAAACAATAAAAAACTAATTAGTACTATGAAAATAAAAAAAAATAGCATTATCAAAAAAAAATTAGTATTATTATAAACCAAAAATGTACACACAAACGTCAATGTGTAACAATAAAAATATAAATAAACTGATTCATATAAGGCCAATCAGAGATTGAAAGTTCAATATATTTCCTAGTTAAATAATTAAATAATCCTAATAATACATGCACTTTTTTTTACAAACTAGCTAATTAAAATAAATAATTCCAACAATACTAGCATATTTTCACAAACGAACATGAAAAATGATTGCTTTTACTCTCAATAACAGTTTCAATGTACTCCGTTACAATTGAGCAAAGATACATCACAAGATTGTAAGCGGCGGTGAAATATGTCGTCAAAGGATTTTAATTCAAGACGTCTTTTGAACCACAGCAGATGAACATTTGACAGTTACTTTTACAATGAATTAAAATTAATAAGCTGTAGATATAAGCTGGATACATTCGACTCTTACACGTCTGTGAGATGTAATGATTTGATGGTACGTTTAATTTAAACGGACAAGACAAAAATTAGTTGGGAATTCATGGACTTGATGGGGATGGATTTGATAAAATAGACAAACAAAGGTGGTCTGGACAAGATGAACTAGATGTGATGGATTTGATAAAATAGACAAACAAAGGTGGTCTGGACAAGATGAACTAGATGTGACGGATTTGATAAAATAGACAAACAAAGGTGGTCTGGACAAGATGAACTAGATGTGATGGATTTGATAAAATAGACAAACAAAGGTGGTCTGGACAAAATAGATAAGTTGCGGATGGATTTACTAAAAATAGAAGAGCTAAGTTGGTCTGGACAAGTTAGACGTTACAAAAATAAACTGAGCAAAGATGGAATAAAGTAGACAACAAAGCTGATTTGGCCTGGACTGAAATGGCCAAGCCTAGGCCAAGACAAACATGAACTAGACACAGTTGAACTTGCAGAATGCTACAAATCTGCAGGCTCGTGACAATCTGAAGGTGATCCATTAAACTTGTCCTTTATACTCTCAATGCGTGCACTCCGTTGGTCTGTGTGCATCCGCTCGCACAGTGCACATTGCACCCTACCCGCGGGGACATAGCGCCACCTATATAGGACGAGAAACGTGGATCAGATTACAATTTTGTTGCTAAGAATCGGAATATTTGATCTAAACTAAAGCAATTTTATTAATAATAAACACATAATATCTTATAGTATTTATTAAGTAATAATAATATAGACTTGATTTTTTAATTTAGATTAATAGCATTTAGAAACTAATAATTCTAATTGTACACTAAACCTTTTAGGATATCTAATTAAATAGTTCTTAGTGATAACCATAAAAATGAAGACAGCAAGGATGTCTTTGGAGACTGCAAAAATCAACACTCCGGACGGAATGGAAGTTGTTGGTTGAGGCCATAGGCTCCACAAGGAGCAAAAAGCAAAGCGGATTATGACTAGAAAACCCTAAAGCAATCTCTCGTAAATTTGTGATAATATAGCAGAGTTCATGACAAGTTAGCCTACAGCTATTGTAGTTTTATATGACGGAATAGTAGAACTAACAAAAGGGACTTGGTTACGTTGCATACGGAACTTGTGTTAAGCAGTGAGTAACTTTTCAACAGTTGAACACAAACATGGAACGTTTTAAAACAAATCTGCCACACGAACCTATTCTTTCTCCGCAACATTTCTGTGTATCTTTTCTTGTCGGACCCAAGCTCCAACAAGTACCTGGCCAGTTCTTCTGGTGACTGGAAAATGAAAACCAGGCAACAACTATAAACAACTATAGCGATGCTTTTAAATGAGACGATGGAAATAAGATGGATATTAATGGGTGGTTTGTAAAGTAAATTTCTCTCTGACGGTCCATGGGGCAAGTGAAGTAGAGTTCAAATGTGGCCCTGGCATATGAAGAGATAGTGTGGTCAGTACTATACCATGCCGCCTTTACTTTCGCTAGTGGGTTAGGTACTCATCAGAGCTGGGTGGACTCAGTGACGTTTTGCGGATTTGAACCAGAATTCGAACTCAATACTTTCGGGTTAGCAGTCTAATATTTTACCACTAGACCACGGCGTCCCACCAGGGGTGGACTAAACAGAAGATGACGCCACATGTAGAACTCACAGAAAAATCAGCGGCGTCGACAAAGATCCCAGAGGGCAGGTATTTTTTGTAGTCGAAGCCGCCTCGAACCACAGGGATGATGTCAACGTCTTTGAAGAGTTTGAAAAACTTCTCAGATACGTAGTCTTTGCACAGGGAGTTCTCGAAAGCCAGGTAAAACCTAGTAAAGGTAGGATTGAGATTGTTATAGAATCGGACATAGAAAACAAAAAGAGATGGCTACGGGACTACAAAGAGGCAGGACACAGACAACATGACAGAGGCAGGTCTTAAAGAGCAGGACAACAAGGACATACTCATGTGGTAGAGGCAGTAGGACGCGGAGTACAAGAACAACAAACTAGAGATAGAACAAGAACTAGAAACTTGACAGAGAACAAGAACTAGAAACTTTACAGAGAACCAGAACTAGAAACTGGACAGAGAACAGGAACTAGAAACTTGACAGAGAACAAGAACTAGAAACTTGACAGAGAACCAGAACTAGAAACTGGACAGAGAACAGGAACTAGAAACTTGACAGAGAACAAGAACTAGCAACTTGACAGAGAACAAGAACTAGAAACTTTACAGAGAACAAGAACTAGAAACTAAACAGAGAACAAGAACTAGAAACTTGACAGAGAACAAGAACTAGAAAACTTGACAGAGAAAAAGAACTAGAAACTTGACAGAGAACAAGAACTAGAAACATAACAGAGAACAAGAACTAGAAACTGAACAGAGAACAAGAACTGGAAACTTGACAGAGAACAAGAACTAGAAACGTGACAGAGAACAAGAACTAGAAAACTTGACAGAGAACAAGAACTAAAAACTTGACAGAGAACAAGAGCTAGAAACTGGACAGAGAACAATAACTAGAAACTGGACAGAGAACAGGAACTAGAAACTTGACGGAGAACAAGAACTAGAAACAGAACACCCAGAACAAGAACTATAAACTTGACAGAGAACAAGAACTAAAAACTTGACAGAGATCAAGAACTAAAAACTTGACAGAGAACAAGAGCTAGAAACTAGACAGAGAACAAGAACTAAAAACTTGACAGAGAACAAGAGCTAGAAACTGGACAGAGAACAATAACTAGAAACTGGACAGAGAACAAGAACTATAAACTTGACAGAGAACAAGAACTAAAAACTTGACAGAGAACAAGAGCTAGAAACTGGACAGAGAACAAGAACTAAAAACTTGACAGAGAACAAGAGCTAGAAACTGGACAGAGAACAATAACTAGAAACTGGACAGAGAACAAGAACTATAAACTTGACGGAGAACAAGAACTAGAAACAGAACACCCAGAACAAGAACTATAAACTTGACAGAGAACAAGAACTAAAAACTTGACAGAGAACAAGAACTAGAAACTTGACAGAGAACAAGAACTAGAAAACTTGACAGAGAAAAAGAACTAGAAACTTGACAGAGAACAAGAACTAAAAACATAACAGAGAACAAGAACTAAAAACGTGACAGAGAACAAGAATTAGAAACTTGACAGAGAACAAGAACTAGAAAATGGACAGAGAACAAGAACTAGAAACTTGACAGAGAACTAGAAATTTGACAGAACAAGAATTAGATACTTTACCGAGAACAAAAACTACAAACTTGACAGAGAACAAGAGCTAGAAACTGGACAGAGAACAAGAATTAGAAACTTGACAGAGAACAAGAACTAGAAACTTGACAGAGAACAAGATTTAGAAACTTGACACAGAGAACACGAATAAGAAAAGACACAAAGAAGCTGACATAGAGCAGGACGTAGAAAGACGATGACATGTCACACAGGACGTAGAAAGACGAGGACATGTCACACAGGACGTAGAAAGACGAGTACATGTCACACAGGACGTAAAAAGTCGAGGACATGTCACACAGGACGTAGAAAGACGAGGAAATGTCACACAGGACGTAGAAAGACGAGGACATGTCATACAGGACGTAGAAAGACGAGGACATGTCACACAGGACGTAGAAAGACGAGGACATGTCACACAGGACGTAGAAAGACGAGTACATGTCACACAGGACGTAAAAAGACGAGGACATGTCACACAGGACGTAGAAAGACGAGGACATGTCACACAGGACGTAGAAAGACGAGGACATGTCACACAGGACGTAGAAAGACGAGGACATGTCACACAGGACGTAGAAAGACGAGGACATGTCACACAGGACGTAGAAAGACGATGACATGTCACACAGGACGTAAAAAGACGATGACATGTCACACAGGACGTAAAAAGACGAGGACATGTCACACAGGACGTAAAAAGACGAGGACATGCCACACAGAACGTAGAAAGACGAGGACATGCCACACAAGACGTTGAAAGACGAGGACATGCCACACAAGACGTACTTGTACTCCTTAGACAACATGGGCAGACACAGTGACGTGTCGTTGTCCCGGTGTCTGAGCCCACAGGTCAAGTTCCCGCACAAGCCGAAGATGTCCACGGGCAGTACGGAACTCATCCTGCGGACGTAGACCTCCCTGAGCCCCCAGGTATCACAGTGGCTGACAAACCATGCGATGTTCTTAGACTTGTCGTCGTAGATTCGATCTAAAAATACAGCGTTTGATCACTTTAAAATTACGTTGCGCAATTATTTCTTTGAGTTTTTTTATAATGTTTCTTTATAATTGTTGATTTTTACAAGCATTTAATACGAGCTTTTATTTAACGTGCTTCATCCGTCTGTCTGTCTGTCTGTCTGTCTGTCTGTCTGTCTGTCCGTCCGTCCGTCCGTCCGTCCGTCCGTCCGTCCGTCCGTCCGTCCGTCCGTCTGTCTGTCTGTCTGTCTGTCTGTCTGTCTGTCTGTCTGTCTGTCTGTCTGTCTGTCTGTCTGTCTGTCTGTCTGTCTGTCTGTCTGTCTGTCTGTCTGTCTGTCTGTCTGTCTGTCTGTCTGTCTGTCTGTCTGTCTGTCTGTCTGTCTGTCTGTCTGTCTGTCTGTCTGTCTGTCTGTCTGTCTGTCTGTCTGTCTGTCTGTCTGTCTGTCTGTCTGTCTGTCTGTCTGTCTGTCTGTCTGTCTGTCTGTCTGTCTGTCTGTCTGTCTGTCTGTCTGTCTGTCTGTCTGTCTGTTTTCATAGATCAAAACGGGCGAGTGAAATTTCTAGGCCTTTAAACTGACCTATTCGTTTCAAACTTGGCACATAGGTCAAGACCCCATGACAATGCAATCTGGCATCAAATTTTTGATAACCAATTAATTTTTATGGATTAATTACAATTTGGGTTGCCATCTCAATATGGGCTTACACATACCTATTTCCTTGAATGGGCTGGTCATCGGATATGGACTTACACCGACCTATGTCCTTGAATGTGGGCTGTCATCAAATATGGGCTTACACCTACCTATGTCATTGTATGGAGGGTGGTCGTCAAATATGGGCTTACACTTACCTATGTCCTTGTATGTGGGCTGTCGTCAAATATGGGCTTCCACCTACCTATGTCCTTAAATGGGCTGGTAGCCAAATATGGGCTTACACCTACCTATGTCCTTAAATGGGCTGGTAGCCAAATATGGGCTTACACCTACATATGTCCTTAAATGGGCTGGTAGCCAGGCTGGTAGCCAAATATGGGCTTACACCTACCTATGTCCTTAAATGGGCTGGTAGCCAAATATGGGCTTACACCTACCTATGTCCTTAAATGGGCTGGTAGCCAAATATGGGCTTACACCTACCTATGTGCTTAAATGGGCTGGTAGCCAAATATGGGCTTACACCTACCTATGTCCTTAAATGGGCTGGTAGCCAAATATGGGCTTACACCTACCTATGTCCTTGTATGGCGGCTGGTATTTCTCCAACAGCCCAAACGGAAACGGGACGTCAGCGTGCAGCTGGTAGGTCAAGGTCCAGTTAAACAAAGACTTGACCTCCTCACGCTCCAGGTAATAGTTTTTTACTGCCGGGTCAAAGTTGAAGAACACCCATCTGGTGATTCGATAACAACAATGAGATTAATCGGGGGGTGGGGGATATTTAGAGGAAGGGGGTGTAAATTAGATGTTAGCTTGATGATATGTAGCTCTGGTGGGAACCTGACTCACGTTAGGGAAAGTAAGGCGGCTGTGCATAATAGGGCTGGTAAGTAGGTCACCAACCAGTTAAACGGCTCAATAACACCTGAACGAGCCATATAACTGGTTGGTGACCTACTTACCAGCCCTATTGCTGACAACACTGTTCCTTTCATATGCCGAGGTCACAGATACAGGTGAACTCTACTTCACTTGTCCCATAGACCGTCAGGTTTAAAAAGGAACTTTACTTTTCTCTCAATGTATCCGAATATTCGCATTATTAAACTATTTTTATGTTTATACAACAAAAAATCTTCCTTGAGATTACCAATAAAATCAACAATAATGGACTTTGTTATATAAAAATAGCTAATAATAGTTGGGATTTTTTATATAAAAACAGTCAATAATTGGTGGGATTTGTTATATAATAACAGCTAATAGTTGTCGGCATTTGTTATATAATAACATCTTATAGTTGTTGGAATGAATTTGTAATATAATAACAGCTAATAATACTAAATCAAGAAAACAAAGCATAGTTTACTTAATGATATGGCGATGCTGTTTTACGGTAGTTACCTTTGTCCAGGAGGGCGGTGGAAGGTGGGGATTTTGTACAGCTTGACCCAGGAGGCTTTGATCATCACGGCGTGGGCCCGGGACATGTTGTTGATGTACTGGCACCTGCTGTACATGCAGTCTTGGAACCTGGGAGATGGGTGACTTCATAACATAGTGGTCAGTACAAAACACCATACGTGGTCAGTCACCACCACATACATGGTCAGTACGCCAGGGCATACGTGGTCAGTACACCACAACATAGTGGTCAGTACACCACAACATAGTGGTCAGTACACCACGACATGTGGTCAGTATACAGCAACATTCGTGGTCAGTACACCACAACATGTGGTCAGTACACCACGACATGTGGTCAGTATACAGCAACATTCGTGGTCAGTACACCACAACATGTGGTCAGTACACCACAACATACGTGGTCAGTACACAGCAACATGTGGTCAGTACACCACAACATAGTGGTCAGTACACCACAACATAGTGGTCAGTACACCACAGTACACCACAATACACCACGACCTACATGGTCAGTACACTACACCTTAGAGGATGAGTACACCACTACACATGTGGTCAGTACACCGTTAAAAAAATTAAAAAAAAAGAGTACACTTCCCATATGTCTGGTGTAAACAGTCTTAATTAACTCACCCATGTTTGTGGTATTCCTTTCCCCAAGGCATCAAGTATGTGACGTACTTGACTGACTTCTCTACCACCGGCCGAGACATTCTTTAGGATTTCAAATATTACCAACATAAAATCGTCTATAGACAAATACGTTTAAGCAGATAGCTAGTCATTATGAGGCTGATAAAATGTTAACAAGAAAACGTTGCTATATAGCTTGTTTTTCAAGAAAAGGTGTAATCCCTAAACCAAACCAGTGTTTCTTTCAAACGTTTAAATTTTTTTAAAAACGATAAAGGTTCAATAAAAAAACTTACTTAATCCTTTCTTTGTTCTCGTTGTAAATGTAAGGCGAGTTTTCTAATCGTCTCATCTCAGCCTCATCGTCATCTTCCTTATCTTTCCCGTCATCTTGGTGTTTATCATCTGTACAAAAATATGGATGGATGGATGGATGGATGGATGGATGGATGGATGGATGGATGGATGGATGGATGGATGGATGGATGGATGGATGGATGGATGGATGGGTGGATGGGTGGGTGGGTGGATGGATGGATGGATGGATGGATGGGTGGGTGGGTGGGTGGTTGGATGGATGGATGGGTGGATGGGTGGGTGGGTGGGTGGATGGATGGATGGATGGATGGATGGATGGATGGATGGATGGATGGATGGATGGATGGATGGATGGATGGATGGATGGATGGATGGATGGGTGGGTGGATGGATGGATGGGTGGAGGGGTGGGTAGGTGGATGGATGGATGGATGGATGGATGGATGGATGGATGGATGGATGGATGGATGGATGGATGGATGGATGGATGGATGGATGGATGGATGGATGGATGGATGGATGGATGGATGGATGGATGGATGGATGGATGGATGGATGGATGGATGGATGGATGGATGGATGGATGGATGGATGGATGGATGGATGGATGGATGGATGGATGCAATAACTAAACACTAACTCTAAGGTGGTTCTAACGCCTACCCCCATCCCCCACCCTACTTCAACAGAACTCAAACTTACCGGACCCAGTAGCGACGGTCAGGACCCTTGCTTCAGCTTTTCCTTCACCAGCAGACGACTTCCTGCTCGCCTCCCCCTTCAGCAATATGGTACGCTCCAGCCGGGTCGTCTGAGACAACAGCTTCGGTTTTTGTGTGACGTCATTCAGCCTCTTCATCTGCTCAGCCACGAAGACGAAAATGACGATCGTGATGAGGACTTTGAACAAAGTCCGCATCTCAAGGCGAGTCTTCTTCCACGTGAAAAACATGAACCGGCGAATGTTTGCCAGGGCTGGAGAGTTTGTTTGTCCCGTGAGAAAAATGATTTGAGTTTTTAAAAATATTCTGTTACGAACACATCAGTACACGTATTTCATAAGTAGACATTCGAATTTTATTTCTTTATTTGAAGAAATAATCTAAGTCCAATTGTTTCGTTGGTAGAAATTTGAATTTTAATATTCCTTCTCTATGAATTCAAAATTATTCGTTAGTTCATAGAATTTCAAATTCTTGATCTTTTTTGATAAACACAGTACTTGTGTATTGTAAGTATATATATATATATATATATATATATATATATATATATATATATATATATATATATATATATATATCGATTCTTATAATACTTTTTAATAATATGAAAACAGCAGTACAGCTATTTCGTTCGTAGCAATTCCAATTTTAAACCTCCAATTAGAATTAAAAAATTGCACACATCATGAATTGTTGTGATCTTCACTAATTAGACTTGGAAAAAGTGACCAGACAGTAATCGAACGACAGCTACAGTCACGTGATCCATGTAGCCCTGTGCTCAACTTGAGGCAGGTGATTCACGGGGAGTTGAGAAAAAAACAATAGACAGGTGTGGAGGGACCCAATGGAGGTTTGAGATCATTGGGTGAACCACAGTGGTTCTCGCATTGTCCTATAGCTACCCCAGATGTTTGAGATCATCGGGTGAACCCCAGTGGTTCTCACATTATCCTATAGCTACCCCAGAGTTTTGAGATCATCGGGTGAACCCCAGTAGTTCTCACAATGTCCTATATCTACCCCAAAGTTTTGAGATAATCGGGTGAACCCCAGTAGCTCTCACATCGTCCAATAAATACCCTAGAAATTATATTGTGCTAAATGGTTTTCCCGTTGTCGGGTTTAGACCATTGGGTGAAGCCTGATGGTTCTCGTTTTGTCCTATACCTACCCCAGAGTTTTGCATCAGGTGAAGCCCAGGGATTCTCGAAATGTCCAGTCCCCTAGACAAGTCATGATATTGGGCCTAAATTTTCCGGCGGTGAGGGCGAACACTGGTAAAGTATGTATTTTCTATATTAATTCCATTTCGTGCGGGGGAGATGCCTCGAAGAAACTCTGGTAGTGTTGAGCAGGAGAATGGCTCTGTCCTGCACTTAACTTCCACTCTCTCGGCTCTTTTCCCTAGTCCTAAATATCTACATCCTACTGCTTTCTGACATTCGCCTAAACAACTCTGATGTTCTATGAACGACTGCTGCTTGGTCAGTTGATTGTCTCACGTGGCCGGTCATCATCTCGCATCTCATTGGTTTCAACCTATTCTTAACTGCTTGACCTAAGGCTATTGCCTAAATTCTACATTTTCTTCTTTCTGTTTGACCTACTTCTAAACTTGCCTAACATTGCATCATCACAGATGGGAAACGACCAACTTGATATTCTCAAGTTCGGTTCGTGGTCCTATCAAGTTTTTTAGAAAAAAATATTTTTGATTTTGCCATTGATCTTGAGACACTAAAAAAATAATAATTGTAAAATATGCTGTAACCACCACCACACAGAATGAGAACCATTAACTCCTGCAGGCCCTATCATATCTCTATCATCTCATTACTGTCACCCAAACCTACCACAGTCCACCAAACAGTGTGAAACAGGCTCCACCTCGAGCCCTCCCCCCTCCCAGTCCTCCACACCTGCCCTACGACTACCTGCCCAGGTGTCCCCATCTACCTCAGACAGGTGTGTGACTTATATCACCGCGTCATCGTATATGAGCACTCATATCCCCACAGGTATAAATCATGCTGGTACATTTATGAAAACTTGAGCATCGATTTTTAGTTTTAATTAGGCGATCGATTGCTGTTTTGTTCGATAGGTAGTTTTAATTGGAGTCCCTTTGATTGTAAGATTGTATAGAGATTGTGACTAGCTTAAAAAAAAACTTACGACTGTTTTGTTTTGTTCTTTTATAACATGATAATTTTCAAACTACAACAGGGTTGTAACTTAATATTAACCAGTCTTCAAGCATACAGCTTCCCCATATAGATTTTACATATAGATTTTATAAACCAGCTACAGCCAGTCTTCAAGCATACAACTCCCCCCCATCTTGGTTTTATGACGCATTTACAACCAGTTATCTTTTTTAATCAAATGCTCTTTTTTTAGTCGTGTGAAGTAGCAACTTAACAGCAAAGAACAAACTGAAATGAAAAGAATAAATATGAAATTATTTGTTTATACAATCATAAAAACTCACTTAAAACTTTAAGTTTTAATGTTCTTTTTAATAAAAAGAACTAATTAAAGCAATTAATATAAAACACAAAGCCCAGGTGGGTAGAAGACCTGAGTCAATGAGAGGGTTGCTTTCAGTCCTTTTGCTCCGAGGGCCATTTGAAATTTCCGAGGAGGGAGCAGTTATACAAATACTTCCATTGAAAATATTGTTTCTATTTCTTATGTGGGTCGGTGTAAGTGCTCGGAGAGAGTGTACGCCGGGGGGTGGGGGGGGGGGGGAAGCAGGGATAACACAGTGCCCACTGCCCGAATGAATGCCTGAAAGAAACACTTATCACAGTAACAAAAAAGGTTGCATTGCTCAAGCTTCACAAACTATTAGCCTCAACTCATTTAGAGTTGTCTCTCCTTCCAGCGGTTATATTTACATTGTAGATAACATTACCCTAAGTAATATTGATTAGGACTTTCAAAATGAAGCTCATAAAATCTATATTGCTGTTCATATTGTAACATGGAGACGGTAAAATGTTTTGAAGTTTATGGTTTGTGTTGTGTGTTCTGATCAATAGCTCGTTTCACTAAAACATACACACAACACATACTCAAATTAGCTGGTTGGGTTTAATCGATGAAGAATAATATTAGCAGATAAAATAATAAGTTTTAAACGGTGAAGGCTTTCATAAAATTACTTACAATGTATGATCAAATGTAAGATGAAAATTCTTAGAACTTTGCTCATTAGAGCAAACAAAATGAAAAGAAAAGGCACGAAAATACATTATAGTTATACTTTATTTATCATTTTTAGAATACTAAGAGTTGCATTTTACAAAAGACAATCATTATCATACACATAAAACATTCTTTATTTTATAAAGGGCAAGTTCGGAAATTGTATTTTAAAAATCCATTTTTTTAAATTATTTGTTCCGTCCATTATTTGATGTTTTTTGTTAATTATTTTTTTTACTTGACAAAGGTGTAGTTAGGTTCATGTTACTTGTTCATGAGCAGTACTTGCATCTTCGTTTAACGTGTATCTTCGATAGCGATACCATTAAACCTAACTAAAACCATACATAAACCACAGCTCTAAAGTCTAACGCAATACATTTATTTCGGTTGAGCTACATTCTAACGATGGGTAAAATCACCGACAAAGTTATTTTCATGCAAACTGAACGCGAGCTGATCTCAAAGACCAGTACAGGTATTATTAAGAAACGTCCCCGACATAATCTGAGGGACAAAGTGATAACATTGACGTGTAGAGCAGGACAAGACAGGAGCCTGTGACATTACAGTAATGGAGGAAGTGACGCTGGGTGGGGCATACAATGTGACACGACAGACGACGGGGGGGGGGGGGGGGGGGGGGCGAAAGAGACGTGCATTCGTCGCATTCGTGAAAGCGTCCATTCGGGCATTTATTGCATTCGTGCAATTGTCCATTCGGGCATTTATCGCATTCGGGCAATCGTCCATTCGGGAAAACGTCCTTCGGCCAACAGCATTCGGGCAATTGTTTTTTAGGAAAACGTCCGGTTCTCTGCTAGTCCCATTTTATCCCGCGATACTTCAAATGCATCAGCCGCTGTACACAGGAAATATTACAACACATGCATGTACTGTTGACATAGAATTAACAATTTAAACAGAAGTCGCTTCATTTGTAATCTCTCACATGATATGTTAGATCAGTTGGCTGAGGAACATTATTTATGAGTTTCTAGTGATCCAAAGGCACGATCAATTATAGGTTAATTAGATTAGTTGGCTGAGAAAAATAGAAGCTTTTTTTAAGTCAAGTAATCCTAAAGCGCTATGAATTAATGATCAATTAGATCAGTTAGCAGAGAGAAGAAGAAGCATTTTTAAGTCAAGTGATCCTAAGGCACTATAAATTAAAGGTCAATTAGATCAGTTGGCTTAGAAAAAAGAAAAATCATTTTCTGAGTCAAGAGATCCTAATTCCCGATCAGTTAAAGGTCAGTTAGATCAGTTGGCTTAGAAAAAAGAAGCATTTTGCTGCGTCTAGTGATCCTAAGTCCCGATCAGTTAAAGGTCGATTAGATCAGTTGGCTGCCTGCACTGCCGAGGTTCGCCGTAGAACTTGAGTCGGAGGTCGTCTATCCGGCGTGGCTTGTCCAACATCTCGTGCAGCATCTCGCAGACGTGGCAGTGTATGCTGGGCGTCTGCTCGCTCACCCACCTGAAAGGTCAAGGACGGTATCAACACAGGCAGGCACGAAATACAGGTGTGTCCAGTTACGTTCGTATTGAAATGAATTGTACAAGTACAGAGGGACGGCGTGGTCTAGCGGTAGAGCACTAGACTGCTAACACAAAAGTCTCGAGTTCGAATCCGGGTTCAAGGTCAATAGAACGTCCCTGAGTAGTTTTGTAATCGTTTTGATTTTCTAGAAACTATACTTCAAAATAATGTATTTGGAAAAATAAATGTCATTAAAATGTTTTGGAAAATAATAAATTTATATTGTGTTTTTAAACATTGTATAACAAAATTTCGTAATAATATTGTATTTTACGATTAAGTAATTTTTGTTTTTTTGCCTCGTGTTTAAGGATATACTCATTAAAATAATCATTTTAATATAAAATAATTCATAGATTAACTTAAAACACATCTGTTTATCCTACCACCACCCATCAAGAAATAATACAATAGCCACACCAACACTGTTAAATATAATATTCCTTCGTTGTATTTTTACCATCAAATTATTTTTTTACCTATTTTTCCGCTTCAATATTTTGATGTACTCTGTTTTATTTTGACCGAGTTGCTGCAAAAATCTGGCCAGTGCCTTTGGTGACTGCAAACAAAAAGTAACAACGTAAATGGAGGAAGTTTTAAAAAAATCAACAACTTAAAGCTTTTAAAGTACGAAGTAGACTAAACTAGCTTGTGTTGGTACAGGGAGGAACCCACTAACCCGATAAAAACTGCCGCCTAATCCCAGAAAAACTGAAACCTAATCCCACAAAAACTACTCACTTATACGATGACAACTTCCCACTAATCTCATGAAAACTGCTCCACTAATCCCATGAAAACTGCCTACTAATCCCATGAAAACTGCCTACTAATCCCATGAAAACTGCCCACTAATCCCATGAAAACTGCCCACTAATCCCATGAAAAATTCTCTCTAATACTCGATTACCTCGAAATCCGCAGCATCGATAAACGTGCCCGTTGGTAAATATTTTTTGTATTCGAATCCGCCCCTGACGACAGGTATGACGTCGACGTCAGAGAACAACTTGAAGAACTTCTCTGTGATGTAATCTTGGCAGAAAGAGTTCTCAAAGGCCAAGTAAAACCTGAAGGCAGCATGAAAATACGTTGTCATGGTAACACGATTTTATTTGCACTCAAAGTATAAGTAATGTTCTTATACTATACTTTTTAAAAAAAATTAGTTGCTGAAGAAATCTTTACATGTTTAATGCAATTAATGAACTTTTTACATTTTACGATCTAATTAGGTTGAGACATTTGTTTGCTAAAAATAACTACTTTAGAAAATAGGTCGAAGTCTTTTTCTTCTTCTTCCGTTCTTAATTCTAGTGTTAGAGGAGATTCCCTCCAACCCAATTAAGTATAACGTGTCAACTGGTTATGCGCCTTATAGACCGTTGACTCCGATTTCAGCCTGTTTTTTTAACACGTTTTTAACACGTTTTTCTTAACTCAGCTTCGCGTTTGTTTGTTTGTTTGGATGTTTGTTGTTAAAATTGACATCGAAAATTAGCCCACTTCTGATTGCTCTATAGACCTGAAATTTGGCATGCATGCTACTTTTGCCTAACAATTTCAGATGCAATCATAAAAACTAGCAATTAGTGACCGTAATTAGCTTAATTTAATTACGCCCCAAGGACCATAAAATTGAGGACATGATTTCTAAAGATACCGACAAGACTGGAGGCCTATTGACCCAGTTACTTCGGCCCCAATCGATGTGAGCGCGCTGGCCGTGATCGTATAGTGGTTAGTACTTCGCGTTGTGGCCGCGACAACCCAGGTTCGAATCCTGGTCGCTCAAGTTTTTAGTCCGTGTATTTATAAACACTTTTTTAAAAACCACGTTTTTCATGTGTAGCAACGGACTAAAAAGGAGAAAATAAAATACTTAAAAAAAACTTTTTAAAAAACCACGTTTTTCTTGTGGACTAAAAAGTAGAAAATAAAATTTTCTTTTGTGCTTCCTCGAGCTGTGCAGGTTCTTGTGATGACTGACAAAAAACGTGGGTCGGGCAGATGGGTCGGGAAATTTGATGGTGAACGTACCCACGTTTTTTGTCAGTCATCACAAGAACCTGCACAGCTCGAGGAAGCACAAAAGAAAATTTTATTTTCTACTTTTTAGTCCACAAGAAAAACGTGGTTTTTTAAAAAGTTTTTTTTAAGTATTTTATTCTTAACTCAGCTTCGCGTTTGTGGATTTGTGGATTTGTTTGTTTGTTGTTAAAATTGACATCGAAAATTAGCCCACTTCTGATTGCTCAATAGATCTGAAATTTGGCATGTAGGCTACTTTCGCCTAACAATTTCAGATGCAATCATAAAAACTAGCAATTAGAGACCGTAATTAGCTTAATTTAATTACGCCCCAAGGACCATAAAATTGAGGACATGATTTCTAAAGATACCGACAAGACTGGAGGCCTATTGGCACAGTTACTTCGGCCCCAATCGATGTGAGCGCGCTGGCCGTGATCGTATAGTGGTTAGTACTTCGCGTTGTGGCCGCGACAACCCAGGTTCGAATCCTGGACAACCCAGGTTCGAATCCTGGTCGCTCAAGATTTTTAGTCCGTGTATTTATAAACACTTAGTCAAGTCATACTTAATCAAGTCATTAGATATAGTAGCAAATAAACTATATAAAAAACTTTTTTAAAAACAACGTTTTTCATGTGTAGCAACGGACTAAAAAGGAGAAAATAAAATACTTAAAAAAAACTTTTAAAAAAAACACGTTTTTCTTGTGGACTAAAAAGTAGAAAATAAATTTTCATACATTTGATGACAAAAAACGTGGGTCGGGCAGATGGGTCGGGAAATTTGATGGTGAACGTACCCACGTTTTTTGTCATCAAATGTATGAAAATTTATTTTCTACTTTTTAGTCCACAAGAAAAACGTGGTTTTTAAAAAAGTTTTTTTAAAGTATTTTATTCGTTTTGGATTTGCTTTCAAAGCTTGTCCAACCAAGAATAAACTACAAGGCAGCAGTTGTTTGATTTTAGAGTTGTCTCTCCTAGATGAGTGGCTGACCCCATGAGCTTTACCAACTCGACTACGCCGACCTCAGACGTAATCAAAATGTAAAATAAACAAGAAGCCAGAATTTGATTTGTTTGTAGTGGTTAGAGTGGATACTATAAAATGAATAGTATTAAAACTATGTAACGAAAAGTATGCAAACTCTGTAATGGCCAATACAGATACTATGTAATGGAAAGTATGGGCTTTGTGTTTCAATATGCGCACCTTACTAGAATATATGCGAAACATCAGTCAAAATAGTTTTTTTAAAGTTCTGTTTTAAAACCATGAATGTACAATTAAATTGTTTTTTCTTTCTAATATTGTTTTGTTTTGAAAAAATATTTTTTGTTGGTCGTTAAGGTCAATTTGTCCTTATAATGTTTAATACATCTTATCTGAGCGTCAATGTCCAGGTGTAATTATCGCGGGAGTTTAAAGTCCAGTGGGTCATTGACCGGATACCACTACACTAAAGGTAGTAATCATTCCTAATCGACAGTATTCACACTACATTACAGATAGTTCGGATTAGGCAACTCAGTCTTTAGATCTAGTAATGTTGATCCTTAATGATAAAAGTCTATTTTGTATTGTAAGTGTAATGAGATTTCAAAATACATTATTTCGTCTTAACTACATTGATAATAATAAATAGTATACATGTTTTATCTTAGTTGAAATGCAAGTTATTAAAACATGAATTTTAGGCTAAGAGAGACAACTGCGTAAAATTAATTTAATCTGAGTTATTTCCCTTTATGAATAGTTTTTTTTTTGTCGAATTATTTAATTTAAATTGAGGCTCATTAAAAGCATATTCATGATATTTTAATTTCTAGAAACGAATGTCGTAAACAATTAAAACTGGTTCAACAAGAGAAACACAAAATTTTTAATATCTTTCTGTTTATCTTTAGTGTAGGTTATCTTTAGTCATCAAGTGTTACGTATTGTGTGTGGATAATCTTTAGTCATCAGGCGCTATATGTGTGTAGATGATCTTTAGTTTAGTCACAAAGGGTTACATATGTGTAGATGATCGTTTGAAAGCGTTACATATTGTGTGTGGATGATCTTTAGTCACCAAGGTTACATATGAGTAGATGATCTTTAGTTATCAAGCGATACCTACTTGTATTCCTTTGACAGCATAGGAAAGCACTGATGCGTGTCGTTGGTCCGGTAGTGTATGGGCCCACACCTGAGCTCCCCACACTGGCCAAACACGTCCACTCCCAGCACCGACCTCATCCCCTCCACGTACAGCTCACGTTTGGACCACGTGGTGCAGTGACTCACGAACCAGGCCACGCCTTTTGTCTTACCCTCAAAGATGGCGTCTGTGGGGGGGGGGGGGGGGAGAAGTATTCTTTTTATTTTAGGGAGACATGAAATACACAAACTAAATTACTAGGAAATTTAATGTTTTTAAAAAATGTAAATTAAATGTTAACCATTGATTGGTGTTTTGGACAGCAACTCAAAACTTGACGATATGCCTGTCGATGGTGAAAGACTCCACTAACAGAAGACACGTTTCTTTTTTGCTTTGTTTTTTACAATTTTTAATTTCAGCTCCGTATAGAGTAAACTTTGCCAACGAAAACAATTTGTGGCTACTTTTTTGTTTTTAACACACCACATGAAGATCCAGCTTCCCCCATTTCTTTTTCAAAAGATTCCATGACATTTTTCTCTGGTCTTCCCCCTTTCCTTGTGTGGATTAACTGTCTAACAGACTGTGCGCCGTTTCTTATCACCCCCCCCCCACCCACGTCCTTTCTCTTAATCACTACACACACCTATGTCCGCCAGCATATCTCCCTTAACCGTAGATTAAAAATTCTGTCTGAACCGAAAATACGGTAAATTATATTACCTGCTTATTGTTCTAATTAGATTTATCCTAAAACAATTTGGAAACCCACAATATTCGGGGGCCCTTTTGAGTGAGCTTTATCAACCCTCTCTTAAATCCGCCACCTCTTCACATATTTCCCATCGGCAGCCTAAACTAAGGAAACAAAGAAAATGTAACTCTAATATCTATTATAGTATCACAAAAAAAAACCATCAACAAAAATACCGTAGTCTTTTGGTGGCAGCTTGCGACGTCTAAGACGACCGAATATCAAAGGGAAGTCCGAATCTAGCTGGTAGGTGGATGTTAGGTTAAAGCTGGACACGATGTCAGCGCGATCTAGGCAGTAGTTGTATTCGGCGGGGTCGTAGGTGTAGAACACCCACCTGGTCAAACAACATTCAAAAAGTTTAAAAATAGAAATAATAAATAAATGAAAACAATTGTAACCTGTGTCCCCGATAGATCTTGCGACCTGATCAAATCCCCCAACTTAGTCTCAAGGACTAATATTTTCTAGACGGAAGTTTAAGTAGTGTTTGATAGGAGGGGGTCTTTACAGATCTAATATGTTACCTCTGACCCCCAGATGGGGGTGGGAATGAAGAATGGGGGGGGGCACTACGAACGTAGCAGTTACACCTGAATTTATGTATTCTAAAAATTTTGGATAGGGAGTGGGGGTGTTATTAGAAATTTAACAGTTATCTCTGAGCCTCAGGTCTGTAGAACGGTTGGATGCGGGTGGTGGTGGGGTGTGAGAGGGGGGGGGGGTTCACCATAAACGTACCTCTGACGCTCAGGTCTATATATGGGCTGGATGGACAGTGATGGTTAGGTGGGGGGGGGGGGGTGTCGCTTAGAGACTTAACCGTTACCTCTGACTTTCAGGTCTATAGAAGGGCTTGATGGGGTGGTCCCTGATACTTCTAGCAGAAAACATCACGGCATCGGCTTCAGACATGTTGTTCACAAACTCACAGTTTTGGAAGAGGCAGCGCCGGAAACTGAGCTCAGAGAGGTATATATATATATATATATATATATATATATATATATATATATATATATATATATATATATATATATATATATATATATATATATATATATATATATAATGTATATTACACACACACACACGCATATATATATATATATATATATATATATATGTATATATATATATATATATATATATATATATGTATATATATATATATATATATATATATATATATATATATATATATATATATATATATATATATATATATATATATATATATATATATATATATATATATTTATATATAATATATATAACACACACACACACTCACACACACATATATATATATATATATATATATATATATATATATATATATATATATATATATATATATATATATATATATATATATATGTATATATATATATATATATATATATATATATATATATATATATATATATATATATATATATATATATATATATATATATATATGTATACATATATATAATGTATATATAACATATATATATATATGTTTGTGTGTGTATAATACTTGAATAACTATATGACTTTACCAAAACAATGACATGAACTGCTGCATCTCTTCAATAAACAGATCAAATCAATTACATTTGTTTGTAATGTGACGAATTGGAAACTGAATTTTTTAGTCTCGCAAAAGGGCAGATAAGGCAGTTACAGTAGAGTTTCACTGAGCCCAGCTTATAAATGAATAGTGCGGTTAGCACTGTGCCCAGCCGCCTTTACTTTCCCTAACCTCAGCCAGTTATCCATCAGAGCTGGGTGGACTCAGGGACGTGCTGTTGTCCGGACCGAGAGCACAACTCGAGACATTCTGGCTAGCAGCCGACCATCACTTTTTAGCACTGTACAAACCATGTAGGTTTTATAAAACAGATACAGTAGCGTTTAACTGAGCTCAGCCTATAAATGGACAGTGTGGTCAGCACTTGCCCAGCCGCTTAAACTTACCAGACTCACACGTAGAAGTACAAGTATATATTAGAGCTAGGACATAAAAAGAAATAAGACTTTCAGGTGATACATCCTTCGCTCTACAGCTTGACCACGCCATCCCGACACACCTGAGCTCACCTGTATCTGTTGAGATTCTCGTACGGTAAATATCCAGACAGGTACTTGACTTTAGAAGGACGAAGTGCTCGACTGATCCTGGGATTAACAAACATGGTTGTAAATATATTGTAGGTTGATATTACATCAGTACTGCAAGGTACTGTACCAGGAGAGAGAAGAGGGGGAAGACAAAGACGCCACCTGATCGATGACATCAAGGATTGGACGGGGATTAAGCGGTAGTGTTCTCAACAACTGAACAAAGTCAGGGACGTTTGACTGACATGAACCCAGATTCGAACTCGAGACTTTCGTCTTTTCAGTCTAGCCCTCTACCGCTAGGCCACTCATGGCATTGAACTCATTGAGTCACAGTTTATTTTGTAGTGGCGCCTGGCCTAAAGTTGAACAACTCTGCTAGATAGGATCATCAAGAGGACGAAATATATGCTTCGATCGTGATGAACTGCATTGTCTAAATTGTAATGATTATACATCTAATATCGCTTAACAAAACGACGAAGTTTCCCCATGCCGAACCCCCGCGCTACAGAAACCATCCACCCCCCCCCCCCCTTACCCTCGGCCACAATCAACCATCAGACGCCCACAGATCTGCTGACATTTACCAGAAGTTTCTAACCTGGCCAGCTCCTGCTGTTCTCGGATAATGTAAGGCGAGTGTTTCATCTTCTCCATTTCATCGTCCAAGTTCTCCTCACTATCGTCATCGTCGCTACCATCCTCATATCCGCCATCGCCGTTTTCGTCTCTCCCGTTATTGACGTCCTTGTCTGACGACTGAGGACCTCCAAGTTCGGGTGTTCCCCGAACCCTCAAGTGGTTTCGTTTGGCGCTATCACGTGACCGCATGGTCAGGTGAGTCACAATCACGTGATTGGCCAGAAGTAAGACGCTCAGTGTCAGACTTAAAATCACAAGAAGGTTTTTAGGGTGTCTGATCCACGTCATTGTGTGGTCGTCAGGTGGGGTGAAGGGGGGGGGGGGGTTGGAGGAAGGGTTGTGGTGGTTTATGGGGGGAGTCGGGTGGACAATGATGTCAGCAGTAACGAATAGGTTATGTGCAGGGTGGCATCAGTAATGAATCGGCGAAATGGAGAATGTCACCAATAACGAAATAACTAAGTACAGGATGTCACCTTAAGTGCAGTGTGTCACCACTTAACAAATCAGCCAAATGCAGGTTATCACCTGTAACGAATTAACTGAAGGCAGTGTATCACCAATAACGAATGAGCTAAATGCAGGCTAGCGAATTAAGTGAATGCAGTGTGTCATCAATAGAGAATCGGCTAAATGCAGGATGCCAGAAAAATAATAAAGACAGACCGTCCAAGAGGTAAATATATCAACAAACTGTTTGCATAAAGTACTGAGGCTGTAGATAATTAGATCTTCTATCTGACTAGGCAGAACATTGCGAACATCATCTCCATCAAAAGCCACAAATAATCTGTATAGATATTTAAAAAATAGATAAAAACCATTTCACTAGCAAATGAAATCAATCAGCTAAGATAATAAACATGCTATCTTCATTAATTAATTATAAAAAACACGGACCACTAAATAACATTGAAAGATGTCCTAACGTTTAAAAAAACGAACGCGCACAAATTGCTATAAAAACACACATCGTCTCTCAAACCTTTTATACAGACATCGTTGATCACCCGATTTTCTTCTTCAAACATTCTCACCAACAGAAGTAGATCAAACAACTCAGTCACATATTTCAGCTCCTCACATCCTAACTCTCTCTCTCCACCTTCTCCAGCAATACAGAAACGTTGTAATCTAATCGTGTCTTATCAAACCACATTGACTTTATTTTACCACATTTTTTTACTTTATATTTTAACATTTTAAAATTTCTTTTTTTTATTATTATTCGTCGGTATAATTCATCACCATTAAGTAGTGTAGCCTAAGACATTTAATGTATTGTAATATTTTACAGATGTTTGTTTTAACAGTATCACTCTTAGCCCAGACTACCACTCGCAATTTTATGAGTCTCTAGATCAGGGGTCTCCAAACTTTTCAGTCCGAGGGCCGCATTACCTATCAAATTTCAGTACGGGGGCCAGTTTCTTCCAGGCATGTCTGATTTTTCTGAGCAAAGTTCCTCAGCCATCATCAACAAATGTTTTTTTTCATTGGACAAAAAGAGCTCCGCGGGCCGGATGAGAGGACCTCGCGGGCCGCATCCGGCCCGCGGGCCGTAGTTTGGAGACCCCTGCTCTAGATTGTACTGTTTGGGAATCTTTTCATATTTTTTGAAAGTTTTTTTTTAAGTTTGTGAAATAGAAGCCCTCTCCCAACGTGTAGGCGTGTGCAAGCAACTTAATGAGCCAATAAATTCAAGACACGTTGTAAAAACTATTGACACTTCTAGTATAAACACCTGTAACAATTTATTGAGCGGCACATTTTCTACGAACACAGGGTTTCAGGCTTTTTGTCTCTGAAGATATGAAGGAGGGGGGGGGGGGTGTGGGGGTACTTTAAAATGTCCGGGTCGGAACACTTGAAACTTTTCCAAGGGGGGCGGGTCATTTAAGACTTCCGAGAGGAGGACGGATAAAAATAAAAGTATATATTTTTAAATTTAATATTTTTTTCTCCCGAGGCTAGTGTGTGTGTGTGTGTGTGTGTGTGGGAGGGGGGGGGGGGGTGGAAGGGGGGTGGATAACGTGCTCGGTGGGGGGGGGGGGGGGGGGGTACAAATAGATGCCTGGAAAAAACCCACTGTACTAACACTTTTTAAACTAGTACCTTTTGTTAAAACCTTTTGTTAACACCTATTGATAACACCTTTTTTGTTAACACCTTTTCCACTAAAAACTTCTACAACTTGACGTTTCCTACTTACACCTTTTATAATAACATCGTTCATACTGACAACTTTTATATAAACACCTTTTATTAGAACACATTTTACACTATCATCTATTATATACTTAAACCTACACATTTATAACAAAAATTATCACAACATTATGTATACATACACCACTTCCACCCACACATTTATTACCCACACAGATGTGTAAGATATACAAACACCTCAAAACACTTCCTACACAACTAACACCACATATTAAGCCAAGTATCAAATATGAAACACCTTTAACCACAGACACAGCTTATTGTTTATTTCATCACGACGCACTGACTATATAAACACATACAATCAATCGGTGGGATCGATATTAGTTCAGCAATAAAAGTAAAAAGTGATCCATTGATTTTTGACGTGCAGGCTATATATTTCATTGTCTCAAGCGTATCAAAGCGGGTCAACTAAAATATTGACTAATTTTTTATTTGTTTTGTTTTATCGTCAGTGCCTTGATTATTCAAAGATGTTTGGGGAGGGGGGAGGAGGGGAATTATCGAACATAAAAGTTCGATCTTATGCAGGATGAAAACAATTAAAGTTTAAATGATCAGACGCGAAAACTGATCGGTGTTACTTTAATGAGGTGATAAGGCTAGTTAGGTTTGTGTGTGTGTATGTGTGTGGGCCACAGAGGCGTAGCGAGGGAGAGGAAGGGGGGAGGTACATGTCCCCGGTCGCCGACCCTAGAGGGCGCCGAAATAGGTTTTAAAAAAAATGAAAAGCTCATTTTAGCTGCAGTTTTGCATTATAAATATTTTAAAAGTATATGGTGGGGGGGGGGGGGGGGGGGGGGGGGGCCAAATTGAAAGTTTGTCCCCGGGCGCCGAAACGGGTCGCTACGCCTCTGGTGGGCCTGGGTGTTTTTGATTACAGAAATTTTGTAGGGTGTAACATGTCTGTAGTTCAACTAATGTTTTATAACCTCCAGCTTTGGCTAAAGTTTTTAGCGCCCCTGATATCTTTTGTCATTGAGATCATTTGTCCTTGAGATCATTTGTCCTGAGATCATTTGTCCTGAGATCATTTGTCCTTGAGATCATTTGTCCTTGAGATCATTTGTCCTGAGATCATTTGTCCTGAGATCATTTGTCCTGAGATCATTTGTCCTGAGATCATTTGTCCTGAGATCATTTGTCCTGAGATCATTTGTTCTGAGATCATTTGTCCTGAGATCATTTGTCCTGAGAACAATTACCAGTGAGATATATTGTCTGAGATATTTTGTCTGAGATTATTTGTACTGAGATCATTTGTCATGAAAGGACAAATGATCTCGCGGACAAAAGATACCAGGACAAAATAAATCAGGACAAATGATACCATAGACCAGGGGTCTCCAAACTTTTCAGTCCGAGGGCCGCATTAACTATCAAATTTCAGTTCGGGGGCCAGTTTCTTCCAGGCATGTCTTTGATTTTTCTGGGCAAAATTCCTCAGCCATCACCAACAAACGTTTTTTTCCGTGGACAAAAAGATCTCCGCGGGCCGGATGAGAGGACCTCGCGGGCCGCATCTGGCCCGCGGGCCGTAGTTTGGAGACCCCTGCCATAGACAAATGATCTCAGACAAAATATCTCAGTTAATATACCTCACAGTAAATAGTATTTAGTAATATTTTATTGATTTTAGCATTTTATAATGTCATATAGATTTTTTTTACACATAATTGTTGGGAGATATACTTCAAGAATGTCTTAAACGTAATAAACAAACCATCAAAAGACTGAGTAATCTTACTTTTAAACAACAAAAAACAGCAATTTATATGAAAGTATAAAACACAAAAATGCAAAAAGACCAATAAAATGATGATAACATTAAATTAGCCACATTAATGTCAAAACACGTGAAATAATTTTCAAAAAGGAAGTTCTACAGGTTCGTAATGTGAAATAGGTGTTTTTATTGCATCATCACACTTTGCCATCACTCGATTGTCCCACTTTACCACCATCTCGATGGTCCCACTTTACATCCATCTCGATGGTCCCACTTTACCACCGTCTCGATGGTCCCACTTTGCCACCAATGGTCCCACCCACCGTCTCGATGGTCCCACTTTACCACCGTCCCGATGGTCCCACTTTACCACCGATGGTTCCACTTTACCACCATCTCGATGGTCCCATTTGCCACCGTCTCGATGGTCCCACTTTGCCACCTCTCGATGGTCCCACTTTGCCATCTCTCGATGGTCCCACTTTGCCACTGGTGGTCCCACTTTGCCACCGTCTCACTTAGTGAACATACCTTGATATAGTCCGATACTAAAGAGCCGGCAACTTCACAAAGGGAAATAACTAAGAAAATTATAGAATTTAATTTGTTTGATTTTTTTTTCAAAATCCCTTTACTACATACACACAGATTAAAATATTTATTAAATTTTTTTTTTACAATGTAAATATTTAATGTTTAATTATTTGAGAACATATAGTTAAAATTGTTGTTGATGTTTATAGAAATTACCGATTATATCCATTTTAACTTCACCGAATAACGCAATGCTTTCAATATAAAAAAACATTATGCCTAACCTTCTTTAGATACTTATGGGAATTTCCGATTAGATCCAAATAACGCAATGCTTTCAATTAAAAAAAAAACATTAGCTTTTTAAAATGGTGTAGATCGTTATGGGAAAAAACCGATTCTATTCATTTAGACCGCACCGAATAGCGCAAAACTTTCATTACAAAAATTAAAAACATCAGCCTTCTAAAAAGTCATCGTGAAAGCACGCCTATCTAACTACCTGGCTTGTGGATCATCGGGGGTCAGGGTAAATATACGTCGAATACAATTTTTAATTAACAAACTTAATTGGGTATAGTGTAGTAGAAATAGGTTTATAAATAAATACAATTTCTACTAGTATTTAACAAAGACCCAAGACATATGTTGGTGAAATGAATGGTTATAATGCCGTTGTTTAAAGTTTGAAGTTTGAAAAAAATATTCCGTTTTAAAATGTAGCATTATTCATAAAATATGAGTTATTATGTAATTGTTGATTTCAGAAAGGCCCAAAATATGTATAAGTATTCCCCGAGAATGATTGAGGAGTAATTAATGAGCATCACAACGGGATAATTAACAGGGGGTAATGTGTAAGGGGGGGGGGGGGTTAAGCCCATGCACGTTACGCCATCCCACTAATTCCATCTCATTCAAGCGTTCATCCAAATTTTCTGTTATATAAATTGTAGATAAAACCCTGGCATTTACGCTTGGCGGGCCTCGCTCCATACCGTAAGTCAGCAGTTTTAACAGCTCTTATGCTGGGAGCCCATACACCCATCTTATCACTTCAGTGTTCCAGCACACAGGCTCTGTCTCTGGCAACTTTCTGGCCAGTTTCCTGCAATTTTCTTAAGACAGTCCGGCTCTATTCTCCTGGCACCTTCACGTCTCTCCATTGGACTTCCCTGTTGTCTTTTTCTCGAGATGTCCAGCCCATACATGTTCAGTACACCTTTTTATCCGCAAACAATCACGTCCCAACCCACGCTAGTTAAGGATGTTGTATGTTGTGTCATGTTCTCTATAGTCTATCTGCCCCAATCCACGATAGTTAAATATGTTGTATGTTGTTACAGATATTTTCTATGTCCCTCCCACGTTAGTTACATATGTTGTATGTTCTTACAGATGTTTTCTATGTCCCTCCCACGTTAGTTACATATGTTGTATGTTGTTACAGATATTTTCTATGTCCCTCCCACGTTAGTTACATATGTTGTATGTTGTTACAGATGTTTTCTATGTCTCTCCCACGTTAGTTGAATATGTTGTATGTTGTTACAGATGTTTTCTATGTCTCTCCCACGTTAGGTAAATATGTTGTATGTTGTTTCAGATGTTCTATGTCTCTCCCCACATTAGTTAAATATGTTGTATGTTGCTTATCTCTTAATATGTCCCAACCCACGTTAGTTAAATATGTTGTATGTTGTTACAGATATTTTCTATGTCCCTCACACGTTAGTTACATATGTTGCATGTTGTTACAGATATTGTTGTATGTTGTTACGGATGTTGTTGTTACGGATGTTTTTCTATGTCACCCCCCCCCACCTTAGTAACAAATGTTGTATGTTGTTACAGATATTTTCTATGTCCCTCCCCACGTTAGTTACATATGTTTATGTTATTTCAGATGTTCTATGTCTCTACCCACATTAGTTAACTATGTTGTATGTTGTTTAGCTCTTAATAAGTCCCAACCCACGTTAGTTAAATATGTTGTATGTTGTTACATATATTTTTTTATGTCCCTCCCATATTAGTTACATATGTTGTATGTTGTTACAGATGCGCCTTATTGTACCTAATTGTGCTCTTGGTGTCCGTCGCACTTGGCCTCGAGACCCAGCCCAAGAAAACGGTAGATGATCCTCTTGATAATTTGATGTTTCATCCTGTGGATAGGGCTAACGATGGCACAGTTCCTTTCCTCGAGATGCTTAGCTGCATACTTGATCTCTTATATTTGATGATGGAACTGTATTATTTAATCTCAGAACTGATGAGCTGGTTAATGAAGGAGGAGGGCGTCGTTCTTGAGGGTGTCGACCCTTCAAACCAAAGGTACATTACAGACATCTTTACAGCTTCCATTGTCCAAACTATACTAAGTTTAACTTTATACAAAAATTATTTATTTTGATATCATTTATTTTATATTTGGTGGCTATGTCAGTGATCATTCTCTCTTTCTGTCTCTCTCTCTCTCTCTCTCTCTCTCTTTATCTTCTTAAACCTCCCTTCTCCCATCTTTCTCAGTCACCCCCATATAATCTTCCTCCCCCTCTTAATTTTTTCTCCCTCCCCGTCACCATCTCCCTCTTTTTCTCTCCCTATCTTTTTCAGTCTCCTCTTTCTCATTTTTTTACTCCCTCTCTCCCTCTCTGTCCCTCTCTCTGTCTCTTCCTACTCCTTTTCCTCTCTCTCCCTCCATGATCGACTCAAACTATACCCGTTAGCCAAGCAGAACGGAGTCGGATCATGAGACAAGTTGTTCCCTAGCCCAAATTATCATACGCTTGACCCTTGGGGGAAAACCGGAAAACGGCGCAACCTGGTAACTGCGCACAAAAAAAGTGGCCACAGATAAGTGCGCAATGGGGATTTTTGTTTTCTTGAATGGAGCATTTATAGACATTAACAAATCATGACCACATGTACATCTAGCACAATATAACCACATCCCCCCCCCCCCCCACATGTTGCTACAAATTTTAAAGCGTATTAGTATAGTTAATTTATATTTGAGCATTTTCTGATTGCGCAGGTTTCCATTTGCGCATTTTCTGGGTACTACTTGTGGCTTCCTAGAAGTTTTTTGCTCCCCCCCCCCCCCACCATAGCCTCGCACATCCTGGCTCCGAACTCGGGTCAGCACATGTGCGCTATCCCACTAGACCACACCATCTCACTAGTGCTAACTGTATCCTCATTCATCTCCACGTATAGAGATGTGATCCAGAGATTTGAGGCCATTCCCTGTACCAAACTTTGCCCAGACTGTGCCCTACTGAAACCACTTGAACTTCGATCCACTTGTACCATCCACTGTAAAGGCCGCGTGCAAATGGGTGTTTTGATGCATCCATTCAGGTTGGTTCAAAACACTTTTGACAAACTTCTCACTAACGCCAATATAAAAGTTTCTACTATGAAAATAAAAAAACAAATAATCAGTGCTTTATAACTATATAATTTAATTTTAATACAAATTTATTGTTTCTGTAATTAGTAAACTCTATTAAAACAATTTTGTATGATTTATGCTTCTTCTTCTTCTTCTTCGTTCTTAATTTTAGTGTTGGAAGGTATCCCCTCCAACACAATAAAGTAAACGTGTCAATTGGATATGCGCCATTGATACAATTATCTCTAATATATACACACTTGTATTCTCTCTTTCTATCAACAGGTATAGAAGAGGCGATGTACCAAGAATATCTGAAATAACATCTGGAAAAACTTTTTTTTCAAAATAAAATCAACTTCCAAATATCTAATTTAAACTGTTTTTCTTGAAACGTTACTGTTAATGTTTACAATTTAGAGCAGGGGTCTCCAAACTTTTCAGTCCGAGGGCCGCATTAACTATCAAATTTCAGTTCGGGGGCCAGTTTCTTCCAGGCATGTCGTGATTTTTCTGAGCAAAGTTTCTCAGCCATCACCAACAAACGTTTTTTTTCCGTTGACAAAAAGATCTCCGCGGGCCGGATGAGAGGACTTTGTGGGCAGCATCCAGCCCACGGGCCATAGTTTGGAGACCCCTGCATTAGAGCATGGAGCAGTGTGGTCGGGAGGTAGGGCAAGTCATACAGACCTGAGTCCTAACGAGTTGAGGGCCTACTGTTGAAAACACTATAGCTTCATATGCCTTGGTCAAGATAAAGGCAAACTCTACTTCACCTGCCTTATTGATTGTCAGGTCTAAAAATGTAGCATTACAATGCAATGTCGCATGTGAAATCATTTCCACTAACGTTTTCAAAAATTGCTATATATATATATATATATATATATATATATATATATATATATATATATATATATATATATATATATATATATTATACATAATTTAGGTATATAAGCATATCAATGGAATTGGGGAGTCGTTTTTTATACTTTTCTACAAAGAGATATAATGCATATTGTGTTTTACAACTAACCCTTTCTTCTCCCCCCCCCCCCCTCCGCCATCTTGGTTACACATATAATCCTTGAGATCATGTGACCTGGCTACGACGCTCGGACCAAAGTGACGATCATGTAGCAGAATCTCTGTATGTGACAACTAAACAAACCCGACACATTTTAGAGCCGTCACACATGTGCACAGACCAAAAAAGTCAAAACATAAAAACACAAAATTTCCTTTAACATAACCATTTCTTAGTCCAATACAATAATCAAACATGCACAAACATAAAACACACTACAACAACTAACATATTCAAACTTCACCAGTTGCTCTCAATCTACTCACCATCACTACCTGCCTGAAAACCTATTAAATCCGTGTCTTAATTAAACAGCTTTATCTGAAAAACTTTTCACACTTTATACAAAAAAAATGTCCTGGCCACTGTCTAATATTTCTCTTATCTAGCCGTGAGCTGTTTGCAGCAACACCCAGGACACTCATAATGGTAGGGGCCGCTAATACTAAGGCCATTACTCGTTTAATTTTACTCTTATCTAGCATTGAGCTGAGACAAGCAACACACGTAATGGTACGGGCCGCTAATATTGAGGCCATTACTCGTTTAATTTTACACTCTGCGCATGACAGATAAAAAAACTATTTCATTTGAATTTATTTAAAGAATTGGTATATAAATATGGGGACTCTTGAACCTAGTATCATCAGCAACCTACCAGCAACCTACCAGCAACCTACCTGACGATCTAGCAACCTCGCCTGAAATATTAATTTGAAGGTAAATATTTAAAAGTTAGCTTACCACAAATCTGCTTGTTAACATGAGAATGATAATAAAATGTCTTTTAGATGTGACAGTATGTCAGTGTTAGGTAGTGATATGTGGGACTTAAATGTAAAATAAACATTAAATTAGAAATTACATAATGTGTTTTGCTTCTTTTTGCGTATAAAAAATTAACGCAGTTAAAATTTTAAAACTAAAATTATCTTCTGTAAACTGTTTAATTAATTTAAGCTTGATATACCTAAACTTAACCAGAACAAAATCCTATGATTAAAAGATATCTAAACCTAACCGGAACACAATCCTTAGCTTGATATACCTAAACCTAACCTTAACACAATCCTTAGCTTGATATACCTAAACCTAACCGGAACACAATCCTTAGCTTGATATAATAATATCTAAACCTAACCGGAACACAATCTTTTGCTTCAGATGCGTGTCATTTACCTCGCTGTGTTTGTGGCGTCCATTGCCCTTACCCACGGAGCTAACACCAGGCTACAGAGGAAAGATCTGCTGGATGGTCTTCTTGGTGGTGATCTTGTAAGTGGTGTCGTAGATGGTGTCGTAGATGGTGTCGTAGATGGTGTCGTCGATGGTTTAGTTGATGAAGGTGGTCTGTTGGGTGGTCTTCTTGGTGGTGATGTTCTAGATAACCTTGTGGGTCCGAGCGGTCTAATCAGCTCCGTGATTGGAAATGTACTAAGTTCTGACGTAGTGGGCAGTCTGTTGAGTGATGTTGGCATTAAATCCATCTTGGACTCTGTGAATAACCTGGTGTCTGCTGTGGTAGGTGTTGTGGATGAGCTACTGAAGGCTGTGTTGGCGGTTTTAGAGGGCGTCGATCTGTCCAACACAAGGTACAGTACAGACATCTTTACGATATTATTTTGTTGACTTCAAAAAACTGTTTTAGTTTGAACATTATGAAAATAATCCGTTCGACGAAATACTATTGATCCTAACTGTACGAATTATATCCAAATTACATTATAGAATTCTATACGATATTATTTTGTTAACTTTAATAGCTATTTTAGTTTTTAAATTATGAAAAAAAGTTTAAGACAAGATTCAGTTTCCTTTCTTGCTATCTTAACTGTACTAATTATATCTTATTCGTTTCCACCTAAAGCGAAGTGATCAAGAAATTTGACGCCATTCCCTGTAACAAACTGTGCCCAGTGTGTGCCCTCCTGAAACCAGCTGAACTTCAACCAACTTGTACCAGCTACTGTAAGGCAACATGCCGATGGGTGTTTTGATTCATTCAAGCAGGTTGGGTTTTAAATTTCATTATTTTTTATCCTATTTACAAAAACACCATTTAATAAAACTATTACATTCTTTTAGACCTTGCAATTTTCTAACAATTTTTTTTTTACTATGTGTTGCTCCACAGATATTAACGTCAAGTCCTCTCTTGGAAAAATATTCAATGTATTTCGTCTTGTGCTAAGCATTCAATAAAATCCACCTCTCAGTATTATTGTTATTATTTTTACTTTGATGTATGCCTGAAGCTTAAACAAGACACTCGCGTTGTTGTTGATGCTGATCTATTTTGCATGAAGCTAATTATTGCCAAGGTAATTTTACCTCGTCATTTTTTCATGGTACAAGTAAACCTGAACATTTTCAATAAAGGACGTATCAGCTCAGCAAGGTCAGAAATAAAGCAGATGATTACACACAAGTCTATATCATTAGGTCATCTAAGACTCTATTACTACATATTTACATTTATTTTTAAAATTAATATATATATAAGTAATGGAAATTACCGATTATAATAATTTAAACTGCACCGAATAACACGATGCTTTGAATATTGAAACATTACCCTTTGGACATTTTATCGTACGTACTTTTCTCTATAGCCTGTACAGTCGTTTTGATTGCCATTGGAAGATTCAGGGTAAACATAAATTAAACGTAATCTTTAATTTGTAGTCTTTGTTAAATATCGTTTAGCAGAATCAGCCTGTTTTACTCTAATTCAGGGGTCGGCAACCTGCGGCTCGCGAGCCGCATGCGGCTCTTTTGATATCAAGATGCGGCTCTCCAGCTCCTTGAACAAATACTAATAATCTTAATAAAATAATAAAATATTTGAAATAAAAAAAGTTAGTGGCTCTTTAAAACCAGGGAAATTTTGAAAATTGTAACTTTTGGCTCTTCCGCTTCAAAAGGTTGCCGACCCCTGCTCTAATTCAACAAACAATTATGGAAAGTGATTGTGAAATGAATTTATCGTATAACATTATGAATAAAATGTAACGTTGTTATTTTACTACGCGTTTTGAAAGGACCTATGACATGTTTATAAAATCTCGAGTGTCAAGTAATTAGCATTGGGCAAAATTATTTATGGTAATTTACAGTGATTAATTAATTAAAGCTGGGGATGCCGGGTTAATTAAAAGGATGTTAATGTCCTGCTCGCGTTCAAGAAACCGTTCTTCATGCTTTCTTAAAGTGTTTTGAATATTACATTATTTCTTTGACTAAAATAGCTTTACTTTCATACAAACTGGCCGATTTCTTAACGTGCTGGGTATGGGCCGGCGACAACATATCTACAGATTAAACACATCTCTCTACAATGTGACTTCGTGTGCTTACAACTTATTTTAAGTGAAATGGGTTTCCCATCAATTTTTTCAAGGCTATGGGGAAATTGCTGCAACAATCAAGCTAGTTAGACTGACAATTAAAAGTTGATCTACTTGAACACAGCAACTATTGGGGGGGGGGGGGGGGGGGGAGGGGGGTGTCGTCTATAAATGACGTCACACTTGTAGGGGAGAGGGGGCTCCGTAATTTTGTGACGTTGTGAGATGAGTGGAAGGGGGGTGTTCATATGGTGTGACGTCACACTTTTGCATTATAAAAAAGCAATGTTAGAAAACGAACTATAGCCGTTATATCGCGTTTTAAAACTGTTTTAATAAATTGTAATAAGAATTGATTAAAAATACTCCAAAATCTTGTCTGAATTCTATGTTGATAGAATTCAGACAAGATTTTGGAAAAATATCGTATTTTAAGAAACATTAAACTGCTATTCTGGGGAGGGGGGGGGGGGTGTAGGCTGAGGTGTGACGTCATTTTGGTGGTGGCTTTTTGTGAGCATATGTGACGAAGGGGAGAGGGGGTGGTAAAAATCGGCCAAAAAAAGCGTGACGTCATTTATGAATGACCCCACAGGCTGGTTAGACTGACAATTAAAAGTTGATGTCAGTTGACACGGCAACAATTAGGTTAATTGGACTGACAATTAAAAGTTGATGTCAGTTGACACGCCAACAATTAGGTTAATTGGACTGACAATTAAAAGTTGATGTCAGTTGACACGGCAACAATTAGGTTAATTGGACTGACAATTAAAAGTCGATCTTAGCCAATAATCCTCCGGGTTTTGAGGCCTGATTACGAACACGTGACTTTTGGAGTAGAATGTGCAAGTGTTATTGCTATTATATCAAGTTTGTTTCCACTTAAAGCAATCAGATCAAGATGTGAACTATCCTCCTAACTTGGCTCGTCTGGTCTGATGAAGTTGTTGATATAAGCAAGACTTTTTGTCTAGGGTACCTTGCTCCTATAAATAGAACAGCATTTTACAAGCTTGTAGGAAGCCCAAAGAATAAGCCCATATTGGTTTATTTTAAGGGATTTTATCTAGTTTTCTCAAAAAGTTTGTCTGTGTGTGTGCGTGCGTGTGTTTGTGTGTGTGTGTGTGTGTGATTACGCAAATCTTGCAATCTTAATTTAACCCACTTCTTATCGTCCGAATTAACTAAAATTGGGTAATTCGACATTTAGTCATTTAATTAAACAATCACTAATTTCAAAAAATAAAAAAGGGGAGTTAACAAGATAACTATATGGACTAGTGATTGGTTGATCAGAAGGTTGTTGAGGGTGAACTCTTCTAGGTTCAACGTTGGCTGATTTCGTCGACCATGAACGAATAAGGGGAAGTTAACTTAGTTTTAGAGATCACAATTTACAGGATGGATTTTAAGGCGAATATTTTAGTCATACCAGCATTAACTTGAATAAAGCTACACCAAAACAAAATTTATTTATTTTACTTTTCAGCCCATTTTTTAATTTGTGACTTTTTTTAAATTTGTGAATGTAATAAAGCATTTTTCTTCAAATGTTTTTTTTTGTGAGATTTTTAAAAAAGTCTTTTTATTTTTACTCGCTAGAAATCTGTCCGATTGACCTGAAATTTGGCACTATAGTAGATCATGCATGACGATGCAAGAATATTTACTTTTTATTCTAATTGGAGAGACAATTTAATTTACAAATTACTTTATTCAATTACAATATCCATTAGGGGAGATTTAAAAAATACTAGCGATCGCTTCATGAGAGGGCTGTCAAGTGTGAACTATTTTCACTTCACGGTTGATAGATTTCGTTACCTATTTTCGACCAGGAAATTGTTAGAGATCAATTTTAGAGATCACCTGTTACATAAACTCGGTGTTTAGACCAGATTGTGTGCCTATACATTCCGGAGATTAATGTGCAAGAACACAAGGATAGACCGAATGTATAATACCGCAAATATTTTCAGTTGTAGCCTATGTAGTGTCAACTAGATTTTGAACGAATTACTAAAATTAAAAACTTTGGTCGCTCATGAGATCTCTTATATATTTAAGCGATCAAATCTTTGAGTAAAGTTATTTTAATTTTTTAATTTTTAGTATTCTACATTTTAATTTAGAATTTTTTAATTTGTTGTGATATATTACTACAAAAAAAAACACGTTTCCTCGAAAAACTTTTTAAATGTGAGAATTATTTCCAGATGCGCAATCTGTACCTAGCAGTGCTCGTAGCGTCCATAGCATTTGGACAAGAAACTGAAGCCAATGAAACTTTTCAAGACGCTTTAGATGAGATCCTGTCTGAGGTGATGAGTGGAGTTAATGATGTCGTAGCTTCGGCCAGCTCAATGCTGTGGCACCTACCCGCCCTCACGGTTAAAGTGGAGGACTGGTGCATCCGCATGGCCAAAAGGATTGGAATATTCCTCAATTTAATAGACGCAGAGTGGAGCGTTCTAGATCAGATCATAACCACAAACAAAAAGTATAGTAACTAAATCCTAACGATATTATTTGTTTACTGCATTTGCTGTATAAGAATTCACATTATGAGAATTGTTTGTTTTAAAATATGACACCGAGTTTATGTATACTTTACATGTCTAAAAATCAACTCGTAACAAGAAAGTATAGTATTAATTTGTTGCGAGTTGTTTTTTTAAAAGAAATGTATACTACACATGTCTAGAATAAAACATCGCAACAATTAAGTATATATATTCCGTATGAAAATATGTTCATAAAATATTAATTTGGTTAATTTTTTAAAGACATGTATGTTATACATGTCGCACATGTATGGTATACATGTTGCAAGTGTAATCGCGGTTTAGATAAGTCTCCCTTTCTAAAAAGGTGATTCATTACGTGGATATAGATAATTATTTTTCTATCACCTTGTGATATGAAGCTACCCTTTACTTAATTCTATGAGAAAGAAGTAGAAGTCGTACGGTTTATTGTAAAGTCTTTGGCAACATCGAATTGAGTCGGCGTTGTCGAGTCGGTAAAGCTCATGGTTGCGAAACCGAAAAGTCTCGAGTTCAAACCCTCGGGCAGATGAGGCTCGTTAGCTGGGGACAGCCACTCTTCTAGGAGAGACAAGTCCAAAATCAAACAACTGCTGCCTTGTAGTTTGTTCTTGGTTGGACAAAGGCTACGGAAGCAAATCCAAAAAGAAAAGCACGCTGAAATTTGAGTCAACGGCCTAAATGGCGCATAACCAGTTCCAACACTAAAAATTAAGAACGCAGAAAAAAAAAAGTTATATTGCGATCATTACCGTACAAATATCTACATTGTTTCCATATCAAGGGAGATGATCAAGCTATTTGACGCCATTCCCTGTAACAAACTGTGCCCAGTGTGTAACATCCTGCAGCGACCCAAAGTTCGAGCTGTCTGCTACAGCTACTGTAAAACCACGTGTCGCTGGCAGTTTTGAGGTTTGTTTCATCACATTTTTTTTTTACGAATTCTTCTGATTTATTTAATAAAATCTCCAACAAATTTCTCAGAAAAATTAAATTTTACTATTTTTAAACAATGTAAGTTTGTAAAATTTTGTTTTAGTTTTCAGGTTTCCGCGACTACTAATGGATGTTCCTCAAGGAAAACTGTTTTATATTTTTATTATATATTTAATAAAATTTACTTTACATTCTTTATAGCGCTTTTGTAATTTTTTTAAAGACTCTGTATTAAACAATTATTTCTGGTATTCTCTAGTATAGAAATTAGAGATGGTTCATATAATGAAATCTAGTCGCCAATTATTTCTTTGTTGATTTATTTTGCGCTTTTCTGTTTCTGAGACAAGTTGGTGGTTAGCCCTACCTAACCCCATATCCTTTTAGTGGTATAGAGCGATGGTATATGCCACTGTTTTCAATTTTCGTTATTATTCATATTGCAAAATATCTGCTAAACTGTTTGTTCTTGATTGATATATTATGCCACTATTCATTTGTGGTAGTCGTTTTTTTTCCAATGTTGCTGACTCAAATTGGCTCAAGACCATTATACGTCATGAGTCCACTCAGTTTTGATGGGTACCTGATTCACATTGGGGAAAGTAGAGGTAGCAGAGCATAGTGTGTAAACCAAACTAAAATCACTACATATACCAAAGTTACAGAAATAAATGCACTCAATCTGTACCAAATCCAAATGGATAAGTTTAATTACTATAGTTCGTCGGGTTTAAATATATGGTAAACAGTAGAGGGCTGACTTATTAGACATTCGACTTCTAAAAAAAACATTTGTGGTTTCACAATTTTCTTCATTGCTGTCACTAACTGCTAATCGACATGCATATTTTGCTGCCAGCTAAATTATCATCTACTTTGAGAACATTTTTACTGGTGATTTGAGTTTTAATTCTGTCAACATTTTTATGCTAGTAAGCTTTAACAATCCAGGATCATGCTTTTTTTAACGAGATCAATCAATGATTCGATTGATTTAATCTTTTATGATAATTTGATCTGCTCGTGGTGTGTTTTAAAATTTAATAAACTCGAAAACGTTAACAGATTTAAAAGATAACTTCAGTATCTTTAAAGCTAGATTGATGAAATTCCATATATTCGGTTTTTCAAATGCCTGTAACTTGAGTACTGTTTATGATAGATATACGAAATTTCAAATATAAGTAAAAGATCTAATTATGTTTTCTGTCAAATTTTGAGTAATTTCAGGTGACTGCCGTAATAAAAAAAACTCCAAAATAAGTACGCCTGCGAGATAGATTTTATTGAACGTTTAACATAAGACGAAAAACACAACACATAGTTTTCCGACACATCTCTTGATTAGCATCACGATCTGTGAAAAAATGAAATTAAAAGAACTCGAATCAATTTAAGTGAAATGTTATTGTTACTATAAAATAAAAAGATTATTTATTAACGCTATTTCAAACAGTAAATGCTTTGATAAATCAGAAATATTTGTGTTTAATAAAACCCAACCTGCTTGAATGAATCAAAACACCCATCTGCATGTGGCCTTACAGTAGCTGGTACAAGTTGGTTGAATGTCAGCTGGTTTTAGTAGGGCACAGACTGGGCACAGTTTGTTACAGGGAATGGCGTCAAATTTCTTGATCACTTCGCTTCAGGTGGAAAACGAATTAGATATTATTAGTACAGTTAGGATAGCAAGAAAGGAAACTATATCTTGTCTTTAACTTTTTTTCATAATTTAAAAACTAAAATAGCTATTACAGTTATAAAATAATATCGTAATGAATTCTATAATGTAATTTAGATATAATTAGTACAGTTAGGATCAATGTTCAAGCTAAAACAGTTTTTGCAGTTAACAAAATAATATCGTAAAGATGTCTGTACTGTACCTTGTGTTTGACAAATCGACGCCCTCTAGAACCGCCAACACAGCCTTCAGTAGCCCATCCACAACACCTACCACAGCAGACACCAGGTTATTCACAGAGTCCAAGATGGATTTAATGCCAACATCACTCAACAGACTGCCCACCAAGTCAGGACTTAGAACATTTCCAAGCACGGAGCCGATTGGACCCAGAAGGTTATCTAGAACATCACCACCAAGAAGACCACCCAACAGACCACTTTCATCAACTACACCATCGACGACACCATCTACGACACCATCGACGACACCATCTACGACACCACCTACAAGATCACCACCAAGAAGACCATCCAGCAGATCTTTCCTCTGTAGCCTGGTGTTAGCCCCGTGGGTAAGGGCAATGGACGCCACAAACACAGCGAGGTAAATGTCACGCATCTGAAGCAAAGGATTGTGTTCCGGTTAGGTTTAGATTTTATTATATCAAGCTAAGGATTGTGTTCCGGTTAGGTTTAGATATTATTATATCAAGCTAAGGATTGTGTTCCGGTTAGGTTTAGATATATCAAGCTAAGGATTGTGTTAAGTTTAGGTTTAGGTATATCAAGCTAAGGATTGTGTTCCGGTTAGGTTTAGGTATATCAAGCTAAGGATTGTGTTCCTGTTAGGTTTAGGTATATCAAGCTAAGGATTGTGTTCCGGTTAGGTTTAGATATATCAAGCTAAGGATTGTGTTAAGTTTAGGTTTAGGTATATCACGCTAAGGATTGTGTTCTGGTTAGGTTTAGGTATATCAAGCTAAGGATTGTGCTCCTGTTAGGTTTAGGTATATCAAGCTAAGGATTGTGTTCCTGTTAGGTTTAGGTATATCAAGCTAAGGATTGTGTTCTGGTTAGGTTTAGGTCTATCAAGCTAAAAATATGACACAACTTTAAAAAACAAGTTAATTAAAAAAGTCTAGTGACATTTATGCGCAATTTCCTTATGTTATCTAAAAATAGCTCTGACGTATAATGTTGGGGTGCGTTCAAGCTAGAAGAACGATCGGTTTGTAGGTGTTTATGTATTTTTAAAATTTGTGACCGAACGAGAGGATATTTTTGAAAACTTTCTTTGGCAATATTGTTCTAAATTATGACAGGAATCGATTGGTACATGTTTCAAGTCGCCAAGTGGTCTGGTTGCCGGGATATGGGCCAAAAACTGCATTTTTTCGAGGTTTTTTGGCTTTTCCGGGAAATACATGAAAGAAACCCGGAATTTTTATAGCCTATGCTCATTCTCGTAACTTGCTTAACATAATTGCTTTTGGAACTAGTCATCGATATTGCTTCGTTGAGGAGGAGATACGACTTAAAGACCGGACACACATTCATCCATCCATCCATCCATCCATTCCCAGAAATGACGAGTTAATAAACGCAATTCTCCAGAATGGAAATTGCGCTAAAAATTATCTACATTTTAAAAAGACTAAAATGTCTGTTGTATGTTGACTATTTGTTGAGTCTGTAAACTTAAACATAATCGTTATTTTAAAATTGCTGAAATGTTAATGCTGCACATAATGCTTACCAATGCCAAAACAATCAATTCAATGTTTCTTTATTAAAATTAGACATCTTAATCTCATTAATATACTTCCCATGTTTTTTAAAATCTTTTTTAAAATATCAATTAAATTAACTAGCAGCGAGAAGTCTTATTTACCTTCAAGAAAAACAGTTGCTGTAGAGAGCAATGAAACAGTTTGAAGTGAAGTTTCAGATGATGCTACGCTTCAAATGTCCACATTTATATAGGCCTACAACCTTTCTAAATGTATTCTAATGACATTCATAATTGACGCTACCTGCATACACATGGTGTGAAATTAAAAACAAAATAACAGATTTAGCAAGCGATAGTCCATATTTTTCTTGACACCAGGAGCTTTAGTATTTATTGCTCAATGTTTGTAAGGATATTGTTTCAGACGTGTTTAATATTTCACGCATTTCTGTTCGCTCAGCACTTTTCTGCAACGGGATTGCAATTTTTTTAGCCAAGGTGAACGATGATAAAATGATAACAAAGCTGACGTAGATGAAATGGTTTATCCAGATGGTCTTGACATTTGATGTCTTGGATGTAATTTTAGATTTTCTGTGCACTTGACATTTGATATCGCTGATGTAATTTTAGCTTTTCTGTGTACTTGACATTTGATGTCGCTGACGTAATTTTAGCTTTTCTGTGTACTTGACATTTGATGTCGCTGACGTAATTTTAGCTTTTCTGTGTACTTGACATTTGATGTCGCTGACGTAATTTTAGCTTTTCTGTGTACTTGACATTTGATGTCGCTGACGTAATTTTAGCTTTTCTGTGTACTTGACATTTGATGTCGCTGACGTAATTTTAGCTTTTCTGTGTACTTGACATTTGATGTCGCTGCCGTAATGTTAGCTTTTCTGTGTACTTGACATTTGATGTCGCTGACGTAATTTTAGCTTTTCTGTGAACTTGACATTTGATGTCGCTGCCGTAATGTTAGCTTTTCTGTGTACTTGACATTTGATGTCACTGACGTAAGTAAAAAAAGATATTCTGTATGTACAGACTAGATTGTGTGTAAGCTTTTCAATTTTGTTCTATATTGAAAAGGCGAAATACAAAATTCATAAGTATTTTTTTTATTACATTCGTGTTATACTTCTACAAACATAAAAATAATAATAATAAAAATAATAAAAATAATAAAAATAATAATAATAATAACAATAATAATAATAATAATAATAATAATAATAATAATAATAATAATAATAACAATAACAATAATAATAATAATGATAACAATAACAACAACAACAACAACAACAATAGCAACAAACAATCAAATTAACGACTTATTAATAAAACATCCTTTTAGAAACAAAGGCATATAAGGAAAATAGGATTAAAATTGTGAAACAAGCCTATGGGCGAGTAACTTGTATTTGGTTGAAGTTATGTGTAATTGTATTGAAAAGATATGTGACACTAAAACTGCTGATTAGATACTGCTATTTTTTTATCTGCCCTTGTGGAACTCAATGCTGTTTGCTCAACATTGGCTTTCAGCTGCTACCCCCCCCCCCCACACACACACACTCACACATACGTTTGACCCAAACTTTGGCACAACTCATACGAATGATAATATATCTATGAATAATTAAATTTTAATAACAAACACTTAATATTAAACTCAAACTAAATTAATGTGTATAAAATTTAAAAAAAAAGGATAATCCCTGATTGAAAATTTGAGCAAGATATAATATTAACATGTGTAATGG